AAATGGCACTGACTCTGAAAGCAATTAGACTTCTTTGTCGCTTGTCGAAGTCAAGCTGACAATTAAGGTGACTGCAGAGCATGAACCAATGAACAAATCCTGCGTGAGATCCTTCATTTACATGTACCTGTTGGTGAGTTTCAAAGCCTCACCGAAGGTTGGAACAACAGCCTCCAATATTATAGGATGCCATTCATGCATGGGCTCAATCAATATCGGATATTTTCTTTGTGACGTCAGGTCCTGTTTTCATCTTGATCAGATAAAATTTGAGTTGTCTGTCAAGGGAATTGTCAGCAATTTCGACATTGTATCTTGGTAACTGGATTTCAGATTCAATCAAGTTCAGATGGCATGCTAGCGTCTGGTGAGAAGATCGCCTGTTTCCATCTTGGACTGATGTACCAGTAGCTCAAGTCTACTGACAAAAGACGCAGACTGTCGGCCAATTTGATTCATACATGTAATTTGACTTGTAAGTCACTTGTCAAATTCAGGCTGGCAAAGGCGACTGCAGAACAAGAATCAATGCACAAATCCTGCTTGAGATCCTTCATTTACCTGTCGGTGAGCTTCAAAGTCACACCAAAGGTTGGAAAAACAGCTTCCAATATTATAGAATGCCATCATGCATGGGCTCAATCAATATCGGATATTTTCTTTGTGACGTCAGGTCCTGTTTTCATCTTGATCAGATAAAATTTGAGTTGTCTGTCAAGGGAATTGTCAGCAATTTCGACATTGTATCTTGGTAACTGGATTTCAGATTCAATCAAGTTCAGATGGCATGCTAGCGTCTGGTGAGAAGATCGCCCTGTTTCCATCGTGGACTGATGTGCCAGTAGCTCAAAGTCTACTGACAAAAGACGCAGACTGTCGGCCAATTTGATTCATAATTAGACTTGTAAGTCACTTGCCAAATTCAGGCTGGCAAAGGCGACTGCAGAACATGAATCAATGCACAAATCCTGCTTGAGATCCTTCATTTACCTGTCGGTGAGTTTCAAAGTCACACCAAAGGTTGGAAAAACAGCCTCCAATATTATAGAATGCCATCATGCATGGGCTCAATCAATATCGGATATTTTCTTTGTGACGTCAGGTCCTGGCTGTTTTCATCTTGATCAGATGAAATTGGAGTTTGTCTGTCAAGGGAATTGTCAGCACTTTCGACATTGTATCTTGGTAACTGGATTTCAGATTCAATCAAGTTCAGATGGCATGCTAGCGTCTGGTGAGAGTATCGCCCTGTTTCCATCTTGGACTGATGTGCTGGTAGCTCAAAGTCTACTGACAAAAGACGCAGACTGTCGGCCAATTTGATTCATAATTTGACTTGTAAGTCACTTGTCAAATTCAGGCTGGCAAAGGCGACTGCAGAACAAGAATCAATGCACAAATCCTGCTTGAGATCCTTCATTTACCTGTCGGTGAGTTTCAAAGTCACACCAAAGATTGGAAAAACAGCCTCCAATATTATAGAATGCCATCATGCATGGGCTCAATCAATATCGGATATTTTCTTTGTGACATCAGGTCCTGTTTTCATCTTGCTCGTGTGAAATTGGTTCGTCTGTCCAGGGAATTGTCAGCAATTTCAACACTGTATCTTGGTAAATGGATTTCAGAAACAATCAAGTTCAGATGGCATGCTAGCGTCTGGTGAGAGGATCGCCCTGTTTCCATCTTGGACTGATGTGCCGTAAGCTCAAGTCTACTGACAAAAGACGCAGACTGTCGGCTTATTTGACTCAGTTCCAGAAATTTGGTGTCAGAACTGATCAAGTTCTAACGGTAGGCAAGCGGTTGGTGACAATATCCTTCAGCTGAGGATTTGTACTTAAACAATTTCTTGATCAAAACACCAAGATAATTTTCAAACCATGAATGCAACAGGAATGAATGACACCCTGGATGTTACCACGGAAGGGTCGATCCCACAAACAGAGCCACTCATCATTGTTGCTAATGTCGTCATGGCTCTGAACATCGTCCTGAATGCTATACTGAATCCATTATGTCTTGTGGCTCTACGCCGGACCAACAACATCCAAGACACAACCAAGATGTTTACAGCTTCTCTCACCATATCCGATCTCTGCATTGGGATGTTCTGTGGCATTCCACTCTGGACCATAAACGTCACTGGTAAATTTGTCTTTGGGGGTTTCCTATGCACGCTGAGCGGAATTTTGTACCCAACATTCAACACCATCAACACTCTGTCTCTTGTCCTCTTAACAATCGACCGTTTCATCGCCATAGTTCATTCCCTGCGCTACCCAACTTTGATAACACCACGCAGATCCAAGATCATAATTGCATTTCTATGGATTTTCACTCTCATAATATACATTATTTTACTTGGCTTTTCCAAGCAAACCCATCTCGTCGGAAATCAGTGCGTGCCTACTTGTGAGTTCTGTAACTACATTTATATCGGCTTACTGATAATTCCGCTGGGATTTATAGTGATAGTCTACATCTGGATTCTGAAAGTCGCTCGCCGTCACGCTCGGCGCATCGCCGCTCAAATCAACATCGGTAACCCACAACCACGCCCTAACGCTCCGCAGGGAACCAGTACAAAGTCGGCATCCACTGTGTTTATCATCGCCGGTGTGTTATTCCTCTGCTGGACACCACACATGATTCTTTTGGTGCTGCTATCCCTAGGCATTGCCATTCCCAACAGCAGTCTGTTTATCATCGCACAAAGTATTGTGTACACCAACTACTGGCTGAACGTGGTCATTTATTACTGGAGAAACAAGGAGCTTCGGCAAGCACTGCATACTTTCCTCTCCTTGCACTGTTGTTGAGACTGGAGTAACTTTCAATCAGGAAACAGCTCCTCAAGTACAAAGGCTGCATCTCATTAATTTTATTTCCAAGATATTCTAAGGCCCGAAATGTATAGGCCTAAAATGGATCTGTGCTAATTTCATTCCCCATACTACAGGATAGTATGCAATCATGTGTATGGTACATGTAGTCTCAATTCTACTAATTGGGGTACAGCCAGGCAATTAAATATCAGCTCAAAATGGCAGCCTCAATAAATTGGCTGAAATGTCATTGCGCATTATTTTAATTCTGTGTAATTCAAATAATTACTCCAATTCTGTTAATTTAGTCATCTACAGATACTATCTGGGAATGTGGAAATCAAATTGAAAGGAACCGATACCATTACTGAAATCTTAAGCAGTCAAAACTTTGAATAAACTGCTTATGGCTTGGGCATAACATTTACAATAGATAATTTGCTTTTTTTCATATAAATTTGACATTTTACTTTCACTTCAATTGGATGGTTGATACCTTATGACAACTGACAGAATACCGACTATATTCTGCGAACATGTAGCTAATTCATAGCATTTATGCACATTCGAGTATCTATAAAACAAATGCACTGTTTAATTCAAGGTAGTTTCTGGAACCTCCATTGTATCCTAAAGCCCGGTTCATACTTCACGCGAAAGCTTGTGCAAAGCGAAATTCATGTCGTCAACAATGGTGGACGCGCTTCTAATGTATTGTTGACGTCACAGTTTCGCTTCGTTTTCGCTTTCGCGTGAAGTACGAACCGGGCTTAAGACTTCAAATTCACCTTCTAGAAGTATGGACCAACTTTTCCCTCCCGACTTGTTTCATAGCTGTAGACATTTTTTTTCTCTGTGATGCTTTGATTAAAACTCAGGGCAAAGTAAAAGCCCGCCACACACCTTACTGAGTTTACTGGTTTATCAGATCATCGGGTCATTAGACGTACAGATGGTGTTCCCTAATGTGGCGCACTTCGACGTTTACCCGACTTTCCTCATGTAGTGTTGCCAAACCTCTTTGTTGACAAACCTCATATTCATGCAGTGAACTACTGGTACTTTGACCTTATTAATGCTCGCTATTTAACCTCTGTGAACAATTTCGGTTTCATAAAATTTAATCTGAAATTCAAAAACGGTGGCGTCCGGAAATTGGGCACAAATTGGCGGAGTGTTCCCTAACATGGCGCACTTGAATAAACCTCGGAAAATTCCAAATTGACATTTAAGAATTCCTGTAAAGTTGATAGATTTTGACAAACTATTTTTATCTCTACTTACACACCCAACCAGAAGTTTGTCAGAATTTTTTTTCTTATTTTCGGGGCATTTTCAAAGGGTTCACTTTGCACTTCAAAATAAAATCGGAAAATCACGCCAAAATGAATTTTTTCTTCTATCTTTGTAACGGGTAGATAAACTCGCGATTTATGAACGGGAGTGTTAAGAACATGATAAATTTTCACTTTCTGTGAAATTTCAGTTAAAACTTTTGCTCTAGCTAGGCGCTACAGGCGAAAAATCAAAGTGCGCCACGTTGGGGGACGCGCCACGTTAGGGTACCGGTACATCAACAACACAGATCGGGGAAGAGTGTGCTGAAAAATCGGATCAATCTAACTGTACACCGAGCGACTGGATGAAATTAAACATTTTGATTTTTTCACATACTATGAAACCGGATCCGATGTTACCAGAAAGGTGTTCGGGCAGCACTCTGATTTCACCGGAGGCTATTTTTATGTTAACCAATCAGATTCACGAAGGAAGTCGCATGATGTGACTGGTCATCATGTGACTGATCATTATGTGACTGATTATAGAACGGAATCGGGCATATGTGCGGGTAACATTGCAGTCTAACTGCAATGGTGAATGGTATCGGTGATGGGGTGACCTGTTAAACCAGTAAAATTGGACAGGTGTGCGGCAGGCTTCATACCAATACTACTAGGAATGCAATTTGGTTCATGACTCCCTCACAAACTGTAGCAACTGTGATGCTTAAAATAAAACTGATAATGGAAGAAAATAATGAATCTTGGGTTGTACTCAGACCCAGTAGGGAAGCAACATTTTACAACTCCTCCTATGTAAGTTTGTTTAACTCCATGGAAATGAATATCTGTTGAAATGTGAAATAGATTTTGAAAATGGAAAGTGACTAACCTTGGAAAGAAGAGTCTCTTCTTCTCTAGGTACGCATTCAGACCCTTCAGGATGTTGTCAAGAAACTTGTTGCTGTCGATCAGCTTCTCCAAGATGCCAGTCAAGGAGGTCGCTGCTAGAACCTATGATAGATGAACCATCGCATGTAAAAAGCATCATCTTAACTAATATGGACTTCATCCAATATGGGGCCAATTTCACGGTGCTGCTAAGCACAAAAATGTGCTTAGCATAAAGAAAGTCTGGCTATTAAATAAAAGCAGGTTACCAGCCAAAACTCCACGTGATGTATATTGCTTGTGATTAGTATTCAGCTGCTGTTTGCTTAGCAGCGCCGTGAAATTGGCCCCATGGACTCTAAACACTAGTAATCAACGGTTACAAAGATAGGCATGACTTGGCCGTACACCTTGCACTTATTCAAAGATGCTAGGTGCTCATTGCAAATTCAGATAAAACTTCAGCGTATGTACTTTGCGCTGAATAATTACGCACTTGAATCATAGTAACAAAATTGGGTTGAAAGAGTTTTTGCAGTGTGAATAAAATGATTTTTTTTCACAGGTTTTTCCTAATTACACAAAAACAAAAAAAAACTGAAATTTGTATTCTTGTTGAGACATTTCTTTGTTCTCGTGTAGTAAAGTTTTCGAGTTTGAAAGTGAAGTTTCAAAAAGCTCTTATTCCAACCAGAATTAATTTCCTTGGCTGAAATTCGGATTATCCCTTTTCTAAAACTCTACCATTTGCGACAGATCAACCAACCTTGGAAATTCCTACTTTTTGAGTAAAATCCATATATCTATTTCGTGAAAATCTTGTGGAGACGTATTCATCTATAGAAATTGCCCTGAGGAGACGTATACAATCTTTTGTTCCCTATTGTGTGCACGTCTCCAGAGGGCACGGTGTATCAGATCGGTATGTCCACACTAGGTATGTGAAGTAAACATGCGTGTGCGCGCACAGGGGGTGTCTCTTTGACAGACCTCTCCCAACTGGCCATGTCGTGTCATCCATTGTTCATGTGAGGAGGCTATCAAGTTCAAAATTAGATTTCCAGTTTATTATTCTGGCTGTCACTAAAAAGGTTTACTCTCACAAGGAACTGCTAATCATATAGCTAAAGCAACTTTATGAGCTGAGCAGAAATTATGGAGATATAGTCGCAAGTAACCATGGTAATACCGCACAACATTTTTGACTGGTTTAACTGGTCATCGCGTTTTTTTTTCTTGTTCTTAGTAAATTATTGTGTTTGCAGCTCCATCTTGAACACCAAGGGAGAGGTATGTTAATGAGGGTTTAATAATAATAGTCACATGATACACTTCACGACCGCAGATGTCAGGAAGCGGTTCCAGATTATAGAATCGAGTACTCGTAACCAACTTTACAAAAAAGTAACTTCTCAGACAACTAAAAGGAAAGGTTTTGAATGTCATTTGTGGAGAATTTTCTAAATGAAAACCAGGCTAAATGGAAAAGCAAAACATATTCACGTTTATGAAGCTAGCGGAAATACAACTTAAAGCTACATGCAGGCCTATTCAGCTCACTGCACATATTTGTATCTTGCTGTATCGACGCACTGATGTGGTAGTATTATCATGCGGACCCTTTATGGACAATCTGTACAGCAACTTCCTAGATTTAAATTTTGGGATTGGTTTCTTTAACAGGTACCCAGGTATGCCCTTTCTACCCGTAAATGCACACCCCTATTCTCAAAGCCAACCCTACCCCTATCTTTATTCCTCTTTCTCGTGAACCCTCCTCGAACTGCAATTCCAACCCTCCTTAGAAAAACAACAACCTGATCTTTGTTGATAATTGAGGGTTCTTGCTGGCATATTCCAAAACACTATCCTAAACCCTTACTATCTTCACAACGGACCATACAATTTTAACTGTAATCAGAAAGGATGATGTTTACTTTGGCATACCTTCGGATCCTTGACGGTGTGTTTCATGATTTCCTTCCAGTTCCGGTCCACCGTTTGGAACATGCGTCCTTCCTCAGGCATCTGCTGCATGATGTCTTCCGAGCTGAAGATGGGCTCTAGGTACAGCCACTGGGATTGAACCTTCAGCCATTCGTCGATGGTCTCCTGGACACGAAGCAACTTCTCTTCCCATTCCTGGTGTATCAGAAAAAATATAGCTCATCATCAGCAAAAATTGTAAAGCACCATCAAGTCAATTGTTCAGTAATTAACCGTAATCGTCCAAGATCCTTGGAATTCCATCCCAAAGTTTTGGAGAATTTTGCAGGATTCAGGAAGGTAGAGCTCATCCAAAAATTATTTCGCATGGAGCTCGATACCTCTTAAAAGTATACACAGAAATTGTCATTGGGCTCCCACACAGTATACAAATAATGAATGTTTGTGAGTGCAATGGTAAGAATAATTTCATGAGGTGACAGATGGAATGTTCCATTCCATGAGGCGAAGCCGAGTGGAATGGAACATTCGTCTGTCACCGAATGGAATTATTCTTTCCATTGCATGAATGTGAAACATTATTTGTTTTACACATCACCTGAAGAAATCCTTATCATCTGATTGGTCAGAGCTGCTAATGGTGTGCCCGTGCAATGGGACTTCCGTTTACCGTGGGACGAAACGTCTCCTTTTGCAGTGCGGCCACGCCATGCGCTGCGATGAATAATTTCATGACACGTGATCAACGACCCGCCAATCAGATGGGGATTTATTCGGGCATTGTATAATAGAGAATATTGAATGATTTAGAAAAGTCTCTAGAAAAATGCCTCAAGAGTATGGGTTACATGAATTACACATCCTGTAACTATTAAAATAAGACAAAGTTTCAGAAATCAGAAGTATTCATTGAAAATACAATCTCTCCACTGAGAAAATATCACCGCACTTCTACTTTTATGAGACATTAACCTTGGCTCAAATCCCAAGCCCAAGACTCCCTACTAGACTAGACTCCAAACCAGACTACAACTTCAGTTTTTTTTCTGAGTGTAACATTCATAAATAAAACACACAAGTTCATCCTCATGATTCATCCATTGATAACAGGCTCAAGTCGGGAAAGATAGTGAACTGCTCCCTCTTACCTTGATTTCTTTCTCAAACGGCTTGATGAACGGTGAGCCACGCATGGTCTGCGTCTTCACGATCTGGTCATCCAGCATGGTCTGTATGTCATCCACCGAGGCTAGGATCTTGACTCCTGTGTCGCGGTACGTAGTCAGGCTAAACTGAACCTGGTCCCATTCCTCTACCATCTTGCTCATGGCCTTCTCCAAGGAGTATTCCTGGGGAATCGAGAAAAGTCTCAAAGTTATCTCCAGGGCTCGGAATATGTCATGGAGTGTAGCAGAAACTATAACACGTCACACACAGATTTTGTATCCTGATTGGCGGAGAACGAGTCACATGGCATTCGCTATTTTTACTATCTTGCTGTGCACAGCCAAAAAGACAATACAACGGCCGAAAAAAATGATATACGCATAGCAACCAACATAGCATCCGGTATGCTTGTGTGCAAATGCATACGGGCGTGCACATTGCGCGAATTGTTCCCATGTATTGTCCCCCCCTAACACTACCCCCCCCCCCCCCCCCCCCCAACGCTACAGAGCTAGGTTTCAACATATCATGAATGGGTAGTTTGGAAAAGTGCAAGTAAATTTCAACCAATGTCATACTGAAATACAAGTTTGTTTAATTGGATTTAGGCTAAATTAATCAGTTATCTCTTAAAATAGAGCTGAATCAGTGCAAGGGCCCATGTAATGAAATTTTTTAATGCAATCCTTGAAATGTACCTTTGTATTCAATTTAACTCTATTATCTTCATATTGCCATTTTAAGGGCGTTTTGTGCCTTTTTGGTTTTTATGCTTATGAAAATTTCCATATTCATGAGCAAAACTTTCATGTCATTCAAAGGCAGAAACTTTAGTACACATTTGCTTCACATAAAAGTCACCAGTAATTTTAGGGGTTTGTTTTAGTTATTTTTCTGCTTTCAGCAGCTCATTATTGTTTCAGTCTATGACAGTAAGACAGTGAAAAAATGTCATGCACAATTGTTTTCACAAAAGCAGAATTTTGAGTTGACAATTGGAAGAGAAAACCCCTATTCTGAAGAGCGTGTTTCTGATGTGACATCACAGATACAGCGCCCTCAGTTGTCAGGAAAAGCATGTAACATTTTAAATGTTTTAAAAAATTGCACTTTGCCAAAGATTTTCACCAAAAAAGGGATGTGTTTTTATACATTTCAGAGGAATGGATTTTTGCTACAAATACGCTCAACTGAAAACATTAAGAAATTTCAAAATAAATATTATTTTCTCCCAAGACTTTTGGAATGTTGAATGCTCTCTAAAATAAAATTGGTTTCTGAAATGGTTTTCCAAACATTCAATGACTGGGATACAAAAAGAAACCCTGCAAGGGAATGGAACCGCCCTGCCTGTCAATCAAACAGAGTGCATTGACTAATTAAAAGGACAGGTGGGCGGAGCTTATGGCAAAAACTGGAATAGTCCATTCTACCAAAGGTGAAACTAAGCTTATGTATGATCAGTGACCCTTTTTTTACCTTTGAGGCAGCAGCACTGATGGAGTCAAACTTCTCCATGTACGGATCCAGACTAAGCTTGAGTACTTTACGCAGTGTTGTACCAGAGTCTGGGGTCAGATCGAAGCCAGCAATGTCTGACATTTGACTCCAGTGACGAGTACGGATGCCTGGGTTGCACATGATTGCGATGGTTGGGATATTTTCCTATATTCAGGAAAGACAAAATACATAAAGATGTATCTTTTAAAAGAAATGTTTATGAACTTCAATTTTTTAGTCATACTTTCCCCATAATTTCTTTCCATTTGTCAAATAAATTTGTGAGCCATTCGAGGGAGTTTTTCAAATATTTGACTTTTTTCATCATTCCATTTTCACTTTGTAATAACTGGAATAGTATTATGGGCTTGGTGCAAAACCATGTCATAATCCTAAAATGCAAAAAAATATCAAGGGGCATTTTTGCACCATTTTTGCTGCTATGCAAAGGGTGTATTTTCCACATTTGAAGATGCTAGAGGTTTTTTTTATATTCTGTTGTGTGCTTCCTGGGCTCTTGTGAGTTGACTTCACTCTGGGTTTTTTTTTCACCTCATACTGCCCTGCTCTGGAAGTTTTTGCCAGAATCCTGGTTTTTCCTTCAAAGAATGAATCTTGCTCTTTGCAAAGTGACAACAGATTTCTCCTTTCTCTTGAATTGTCTTGTTTTTTTTCCTTTCTTTACTTAACCCTAACCACCCCAACTCCATCAAAATCCATCCCCCCATTTTGGTGGATTTGGGGGACTTAGTCCAGAAGGCCTAGCGTGACTAAATTATTGATGGAGTATGATGGACTTGGGCCTAATGGCCTGAAGCAGTGCTAGTGGTATCCGATTGATTTTGCCTAGCTTCCTGTACTGCTAATGTGATAAAAGCCATGTGTAGCAAGTCCACGAAAGTTAACCGGTGCGTCAGTGGTGGATTCCATTATGTCATGTACAGCTTTGTATTAGACGCATAGTGATTGATGGATTTTGATGGAATTGGTCCAGTTCCTAGTAAAAGATGCCAGGGAGTTAGGGTTAAAGATGCCAGGGAGTTAGGGTTAAAGATGCCAGGGAGTTAGGGTTAAAGATGCTACCTCAGGTAGCCTTTAAGCCTTGCTGTTGGCAAATTTCAAGTTTGTAAAAAGGCCACAGAGCTTCATAAGCAGATTTTGCACAGGATTCATGGGAATCTAGCTTCATATAGAGAGTAATGGGTAAATCAGCAAAGAATAAGTCTAAAAAGAAGTAAAGCATGTCCTTGTTACCTGAAACTCTTTGATCTGCTCTTGTACCACGCTGCAGACCTTGAGAGCAGCCCCACCCTCCTCCTCCTCCTCCTTTTTCTCCTCAGGCTCCTCCCCTTCGTCCGCCCCTATTCTCTTCTTCTTGGGCGGGGCTGCTTTAGCCTTCTCGGCATCGCGTTTCTTCTTCTGGGCTAAGAAGGTCTTGGTGGTCTTGTAGATGTCTCGCCAGTAGTCGTCGGCTTCGTTGCCGATGGACTCAGAGTCTAGCTCCATAAAGGCACCATCCATCCATCTGAAAACACAGATAATACCAAAAAGCAGTTTCAGACTTTGAAACAATTAGGAGCTACCACACACGATAGATCAACTGTTGCAGTTGCTTGAAATGACTCAAGAGTCAATTCATTGGAAAATAAGTGTTTAAGTTCACCTGTCCGACATAAAATTCTATTTAAGTTTTCATTTAATTTTTCATTTCAGAAACATTTATTTCCACATGAATAAGCACTTTAGAAAACAAAACAATTGTTACATGAAAACTACTAAAAGGAGGCATTACACAAGAAGCCGAAGCTTATAAACGGAATGCCTTAAACACAACAAAAAATATATATATACATATAAACAATACTGAAAAAGGAAGACTACATTCAAAGACAAAACACAACAAAACAATGAAAACAGAAACAGACAAACAAACGAAGTGGACATATAAAACTTAATAAACTATACAGACGGACATACGAAACATACTAGTGATACAATTGCAAGGACACAGTTACTCTCAATACATTATGGTTCTGCGAAATTCTGGAACGTAAGTCTGAAAAAGTTGTCACTCTTTATATTTTCAACCTTGTCAGGCACTCTCTTCACTCATTAACTTGGAACAAAAAAATGCTCAAAAAAATCAAACATTTCAAATTTCAAATCTGTTGAATTGGGAACTAGCAATCCTGGAAAACCTGCTGGTGAATATTGAAGTAGGGTGGGCTAGGCTTACATCTACACAAATGATTGTGACTTTGTTGTCAAAAGATGATTTCATCGAAGAGCACTTCAATAACTTGGTAAAGGAAACGTGAGAAGCTGATAAACTCACTTTTTCTCCGCTCTCTGCCATTTGACAACCAGACTGAAGAGTTTCATGTAGGGCTCGATAGCCACGGTGATCTCATCTATCTCTGGGTAGATGGTGGCGTCCCACTTGAATAGCTTCTCTTCCTAGCAGTCCACAGATAATTGAGAAAAAAATTAATATTGCCATATGAAAACTGGGGTTCATTCATAATGAGCGGCATCTCAGAAAAAGCATCAAACACGAAAAGACTTTAAAATCAGATTATGGTTGGGGTTAAATAGAACGCCATGGTCCAGTGGTTACGGTGTTTGGCTCATGAACGAAGGTGCGTGGGTTCGAACCCGGCCAGGAACATGGTGTTTGTGCCCTTAGGCAAGACACTTAACTACAATTGCCTCTCTCCACCCAGGAGTATGAATGGGTACCTGTGAGGGTCGAGGACCGATTGAGCGCTGAAATCGGCTGCCGCGTGGTCCCATGGCCTGATGAACGGGGTAATAACTGTAAAGCGCTTTGAGATTGTTGATACGATGGAAAGCGCTATATAACACAATTATTATTTATTGTTATTAGATATCGAGATCAAAATTCTGGTGGCTTAGAATTATTTTTATGACAAATGGATAGAAGTGCATACAGATTTACAAGGTTTTGCCAACTTTGACAAATTTATTTTTTAGTAATGTAACTTGTCTTGGGAGGTTAAGAGATACTAGATGGACTAATGGACTACGGAGTGTTTGCACAAGTACGTCCTTACTTCATTGTGAGTTTGTGACAAAATCTTATTGTAGCATAAGCCGCCGTCGTCGGTATCTTCTACAGACCCGCATGGCTAAGGAGCATTAACAGAAAAGGTTTAGTCTGAATTCCACCTTTTAAGAAAGACAAGTACGTGGAAAAATCAAACCCTAACCTTTGATGTACAAATCTCACCTTGTTGATGAAGCCAATGGTCTCAGTTGCCTCAGCGATGCGCTTCTGTACTGCCCTCACGTCATTGACGTACTGCACCATCATATCCAGCTCACCGTACTCAGCAAACTCCGCCACTCGCTTACGGATCTTATCCAGCTCTACCATGACCTTCTCTCGCTTCTCAAGGAGCTCACGCTCACCCTTCCTCTTGGAGGCTTCCACGAGCTACAAGAAAACAGAAAGCAAATTAAGAAAGAGATCCCAAGTAAATAGAAACGGAATTTTAATTGCAGAATGTCCAATGACAAAGCCTGTTAAAAAGAAAGATGAAGGTAACACAATTTTTAAGTGAATAATTTTCTCAAGAAAACGTGGCAGACCTTGAGCAAGATGGAGAGACGAGATACTTGGAACAGAAATACTTGGCACAGTTTGGGAGAAGGCCTTGGCCCAGCACTGGGAAGACATGGGCTGATGATGATGATGATGATGGTGATGATAATGAATTTTCTCATCAATCAAAATATAATGTATTACTGACTAGATTCACTGTAAGTCTTGCAGATTGCTAATCTGTCAATATATTTGTCCACGAAGTAGTAGTTAAAAGCTTCTAGTTATAGGACTGCAAACACAGACCTTGATAGCTCATTTGGTAAGCGCCAGTGCCGTGTTCCGGAAGTTGACGGCTCAAATCTCACCATCCCTAAACTTGTTTTGTACATACTTATATTGAACAATTTAGTCAACCTACTATTAACTAAGCAATTCTACTAACTAAACCATTCTACTACTAAAGCCATTCTACTAGTACTAAGCCCTTTTACTAGTAGCTAAGCCATTCTACTTACAAAGCCATTCTAACTAACTAAGCCATTATACTTATAACTAACCATTGTATTACTAATGAAGCCACTGTCCTACTGACTATAAAGCCATTATACTACTAACTAACAATTCTGCTGCTAACTATAAAGCCATGCTATAACAAACCTCATCATTGTCATCAAACACAGGCTGGATGTTCTTAGGCCAGAGCAGGACAGTGCAGTTCAGATCAATGTGCTCCTGGCTGAAGAAGTAGACATCTAGCAGATAGTTCATCTTCTGTTTACTACCATTGATGCGACTGTTAAGAGCCTTGATGCCCTCCACGCGAGCCTTCTCAATGTAGGCAATCATGTCCATCATCTCGCCCGAGTCTTCTGGCACCTTGAGGGCACGTTCCTTGATGGTCTCAAACTCATTGCAGATGCTGTGGTACAAACAAATTACACTCGTCACAACTGTTCCTCACATCGGTAGTACATTTCTTCTTCACATTGATAATAATATTGGTTATACCTTCAGTGTGAATTGGAAGCAGCAAAATATTATCTGTCTTGCCTGGTTGCATACGGGAGTAATTATCTCCGTGACAGATATATGTGGTAAGCATGTTACAAATTCTATGCAAGCAACGTTAGTGTTGCATCGAATAGTGAACGTGCCTCCAATATGCACTGACATGAGTGCTGTAGTCCAATGGTTATGGTGTCCAACGGGGATGATGCTGCTCGTGTTCTTGGGCAAGACACTTTACTACAATTGCCTTTCTCCACCCTACAAATTCTACAAATTCTATGCAATAAACGCTAGTATTGCATCGAATATTGAACGTGCCTCCCTTCTGCACTGAAATGATGTATGAGTGATGTGGTCCAATGGTTATGGTGTCCAACAGGGAACATGCTGCTTGTGTTCTTGGGCTAGACACTTTACTACAATTGCCTCTCTCCACCCCACAAATTCTAATGCAATCAACGTTAGTGTTGCATCGAATATTGAATGTGCCTCCTTTCTGCAATGAAATGATGTTTGAGTGCTGTGTTATGTGTTAATAGTTATGATGTCCAACGGGGGACATACTGCTTGTGTTCTTGGGCAAGACACTTTACTACAATTATCTATCTCCACTCTTCTAACTTAAAAGGCAAACACCCACCTCTCATTTTCTTTCCTGTGGTCAGAGGCCATTCTGTCCAGCAGCATATCTGCAAAACTCCTGGACTTTTCAGCCAGCCCCCGTTTGAGATCTTCGCAATCCAGACGCACCATGTCAAAGTGTACAATGCTGTCCTGTAGCATGATCTCCCTTGCTTTACTGCGGAATTCTTCAATCAACTAAAAGAAAACCAATAAAACTTTATATATATTTTAGTTACCCTTTTTGCTACCCTTTTGGGGTAGCAAAAATCGAGATTATAGAGAAAAGCATAAGAAATTCTTGACAAGTTGGAAAAGGCCTTCGTGGCTTCACCACTCGCATGTGTGGTCTCCTGCTCTAGTCGCTTCGCCTATTCGCCGTTTTGTCTGATGCCAGCAAGTTAAGCCACAATGGCCTTGGCGAAAGGCTAGGTTAGGGGTAATACTGCATTCAAATTGACACTGTACATTAAATTTCATTTATCTGCAACTCCGCTGAATGTTGACATTTACCAATCTTCATATTCTTTACCTCGCAATATTCCTCAAACGTGTGCTCTTGGGCCATAAAAGCTTGGACTTGACTCAGTGCCTCACCGTTGCATAAGTACTCGTATCTCGTCACTGAAATGGAAGGGTCAGTTTTAACATTAATACAATTTCATGCAACGCTGTATCTAGACTCAGAAAAGTAATTTTCTTTGAAAAATTTCAATCGCCAAGGCTTTGAACGAGAGTTAGTGTCTGCTTGTTAAATCTCTTTCCCTGGGTATTTTTGTGAGAAACCTGCCTTAACCCAGCGTCCCTAGCCTCTTTTACTAGGAACTGGACCAATTCCATCAAATCCATCAATCACTGTGTGTCCAATACAAAACTGTACATGACATAATGGAATCCACCACTGACGCACTGGTTGACATTCATGGACTTGCTACACATGGTTTTTATCACAATAGCAGTACAGGAAGCTAGGCAAAATCAATCAGACACCCATTGCACTGCTTGAGGCCATTAGGCCCAAGTCCATCATACTCCATCAATATTTAGTCACGCCAGGCCTTCTGGAACAAGTCCCCCCAAATCCACCAAAATGGGGGGGGGGGGTGTATTTTGATGGAGTTGGGGTGGTTAGGGTTAATCCTACAATATCCATTACTGTGTAACTCTGAGGAAACATAAGGTTTTTCTAGTTAAAGTTGTCTACCCCGTGCTCTTCAACAAACAAACAAAATTTCTAAATAAATTGTTAAACTACCAAATTATTATTTATATTTTTTTTGGGGGGGGGTCTGCAAACCCTATGGAAAAACGATGTTTATTTTGTGCACAAACAGATCTGTCTTGCAAGCAGACTGGATCATGGGGTGGGAACCAGCCTACATCACGAGAAGGGATTTATTGTCGGCCGCAAGTAATTCAAAATTATTTAAGTAATAATTCAACATAACTTTTGCGGGCGGTGTCTTATTCAAAAATGAATAACTGTTGTATTACTACAAAATAGCAATTTAGAAAAGGAGTTTGCTTTTTCAGGATGAACTGGAAAAAAGCCCGGGATTTTTTTTTAATGGTGATATGAGCACGCCAAGGCTAAACTTTCTAGAGATATGGTAAGCACCGTAATACACTTCATTAATTTTCAACATTTTTTTTTCCACATGAATAACTTCAACTCACTGTAAGATTGTAGGTGTTCCATGGGCCCCTCAAAGTTGAGCTTGCAGGCCTCCTTGAGCTTCCTCTTAGCTTCAGTGATAATGTGATCAGCGATGGCCACATCAATGCTGTTGAGGTCATTAGTACCAGACAGCCAGGACTGGACGGTGGGCACACTCTGCATCGTCTTGGTCAGCTGGGTGACCACAAAGAGAAGACACTCCTCTAGGTCCGAGTAGTAGGGGTAGAATTCCATCTTATCGTTGTCGTAGGTCAGTTCCATCTTGAAGATGGGGAGGTTGGACTTGTCGGTGGGGTTGAAGAGGTCAACCCAGGCATCGATGGAACGGACGATCAGATCTTTCAACTGTGGAACGAGTGAAGGACAAAAAGTGAGAGTTATTCTAAGTATGATACAACTTTGCATGGTGGGATCAATACATGGATGAGAATTGTGGATGACACTATGTGAAATCAACATACACTTTGAAAACCTACACTTTTTTTAAAAGAAATTGATATTCACATGGTGTCATCAACAAACCTCATTCTTGTGATAAGCCTGCTTCATTGGTGATGAACGTATTACAAGGTTTTGTTTACATATTTTTTATTTACGCACAATGAAACATTCATGAAATTGTCTTAACTGATGTGTTGCGCAGCTTGAAATGTTGCGTAACTTGCGCAATAAACTGTGGCACAAGTAGACTTACGCCGCTGTATAAAGTTTCATGAAATCATCTGCTGAATTGTGACTGACTTGTAATTGGCTTACGACGGACTAATGACGCAACAACAACCGTGGGTTTTTTTTGGGGGGGGGGGGGGGTCGGGGGTAGTACAAGAGGCATGTGAATGTGACCATGCTGCCTTATCAATACATACCTGATTGGATATGAGAGTGGAGGTGCAGTTGTAGAATGAATCTAGCTCCTCAGGGAGGACGTCAGCTAAGTTCTTCCGATCCACAAAGACGTTGAGGACCTCCGGCCACCAACTGTGCATCTGTTTCTCCTCCATCTTCTCACATTCCAAGATGACATTATTCTGTTCAAACATCAAGTATACATTTAATACAACGTGAAGGAAATAAAGTCTTCTTAATGGGCAATGTATCTAAAGAAACGTTTGCAGTCCTCATGAAACCTGATCGATGGTGCATACCTTCGAAGTAAATCACTGAGGTTTGTAGGTTATATGAGATTCCTACAAGACTCTATATATTGAATCATAAATTGATTAAAAAATATTAATTGACTCCAAGGCAAGACCATCCCGAATACTCCAAAATCAAATACTGTACATAAATCAAATGTTGCATTATTTGTACTTTCCAGGATGCCACTTCTTAATTCAACTAAAAAGCGCGTGAGGAAAAATGTTCCTCAATCTTGCAAAATTCTGCAAAACCATTACGCTTTTTAGGCGGAAATTGAAGGATAATGAGACATTTTGGGTGAAATATCTCAAGCTAATTTTGGCACCCGTCTGACATGTACCATGGCAAGATCAGTCAAAGTTATAGTTATAAGGTTAAATTCAAACCATTTCAAACTAGAATTCAACAGGCCTGGTGAACCAAATAGTACAAGTGGCAAATCAAGTAGGCTCAAACAGATTTCAGATTTAGACAAGACAAACTTTACGCATACATTTTCAACTGACTATACTCTTCAGTTGCTCAGAACAACTACATGTACAACAGTCAATTTTTCGAAATAATCATTCTTAAAGGGAATATACATCATTTGCTTTTGCTGTAATTTTCAGAAATGGATGGAATTGGGGGGTTGGAAATATATAGCAAATATAGTTACTCTGACTTTTTTGAGGTTTTGGGTTCGAAAATGCTATAAAAACCAAGAAAAACGATCATTTTCCTGTAGTCTGGTTTCCTGACTCCATATAAGAAGAAACAGAGCAGTTTACATACACTGGGGAATTGTAAGGTCAGGGAACCAGTCTAGCTGGCTCGTACCCGTTCATAGATTTGTAATCGATTGCAAACAAGTGCGATGGTCAATTGGGGCCAGTATTTGAAAAAAAAGCCAGTTGTTTCCAACGCTGATCGGCCGATCAGCGTTGGAAATTGATACAAAAATACCACTTTTCTTGAAAATGACAGTATACCAGGTGCCATGATTTTACAGGATGCTTTACACTGTCATTCACTAACAGTCCAGCAAGGTATTTCAAAATGATTTGGTAGTTTTATATTTATACAAATGTTGTATTTTCCCTTTAATCGTAAAAAAAAATCAAACTTTTCATGTACTTAGTTCAAATCTTTGGAATGATTTGGTTTGGCATGACCGTGGCGTGAAAGCTGGAAACAGTTGTTAATTTGAATTCAATGAGGCAATCAGTGAACATGACAATACCTTGAGATGTTCACACTCCACCGGTCCCTGTGACCTCTGCCCGCTGAGGTCAACCAGGATGAGTCTGCCCAGGCTGTTCTGGCAGAGTCGTAGCACCGTCTGCATGGATGGATGTGTGATGTGTAAGGACCTAGTCATGAGCTCACGGGCTTCCACGTAGCTGTCATGCCATGGTCTGGAGTAATCTAACCCTCTGCAAAACAATCAATAATATTTTTTAAATACATGATGCATCATTTACCTTAACCTTCAACTTTCATTCACAGTAGTTGAGCTGTGATGTGTACTGAAATACCGATAACCGACCATTGGCTAGTACCCAGTTCAATATGTCTAAAATTTTATTTGCCGAAACTTTTTGGGATCCCAACCACCATTCTAAACGGGTATTAAAAGTTTTTGTTTATCAAAATACGTAAAAGCTTCGTTTTGGGGCTCTTAAGCCTACTTGCATTAAATCCAGTTGTGGGTACGTGTGGTCTAGCAGTAGAGCACAGGATTCATGATCATGAGGTTGTGGGTTCGAGCCCCACTGTGGCCATGCGTGTTGTGCCCTTGAGTAAGGCGCTGTATTTAATTTGCAGCTGCAAAGTGCAGGGGGTGTTTTGCAGAGAATAGCGCAATGACAAATGCTTTACTTTGAAGATTTTGTTGTTGTAAAGAAATCAACGTTCTGCCAGCATCCAGCCATTATAGAACACTCCTAGACAGTGGCCTTCGTTAACAATGGTTAATGGAATTACGAGAAATTAAGATGATTATTTGAGATAACTTACTCTGGCTCCTCAGGCAGCTCGCCAATGTTGATATTTTCCAATCCCTTGATCTCTGGCTTGATGAGGACATGTTGAACTAAAGGGGAAAACAATCAAACTTAACAAATCAGCAAACTCACTTGGTACAGATTCAACATAATGATCAATGATGTGAACAACTTGGTATATTCACAGTCACCAAGTACCCAAGAGTTCTCGTTGCTGCCTGCTGACATCTAGATACATGTATATCAGCATGTTTCACATCCAATTTTGTGAAATCATCCTTAAATGCATTAAAATTCTAAACGTCTTAGAATATGAAGCTCCCTTACATCCCCTGAAACACATCGAAATGGTTGGCTTACCCATAGATTTCTTCATACTACTAGTCCAGTTATCCTTTACTTCCTGAAACAGCTCCTGAATAACCTCCTGCATGTTGGGATTCTGGGTCAGATGGTCCGGGATCAGACTCAGTATGTCTTGGAACCAGTGCGACTCCATGGTGGTCACCGGACTAGTCTCCACGCATTGCTTCATGAAGAGATAGTTTTGCTGTTGGGACGAAGGATTGCAGTCGTAATTGTTCATAAGCAATAAACATAATCAACCTGATACTGAATCCAAATCAAAAATACTGATGATATACCCTAGCTTCTCAATAGTTTTGCTCAAGACTTTCCTGAATCCTCAAAAGGAAAAAGTGCAATGACATTCTGTATCCATGTTCCTAACGGTATGTGGTCTCTACCTTCCCCAATCCTACAAATCCCTCCAAACAGACCTGGTATATTTGGAGGGATCTAGAGGGTTAGAGTTAACGTGACAAGCTATTTCCTTACAAATTATTGGAAGAAAAGTTTGGTATAAATTGGTTATGCCTGCAAGAATGACCTTAATTATGTGAATGCCAAGTATGAAAAAGCCTGACATTTCAATCCAAGAAGAATCAATTTAATGGCGCATAGGATCTATATTTTAGGTACTGATCTAAAAAAAATGCTTGAAACTTTTTAAAAGGGGCGGTAATATATCTGGTATTGCTTAGATCCATGAAAACGTGTTCTAAGTTTGTGAACTTTGCAAATGATTAGATCATTACAATGTCGTCATATACATCATTTTCTTGTACACGATTCACGGGTCTTTTCAGATCTTTAAACACAGACTCATATTTATATACAAAATACCAAATATGTTCGCACTTTTGTGTAGACAGACCTGAGCAATAACGTATAGATGGGGAAACCACTTTCTACACTTACCCTGTGCATGCGATCCTTGCTCATCATCTGTATGTTAGTGAGTGATTATGGGGAGTGGTTGAAGTTAAACCAGTAACAGGGTACAAGGGAGATGTTTAAAAGTTGGAAATTTGTGACGGAACAGAAATTGGTCATGAGTTGGCGTTAGTAATGGATGGGGTAATTGAAAGAATTGAGCAAAATGGTTCGGGTTGAAATAAGATGCGATATCAAAAAATGAAGTTGGGAGGATGGGGAGAAAAACAAAATAAAAACATGTATTAAAACAGACAAAACATTAAAAGCTTGCCAAAATAAACAAATTAGACAACTTTCTTAATAACAAACAAACAGAGCCTTAGGTCAGATTTTATTTTTTTCAGTCAGATTTTACTTTTTTCAGTCAGATTGTAACAGCTGTACTGAAAAAGTAATATTTTTATAAAAGCAGAACAGATGAAACAATACAAAGCAAAACTCATTTCTTTAAATTTAGTAAGCAATTTGTTATATCAAACGTGAATAAACGAAAAACATTTGAGAATATAGTTTTGTTCTTGCAACACGGCCAGACTTTATTGTGTGCTCGCACTTGTTTCTCAAAAGGCAGGAAAAACATTTACTAACTCGACAAGCAACCTTGGAGTAGCATCAAGAAACGAATGACTGGCTCCGCTTACCGATGTTGGATAGGATGGATTCCGTGCTGTAGGAGGCCTCTTCCTGTTACTATCCCCAATATCTAATTCCACCTCCTTGGCATTCTTGTACAGGATATCCGTCAGCAAATCTTGCATCTCCTTGGCCCGTCTGTGCTTCATCAACTTGCTCTGGCTGTAGTCTTTGTTGCTGGAGGATAGTACGCTGGCCGGGGTGTTGATTGGGGGGAGGCGGGGCACTCCGTTGGACATGCGCTTGGTGCCATTCTGGGTCGGCCTGGATCCCCCGTGCTGGCCATTCACTCGAGCCGCCATCTGAAATGTATTGAAGTTTGGTAATGTGAAAGCCGTTGCTTTTTCATTTTGTTCAATACACAGCTGCTTGTTAAGTAAACACATGGAGCCCTCCAAAATAATAAGGTTCAATTTTTAGTTTTATCAAAGTTGGACTTTGGCGAAGAACACGACTGTAAAAGATGCTGTCTTTACACTCTTTAAACTGTCTTTCTTTTTGGTACCTCTAGACTGTTTTTATCATTCCAAAATGACGTTTGAGACAATAAGCAGTCTTACTTTTAATTCTAATGACCCGTCCCTATTATTGTAATTGTGAGCAGTATTTTTTTGACAGAAAATGCATTTTCTTAAACACATGTTCTAGTTTAAGTCGTGTGAATCAATGCTGTTTTGTGCATCAAGGTGCTTGGTGATTGCCACCATTCACCATCGCTGTGTTGCTTTTTGCCGTCATCGACTTATTCCTCCATTGCCCGAAATTTTCCCAAAAAATCAAAACCCTTGCTCATGCCGCTTTGGGTGAGAATTAATTTATAACCTGGATTTTTTTTCTCTAATATAAGAGCGGAGCCTGTAAGTTCCATAACATGAATTATAACACCTTCAACTTCAACAGTTGACAAGTTAACTTTACTCTTTACAAGACTTTAGCTTATTTGCATAAAAAGAAAATCAGTTTTGAAATATAACTTGAAAGACACAAGTGACAATCAGTGAATCACATTTAAAATGTTTTTATAAGGGCCTACAAGTAGGCTAGTCCGAGTAACTTGGACCCAACTTATCGCCTTTTTAAAAATTTGGACATGGTCTGGCGATAGCCTACTATCGCCAGACCATGTCCAAATTTTTAAAAAGGCGATAAGTTGGGTCCAAGTTACTCGGACTACAAGTAGGCTAACTCAGAAACTGTATAACCTTTATAATTTATATTAATGTGTTTTATTTGTCTGATTTGAAATGCATACGAACTTTTGTATCAAATTCATGATACAAATGCATTGATTACGACTTTACGTTGCTTGTTTACAAAAAAATGGCGACTTCCATTCGCTCAAGTTTTGAAGTTTCAACCACCCAGTCACAACAATACAGTTAATTTTCTCTTATTGCACCACAGCGACACTTACTTTTACCACGCGCAGTCAAGTAAAGGGATCTCCCTTGTAGATTACCTTGCACTACTTTTGATTCATGGCTTGAAATTCAACGGTAAAACGTGATTTTTGGTTGTCTGAAATCTCCAATTCGTTCAGCCGTACTTTCCAATCATTTATCTCGTCGCCAGGGTGAATTCCGAAAGTTACCGAACAGTGCAAACGGTGAGTTCGGAAAATCTCGGGAAAGCTAAATCAGAGGATAGAGGGCAAAGGTCATCACATAACGCAGCGCTAAGCAACGTGACGTCACCATAACACTCCGTACATGGTGTACGTATCGCATAATGTACAACATCACAGTCGGCGAAAATCTGAACTTAACCTTTATTTTACAGCGTTGATTTTCGTGATTCTTGTAGAACTATTCGTGCGGGAGTCTGTAGGTTGCTTCTTCATCAGCAGATCTTTCAGACAGGTATGTTGTGACATTGTAAAAGTCGGAGAAATGTACGAGAAAAAGAAGCACAACTGAATTGAATGAACATGATGAACTGGCAGTGGCACTGGAAAAACTGCGCTCTATACGCGGTTGCATGAATCTGCAATGGAATTTTTATGTTTATGCACCGTCTAATGTCATGAATCCTTAGGGTTGGGACTGGGAGTTTAGGGAAGTCAACTAATTTTTTGAAACGACTGATGAAGAAGTGTTTTACTGCATTTGAAGTTGGCATAGTTTTGTAGCTAAGAACATTACTTAATCATTTAAGATCAATTTTTTTTGCAGCATTTCTGCCCCAAACTAAAAACAAAGTCTTTAACTTTAAGTTCAACCTCTGCTTTGGCTGCCTTTGGGCCTGATATTTGAATTTTGATACTTTTGTTTACATTTTTAATCTGACACTGCGGGGTTAGAGTTTATACCTCTGGTTCTTTTCAGAACCATTCTCTTAGTTGAGAAATTATTCGCACATGGTGTCTCCGCAAACCTTTCATTATTTATTTTATTATTATTTTTTTCCCAAGGGCAGGGCCTAATTCAATAACGAACCATGGCGGATGAGGAGAGTCAGGTACCAACCGAGCCAACTGAAGCGGACAAGGAACAACAGACGGACGAACCCAGCGAAATAACAGACAACGCAGACCAGGAAACAGGAAATGCTACAAATGAAGAGACAGCAGTAGAAAATGGGGCAGGACCAGAGGATAAGACAACGGAACAAGTAGACAAACCTGAAGCCAGCAATGAAGACAATAATGGCGAGCATCAGGCGACAGATTCCCAGGAGTTGACTGAACCAGGAGAAGAAGCTACACAAACTGAGGCGGAAGAAAAGGTCAAAGGTGAAGATGGAGAGGTTGAAGGTCAAGACAAAGAAGTCTCTACTCACCAGGACCAAGAGGTTTCAGAAGCTGAAAAGGAGACGGAAGGACAAGACCAGATCACAGAGGAGGCAACTGGGGAAGGTCAGGAGGTCACAGGTCAGAGTCAAGAGGTTCAAGGTCAAGATCAGGCTGCAGAAGGTCAAGAAGAGAGTAAGGATGTCGAGGCAGCTGAGGGAACAACCCCAGAAGCAGCCGCTGCGGAGAGTCAAGAAGCTCCTGAAGAAACAGTTCCCGAAGAGGATAAACAACAAGAGGATTTGGAAGATGCTGGAGGTGCAGAGGCAGAAGCAGGGATAGATGAGCTGGGAGATGCTGAGAGGACCACATCCCAGGTGGAGAAGGAGACGATTGGCATGGAAACGGAGCAGACAGATGAGCAGCATGAGGTTGATCCTCATGCCGCTTCTCCTATGCCAGATCCTCTCAATGCTACGGCAACAGGTAACCCTCAACCCCCCCCCCCCCCTATCCCAAATAAATCCACCCATCTATCTACAACAGGTGTTGTAACTGAATTGTTACTACTCAGTGTATAAAAGTAGATAAACTTATAATATATTATCTTTTTGTTATGATTATTTTAGGGAATTATAAATATTTTGGTTTTTGTGTAAGGAACACCTCTAGTCTAAAAGTTTTCATATTCCTGATTTTCCATGTGAAAAGAGAAATTTACGCCTGTGGCCACTTCATCCACATTTGATTGGATGTCGATTTACACCAGCGAACAAATATCCTCGATCCATCTCTTGTGTGTTGTTTTTTTTCAGTGAAGTTTGTGTTGATGCCTAGTGGCCAGGTCACCACCATGGCTTGTGCTCTAAGTCAAACGATGCAGCAGCTCCGAGCTCACTTTGCTAGCGAGCTACGCATGCAGGCAGATCAGCTGGTCTTCATGTATGATGGTGAGTAGCATGTGTGCAGTTTGCTCCCTACTCGCTATCAGTAATCAACATTGATAAGAAAGTCGAAATCTGACATGGTGTAAAATTTGTGGAACATTACATGTCATTTTTTAGTCCACAAATTTTAATATCATATCGAACACACCATTTACAAAATGTAACAGTGACTCACAGCTTTTGATACTCATTTACCAGAGTTTTCACCCAAATTTATACAATTGTCTCTTTTATTTTGAAAAATTATCGTGTGATGTGTTTTCAACAATAGACATTCAAAAAAAAATAATAATTTAAGCGAGTTTTACAACAGTACTTACCTTAAACATTTAAGTTTAGGTTAAAACTCGCTGACAACAAAAATCAAATTTCCAAGAGATATTTACCATACACCAAGTAAAGCAGTTACAAAAACATGACAATATATTTTTGCAACCTGATTGACAAAATGCCCTTTCTTTCTTTAGGGTCAAATGTCAAGGATGATTTGACCCTGCATGACCTCGGCGTAGGCCCCAATGGTGCGGTTCAGATGGAGATCTCATCAGCTGATCCAGAGAATAATCCCCTGAAAGCTCTCAAGCCCAAACCCTCCTACATCATGCCCGATGTCATCACGGTCAAGGTTCAGAGAGGTACGTTCAAAAGCTAGAGACTGTCTTCACATTTTTGTTAACTCTACATGTAGCTTTTTAGTCGGTGTTAAAGTTAAAGTTATTGTGATGGATCACAATTAAAAATTGTCAAAAAGTTAACATGCAAAAAATGTGAAGAGACTCATGAATACCAATTTTTTAAATGTCAGCAATGGAAAGGAAATGTTTCTCTTAACTTCCAAAAGAGGTTTTCAAATTTATTTTGAAAATTTGCAAATCTTACATTTGATCACAGATGGCGTGCAGGAAGACATAGTTGTTGAGATTGAGCGTTCCATGCGACACAAACCATTCCTTGGGGGCTACAAACACCGCCACACGGGGCTGGAGTTCTACAACGCCTCGGCCCAGACCAGACCCAAGACGCGTAAGGACAACGGCATTGAGAAATTCTGCCGCGACACACAGACGGTCAAACAGAAGAACATCAGACAGCAAACCAAGATCAATACTGCCACGCAGATGACAATGATCGGGTGCTATGTGGCCAATATGACTGATAAGCTAGTGGTGCCTGGCAGGTACCAGACCGCTGAAGAGTATCATGCCATACGACTGAAGAAGGTAAGGTGTGGCTTGAGTTTGATTGTTAAGTATTGCTGCAATGAGTTGAATATCTTGAAAAGTATTAATCGGTATGACAATGATGTGCTTTATTATAAGAAATAAAATACATCCTTATGTGTGAGAAAACCTAGTGTGATTGGCTTGTGCTTGATTTTTTACGGGTAAATTTTGAATCGGTAAACTGTCTTAAATTGTTGGATTTGGGTTCCATACTCTCTGCTTCACTGCCCTTAATTTAAGAATGCGTACGATTGACAGATGAGTCCCTAAAACATGTCACTGCAATTCCTAATCCTCAAAACTTTAGATTTGTCAAATATTTCATCATCTGTGGCTGTTTTTCCAACTCACAGGTCATCATCCTGCAGTCGTACTTCCGTCGTTGGCAAGCCAAGCGACAAGTCGCCAAGCTGAGGATAGACCTGGCCAAGAGAGTGGAGTATGAGAGACAAGAAGCCATCCGCAAAGTCAAGGAGAAGGAGGATCGCATCCGGAGAGAGTTTGAGAAGCGAATGAACCCCAAGAGCAAAGAAGACTTTGATTTGCTGTACCATGCACTGGAAAGTAAGCAAAATCAAGTGGTCTTCTGTTTTAATGAGTTCTATTTCTTTGTTTAACATAAGCTGACAATTAAATAAAGCCAATCAATCAATCAAGTGACAGTTTATAACAGTTATGAGCTCCCTGCCTACATGAAGCAGGATTGACTGGCTGTGACTGTTCATGTCACTCGATACAGCCATGCTTTGACTGTAGTTGATTGACATGCCAGCTGTTGAGTACTTGTTCCCTTTCATGATGATTGAATTTGACTAGTCACAGCGCTTACCAGAAATATGTTGGTAAACTGGCCTGTGCATAAAGGCACAGCAAGGGAAGTTGATCAAATTTTTGACCGTCGTTGAATGTTCAGACAGCAGCAGTGTTAGTTTTTCTGGTGTATTCAATCAGAAATAAAAATTCGAACCATTTTTATTAATCAGAATGGCGCAAGGAAGAGTTGGATCAGATCAACGCGACTCTGACAGGAGCCCAACGCAAGGCCGCCCTCTGTCATCTGTTGGATCAGGAGACACAGCTGATTGCGTCCATCGGTAGACACAAACTAGAAGCTGATACTACCAACAAACAACAGGCCATACAGAACTTCCTGGATAAGGTAACAGACTCAAATATTTACAGCTGGTCTAAGTTTTGTCTTTGATGACTTTAAGCCATTAGTTCTGGCCCAGTTCCCCTCCCCCTTCCCTCCCCCCTCTCATTACCCATAAACTGCCCCAGCTCAGTACAGTATAGTTCATCAGGGAATAAATACAATGTAATACAACGTAGGACAGACGCTAATTGGTTAAACACATGTATTGGGATTGCCCTTCACCGATACATTAGACAAAAATCGGCGGGCCATTCCAAGCAAGTTCAGTGGTTGAGTGGTTAAAGCATCTGCACTCGTAAGCAGGAGGTCGTGGGTTCGAGTCCCACTCCAGCTAGCTTGTGAATTATTTCTTGCAGGCTCTCAGACAGCATTGAGTATACAGTGTTTATTAAATTATATTGATAAAGGGCAGAACCCATAAAATATCTCACAGAAGCAACAGTGCATCATATAAGTTATTGGATGACTTTGACGGCATCATCAGTTACGAAATCAAGAGGAAAATTGCATGGTGTTCTCCTTATAAATGTCTAAATAAAACAATTATATGCTTTCATCAGGTGCACATTTTTTAGCCTACACCCTACAGAAATCATTACTCTAATTAGCAGCCCTTTGTCGCAAGATTCTTTAAAAATTCATGTTAGTTTGAGTATTCCTCCTTTCACTAAATTTGAGTGGGCTCAAAAATTTGTTAGATTCTTAATGAGGTAATGTTTTCATTGATCTTAGTTGGGAACGTATTTGTGTTCATTTATGTATTCATTCAACTTTAATTTGCCATTGAAGTGTGTCATGCATTAATGTTTATTCATTACGTTTTAGCTACATCATCAATAGACAATAAGTTGTGTTTTGATCCTGATAGGGGGCGGCACCCAAGAAGTGGCGGTCAGCAGACGGCAAATTCACCGAGATGGACACCGCCTACACCATCAGGGCGCGCGAACTACGTGATATCTACAAAAGTCTCAACATGAAATACCTGACGCAAGACGAAAGACTGGATGTGCTGCTGACACTCAAACATACTGTCAAGGTAAAACAGAGAAAAAAATAAACCACATTTTATAATAAATTTTCATTTTTATACATTTTGTCTTTAGAATTTCTTTAATTAAACCCAAAATGATGTCAAAATTTAACAGTGTACTTAAAAAAATGAGATTATCACCCCTAATTGAAATAGAAATTAATACCATGTTGTTTTTAGAATAGATGGGATACATGAGTATTCATCACTTTTAATTCTATTTCACCTCGATCTTTCTGGCAGTTGTTAACATTCTCAAAATATCCAAATTTTATTGGAGGCCGTTATGTATGGTGAGTCGGTGTTATGAGACTAAAACCATAACCTGAAATATCTTGTACACATGGGTCAAGCTAGAAAATAATCCAAGCTAGTAAGTAATACATAAATACTATAAACATTAAACAACACTGATTTTGTTAATACATTCATAATTTCTGTTGTTGTATTGTTAGGAGCACGACTGCAAACTGACCCAGGAGATTATAGAATTGATTGATCGTGAGGCTGACCTTTTGATGCGAGGGGTCAAGGAAACCAATCTGGAAGGTCTGCGCAAGCGGATCGCAACGCTCTTCCTTCAGTACGTCAAGACGCCCACGTTTAACGCTGAGGCTGCTAGGCTGCTCAAAGTGAGTATGGACGCAGTAGAAGGACAGTGGATGGCACTGACATGTATGACGCAAAATATGCGCAACTCACAAGAGCTCGACGGGACACACTGCATGCTTGCACTAGTTCTTATGTGTATGCATGGCGCAAAATATGCAAACTAATTTTATTCTTAATGTGCAAGCAGCTGTATTGTCTTGTGTTAGGATCAGGTAACATCAACAATGCATTCAGGTCCTTCCCGGTGGTTCCTTTCAAATTTTTCTGTTCAACAATTGCACAAAATATATAGGCTGTTGCATTTTGAAACAGCTTATGATTAATAATAGATTTTTAGTAAGTCCACTAAAACGTCAAGTTCCCATACCAATATTGGAAACAGTTTTATTCCAGATGAAATTTTGAAGGGTAAGAAAATTTTGGTTTTGCTTTTTTTTCTAATGTTTAATTTTTAGCTTGAAATCCAGAAAGAAACAACTAATATTCAACTGTGGATCCCTTTGTTCAGAATAACAACTTTCAAATGAAACATTTTGTTTATTTTCATTGCATCGTGAATTGGTAATTAAATACATTTTGCTTTCAATCCATCTCCATTCCACAGGTCCCCCAGGACCCCTCATCTCTCCGCAAGAACATCTACTTCTGTCCCAGCTGCAACAGCTACTTACCGTCCACCGAGTTCCAGCTGGCGTCCAATTCCCGCAACGTTGGTCGCTGCCGGCGCTGTCAGAAAATGGACAACGACGCCAGGGCGCGTCATGATTACAGCATCTATCGCTACATGCTCAAGTCGCTGCGCAGATACGAGGAAGCAATGAACGATGGCTCACGCATCGCATTCCTGATGCAGGTATGGAAATCGTAGAGTCGTAATCAAGTCAATCACAAGTCAATCACAAGTCAATCACAAGTCAATCACAAGTCAATCACAAGTCAATACACAATTTAGTCACAAGTCGATCACAAGTCAATCACAAGTCAATCAAAATTCAATCACAACTCAATCACAAGTAGATCTCAAGTCAATCACATGTCAATCACAAGTCAATCACAAGTCAATCACAAGTCAATCACAAGTCAATACACAAGTCAATACACAATTTAGTCACAAGTCGATCACAAGTCAATCACAAGTCAATCAAAATTCAATCACAACTCAATCACAAGTCAGTCACTAGTCAATCACAACTCAATCACAAGTCAATCACAAGTCAATCACAAGTCAATCCCAAGTCAATCACAAGTCAATCACAAGTCCATCCCATGTCAATCCCAAGTCAATCCCAAGTCAATCCCAAGTCAATCCCAAGTCAATCACAAGTCAATCACAAGTCAATCCCAAGTCAATCACAAGTCAATCACAAGTCAATCACAAGTCAATCACAAGTCAATCCCAACTCAATCCCAAGTCAATCACAAGTCAATCATAATTATAATCACAAGTCAATCCTAAGTTAATCACAAGTCAATCACAACTCAATCACAAGTCAATCTCAAGTCAATCCCAACTCAATCACAAGTCAAATCACAAGTCAAATCACAAGTCATTACAAGTCCAATCACAAGTCGAATCACAAGTCAATCACAACTCAATCACAACTCAATCACAATTCAATCACAACTCAATCACAACTCAATCACAAGTCAATCACAAGCCAATCACGAGTCAATCACAAGTCAAATCACAAGTCAATCACAAGTCAATCACAAGTCAATCACAAGTCATGCTACAAGTAACAGGCGATGAACAGTGACGAAGGACTTTCCAGGTAAATAGTTTGTGACTTCACCGACTTGACTTGAAACTGGATGACTTGTGATTGACTTATGATGACTTGTGATGACTTATAATGACTTGTGATGACGTGTAACTGCCAATGATTATTTATCATAAGTGCTGTCAGATTTATCAAGAGTGCTGCAACATCATTCTTGACATTCAGACTCAGTCCAATTTTCTTTGCTGTACTAACTTGTCTTCTTTGTTGCTCTGATCTAACCAGGAGGGTGACTTGAGATACCTTGTGGAGAACATCTGGAGTTCTCAGAGTGCACTGAGCGCCTGGAATGACATGTATGACCTGGTCTTGGTGCGGTGGGACAAAGATGAGGAATGGTCGCCATGGAATTGCATCTTACTCACCAAGGATGAGGCGACGACGCACATACAGATTGAAGAACTGGAGAAGGTAGGCAAGAGAATCAAACAAAGAAATGAGAAAAGCAAAAGAGTTTGCAAATCCTGGGGAAAATTAGACGAGGCTTGCCTCGTTAAGCTTGACCAGAAGTAGCAATTAAGGCACAGCGACTCGATAAGTCAATGACTCGGGGAGTCAGTCAATCAGTCAATCTAGAAACTTTCAAGGAACAGAAATTTAGCTGTCTAGTTCCGATTTCCTAGAGTGGCCTGAAAAGTTTAAGTTGGCCACATTTTTAGACCAATATATCATGTTGCGGCCATTTGGAGTTTTCCCATTCAAATCAAAGTAACCAAAGCGAGGCTGGAAGAAAAATAGTCTGGTTCCTTTATGCACAAAAAACATTATCAATCAATACTGTTATTTGATACAGGGAACATGACTGAAATGGTGGCAGCATGCTCAAGGTCTATTGGCATCCGATACCAAGATATTCGCGAAAATTCACTGTGATTTGTTCCTTTTTTTTTCATATTCCAGGGTTACGGTCGAGTCTTCTGCCACAAGGTCAACACCAAGCACACCTTGGCTAGGAATTACTTCTCACGTCTTCCCGGCATGGCGGAGCACATGAGGCACAAAGCTAGCCAACCCAAGCCAGGAAACTCCATCGTTGCCCAAACTGTCTTACCATCCAAAGCATAGACTCACAAACAGTCTCTCGGAAACTTTGAATACTAGTGTTGGTGTAAATTGTTACTAGGTTCATGAAGGGGGAGGGGCATGACCAGGATCCAAGGAAAAGGTCGTCTTTAAATTAACAGAAATTTGGGGACAGGCATTTGTATTACTACGAATGTTCATAGTTTACTTATAAAACTGTTGAAGATAAAAATATGAAGCTTGTGTTTCGTGCTCATGTGTCTAAAACATGCCTGGACATGCCTTGTCAAACTGAAACAGAAGGCCTTAGTTTAGGACATTATTTGCACAACGTGACTGAGTTGGGGAGTCAGCCAGTCAGTAAGGCGGAAGACAATATGCTGGGCCTTCAGGGTCTTAAAAAATGCATCCAAGAGCTATTATTTTGGCATCTACCCAAGAAGCTTTCCGAGTCATATCCAAACAGCGCATTATTTGTACTAAATAAAATCAAGAACCCAAAGCCCCAGGTAACGTAATAATAGTGGCTTGGCTGGCAGTCCAAAATCCATCAACAAAATTAGTTATTCGATATCTGTGGGTTATGGTTTAACCTTATCTCAACACATACATGTATATATACAGTATATAGTTTGTTTTAAGTGACAATTAAGTCTTGTAAATATTTATACTTGCAAGTCCTAGTATTGGCAACGTATTCCAAGTCAGGGAACCAGACAACATGGTTTCCGTAAGTACATGTAAATACAACTGTTAAGTCATAAAATTAGGCTGGCACTCCAAAGATGAACAACGTTTTACTCCCCAACTTCACTGCCTTCTTGTTGATTAGAAGTCAGCTCTTAGACAAATAAAGAGTGCAGGAGCCTGAGTGCATTAAATAATATTTTTTTTATTTGAAGTTAATTGTGAAGTTGCAAAGATGAATCAAGGTCTCTTCCTACAAAGCAGAAACTCCAGAAATATGTTTTTAAGAAAATCACTTGGGTCAGGTCAGCTATAAACTGAACGGTACTGCGGAATAACGCATTTAAGTCTTCCTGTAGGAGGAACTCTCAAAACAAACTTGCATTTTGAAGAAATTAATAAAAAGGTCTAAGTACGTATTGTTTAATTTGTGACTTAATCCTGTATAGCTACCGTGTATTTTATTACATGAAGTTGTGAAGAGTATAAATAAATGTCCTTGGCAAAACACTTACTGAATCAATTGTATACAGAACCAGTAGCTTCAACAACAGTTTCTTCCCCTAATCAAGACAATCATGGATTGGAACAGTCTGCCACCTAGTATAATTGAATCTGGGTCAACATCTCACTCAACTGACATTTAGAGCAGAACTCCTCAAATTGTTCAGTGGTAGCAAATAGGCTGTTGAAAACACCTGCTCCACGCCCCTTACTAACCAACAAGTTGGTGTGATATTTTCTGATGAATGCTTTGCCAACTGTACCACTCAGATTCAGAAATACATTTGTATCTCTACGGATAATAATAATATTGTGGTGCTTATATAGCGCTTTATACCGAATGCGTTAAAGCGCTTCACAATTATTACCCCTGTTCATCGGGCAACGAGACCACTTTTGCAGCAGCTCAATATCAGCGCATATGTCCCGTACCTTCGCAGGTATCCATTTACTCCTAGGTGGCGAGAAGCAATGAGTGACAAACTGCCTTGCCCAAGAGCACACGCACCATTACCCAGGCTGGACTCGAACCCACAACCTGCAGCTGTACCTGCAGACCACGAACCCAATGCCCTTAACCACGAGGTCACAGCAGTTGGCATAATTCACAAAAAAATTAATTGTTGCAGAATGCAGTGGTTCCAGTCCAGGTGTACATTAATTATAAAACTCCTTTTAAAGGCATCTAAAAGAAAAAGTAAAAGTGGTTAGTCAATTTTGACCCACCGAGTCGGAGGGCATTGGTTTTGTATCGCCTGGATAGGCGTGAGTGAACCTTTTGGGGGATACATTTTTACTAGATTAAAGTAACAAAGAGCAGCATCTTAGATACCTTCAAAGCATAAGGTCTATATATCCATCATCTCTGCCCGCAGTATCTGTCAATGCTTTGTTAATTCGACTTTAAATAAGGAGAACACCTTTGACTCCGCCCATTTAGGGATATTAATATGCATGACTTTATCAATGCACGCTCGCCGCAGCCAATGATCGTGATCGAGAGCCGCATCTGCGCTCCCTGTTCCCAGGCAAAAAGAAATGTTTTCTGGTGATGTAGCATTCGTACATTTTGAAACATTTGTCACATAGGATATTTCTGAAAACTGACAAGAAACCAAATCGACTAGGCCTAAATTCTCTCGGAAGGTGGCGAGCTCGTCTTCAAGATGCGACGTCATGCCTTGACGGCACTTGTTGCTTGCGTCTTTGGTAAGTCACCATTAAGTTTGTCTGCTCCGTTTTGATCGGTCGAATCGTTCCTTGGCATCTAAGCCGTTGAACTGCTACGCACATTATGCATTGGCGGTGTTACGAAGTATTCACAACACACTGGGTAATTTGTGGGAAAGGGACGAATTATTTTTCACCTTCCAAACCAAATTATGTTTGGTAATTCCATGCTTAGGGACATGATCTTCCATTCAACGTCATTCCTGAGCCTTTTAATCACTTTATATGAATTTTAAAGAACTTTTGTTAGGGAAAAACAATGTCATATTTTTAATCAGTGTGTATCAAAAGCTCTCTTGTTTGAAGTCGTTATGAGCAGTCCAAATGTAACGAGCAGTCTGTATGCGTTACATTTGTTGTAACTGTAATGCGCAGAACAAGACTTCCCCCTCCGCCTTTCAGTTATAAAGTTGCTTTTCATTTTTTAAAGCTAATTAAGCAGCAATATTGTAGATATACTCAAGGAAACATTTTGGAGTTAAGCCGTTTCAGTTCTTAAATTGCTCTTGGTGTAAATGCGAGTACATACAGGGTGACCCCCAAAAATGCAACCCTGAAATATTTGCCTTTTATTTCAAAAACGTGATGTGTGAATTTTTATGTTTTGGATATCAGATTAAAGCTGAGAGTTTTTCTTTCAAATACTGCAAAAAAAAAAAGAATCACGAAAACAGCACATTGGGGTGCTGAGAAAAAAAGTGATTGTTCATCCTTTCCATTGGTGCTTCAAACAGCGAAACATGTTACTGTATGCCCACTGTGCAATTGTCTTTCATTTGTGCAATTTATTTTTTAACGTTTTGACATATTTAATGATGCTGAATAGTTTTGAAATAGGACTGAAAAGGATAAGATACCTGTTCAGGTAGAAAATATAAGGTATTTCCATCAAATTCATTTGTACTCTTGTCATATTATGCGCCGTGTTGTTTAAGTACATGTATTAGGACACAATGCGCTACTACATTGCACGTAAACGGTATACGTGCAATGTTAAAATTAGATATTGTTTAACTGTTTTTATATCTTTGAATAAAGGTATGTGGGAAAAGACACATTGCCTTAAGGTTTTTTTGCGAGATTACCGAGGAATTGCCCAAATGAACCAATAAATTCATCACATAATAAGATTTCAATCATAATCCAGTTGCGAGACCAAAAACAGTGCATACGTTTTCTCTCTTTACTCAAATTGCATGGTAGCTACTGAACTAAAACTTCAACAGGTTAGTTGTTATGCACATACTTAACATTTTGACCATTTTTTTTTAAACTTCAAATGAAGAAATACAAAACACTGGTTTTATTTGCATTTAATTGTTCTGACATTATTCGAGATACAATAACTGCGGGTTTATAATATTTGACAAATTGTAAAACTTTTTTAAAAAATCATTAATTTGATGGAATATATAATGTGTATTGGCCTATAATTCTTTTTGGAGCTGTAAATTATTCATCATTCAATAACACTTAAAACCTGACAACAATAAAAGCGGTTTGTTTCTGTCTTTTTTACATTAGCTAATAAATGTCTGCTCTGTTTATGCCAAATACTGAATATTTTAGCATCGCCCGATGGCATGGAAAATTTTGACAATGTGTTGCAGTCATTTACCAATTTTATATCGGCTATTGCTGCAGTCGTCGGGCAATGCAAGCTTCATCAGGGTGACCAAAAGCGCATTAAGAGTGTAAAGAATTAGCTAGAATACCGTTTCTCGCTTTAAAGAGCTTTAAAGAGGCGGATGATTTAATCCCATGGAGGGATGTATTCTATAGTTAGGGGAGATCAAAACACTGCAGAATAACAAGCAATGGCAGCCATTTTGAAAATTGTGAAAGTTGCTTGTTATTCTTGCTATTTTTTTTTAAAAGGACAAAATCTGCGATGGCCCTATATAGCGAAATATCTTTCTTAATACATACTCTGACAGTGTGCCAAATGCCATGCGTGTATCATCAAAGGCACAATCCCCCAATATTTCCCCTAGCTGCCCCACTATACATCCAAAATCACAAATTTATATAATTATGGCAATTCCGTGGTCAGAGACACGAACACGATTAATTATAAATAACAGTAATGCTCGTAAAAAAAGCCTGCTATCTACGCTGACGCTGCTTTCGACAGAGTGCAGCACCACGACATTATTTTTCGACGACACATTTATTCTCAAATAAGGTCATTCACATACTTTAAACAATTTAAAACGGCTCAAGAAACGTCAACAATTAGTGACTTTGTTTTTCTAATTATTAAATATTCAGAACATTAAAGGGGAGATACAACACTTGCAAACATTACAAAACGAAATGATCAAATTATCACAAAATACCTTACTGGATTGTTAGGGAATGACAGTCTAAAGCATCCTGTAAAATCGTGGTTCCTGGTGTGCTGACATTTTCAAGAAAAATGGTATTTTTCCAACGCTGGTCGGCCGACCAGCGTTGGAGAAAACTGGTTTTTTTTCAAAACTGCTCCCAATTTTTTCATAATTAGTTATTCAGTGTTTTCTTAGCAAATGATTACACAACTGTGAAGGGGTACAAGCCTATTAGACTGACCCTCTGATCTTACAATTCCCCAAAGCCTATGGAAACCTCTAGGACAACGTTTTAGAAACGATCTTCTGTTCAGGTCAGCTAATAAATGGAGGAACGAGAGGATAAGAACGAACACGGAAACTGCATTTTTGCCACTGGTTTTTGGCTTTATATTCATAGGATGCTTCTTCAAAATACAAAGAGACTTGACCTTTTTAGAATGATGATTGATGTTTCGAGTAATTTCGAACTATTCATCCATTTATTGCATTGTCATTATGTTGTAACTTTGCAAGAGCCACTCTTTCACCGCACACACTATTAGGTCGCCATGTTTGTTTGGATTATTTGCCTCGCTATGATTTTCAAGATGGCATTCCCTGATAAAGAAATATTGTACTGTCTGAATTTTCAACTGCAGAATAACATTATACTAGTACTCCTGCACAGAAGGCACTCTCAAACCTTCGAAAAAAATCGTTTCTGTATTCACAAAATGCACAGACTGAGATACTGAGCTAAAAGTTAGTTAATACACACCCTATTTGACAGTACATGTATTGTGTTCCTTACACTCAAAACACAGTAATTGTGGTACTTATAATATATTAGTTATGGCGGTGCCCAGCAACGTCTGACTCAATAATAATCACCAATAACGCCATGATTCAGTTATTTATGGAGCTGTTAATTATTCCTAATTCAATACCACTCGCCACCGATGACAACAATGGTGTTTCTGTCTTTCTGACAAGCTAGCACATGCCTGTTCTGTTCTTGTCAAGTAGGGAATATTTAAGCATCAATCAGCTACTCGAATGACGAATAAACCATCACTGGTACTGAATAGTATATTTCATCACATGCACACATTGTGGACGAGTATAATTTAGTGACATAACTTATATAAGTGTTCGTTCATAATAATTGAAGCCCCACTCCAACATATTGTGAAGAAAAAGTGTATTAAAAAAAGAAGTGATTGTAAAGAAAAAGTAACACATAGAATGTATTGATGGACACCTCAATTATCTTCGAAAGTATACTTACCACATATATTTCTGAGTCCCTTTGGGCAGAACCGGATTTCACCAACGAAGATCGGTGACTGCAAAAAATAAGAATATACCTTTTATATGTTGGCAATTCTATTGCAGTTTTTATTTAATTTTATTTTCAGTATCAGGTGTTTGCCCTTCACCGACGTAATAAAGGGCAAAATCAAATATTGAATTTACATCACCCCAATGCATATTTAGCACGGAAAATAAATGGCCATGCCTTGAAGAAATTAAACCTATCATGTTGACATTCACATTGTATCATAGGTATTGACGACAACTAGCATTTCATTAACAAAATCTATTTTCGGGGCGAAACACATTCAAAATAGCACTCGACAGCAAGTTTAATCAATGGACAATGGACATCTCAATAATACTGGTATTTTTTTCTAGCAATAGCGTTAAATATCATTGTTGTTTTTCAGTGACCCTTTGGGGCGTAGTTTTGACTGAGAAGGTCTGCTACTTCAGCCAGGAGCCTGATGCGAGTCAGTCAGGCCGTCTTCGCTGGGTTATGCCGGGGAATAAGGAAGATCGTTGCGCCTGTACCAGTACCAGACCAGGGCCCGTTAACGTGCAGCCAGTCCGTTGGTCTCATCAACCGTTCTACACCGACACTCCAATCTTCACCAACGACCAGGAGGACATTCATGACTACTTCGACTGTCATGGTAGGCCTGAGACACAATGTCGTCATGCTTTGTTTACATTATGCACTTTCTTATATGAGAACTCAATTGGCTCAGTATCGTCCCCACCTGGCTCTCGAGGAAAGTGCACAATAACAAAGCGTGACGTCATTATGTCTAAGATCTATGGCGCAAAACATCAACTGAAACTGTGCCGCCAAGCTTTGAAATGGTTCTGAGCTAAAAGTTCGACAGGTTAGTTATTACGCAATCTTCTAAATGTACAGAGCAAAATGATCCGATGTACGTTTAAGCAGATTCAGAACCATGAAAAAAAAAGAACGAAGTTTATACGCACAGTTTATAGTGCAGAATATTATGGTCCACAAGTCTGGTTCTTGACTAAATTATATCAAAATACTACAATTTCTACCACTGGTCTCTGGCCAAAACGTAACTTTAGACAAATACGTAGGGCCTACTTCGATTGTTTACTTTTCCGTTTTATTGCTTCAAGATGCCTGCCGCCCGAACCCCTGTCGACACGGGGGGAGATGCGAGAATCTTGGCGGCTATTTCAAGTGTCACTGCGTGGACGGTTGCGGGGGAGATCGTTGTCAAGGTAGGAAATAATCTTTGCGAATTCCAGATGAAACTGTAACGTCAGCTGATTCTGAGCTAAAACTTCAACAGATTAGTTGTTATGTTTCCCTACTAAATGCACAAAGTTTGTACGCATCAGGGTGCAGAATCCAGTCTGACAGCTGGCCATTGACTACAAGGAAGAAATATATCATACCCGATTTCCACCACTGGTCTCTGGCAAAACATTTTGGACCAAAACTTGACTTTGATTGTTTACTTTTCCGTATTATTGCTTCAGTTCAAGATGCCTGCTGCTCGAACCCTTGTCAAGACGGGGGAAGTTGCGTGACAAGGGGCGACGCTTTCGAGTGTCTTTGCTTTAACGGTTTCGGGGGAGATGGTTGTCAATTAGGTAAGAAATAATCTTTTCGAACTCCAGATGATACTGTAGCGCAAGCTGAGCGGTTACCGTAATATGTCCCTGCTATTTGGGAACAAAAACGTTGTGTTTTAGTTGCTATTTTCAAGCAAAACAACAACTATTCACTTCATAGGATACACCGAACGAACAACAACACGGCCAATATTTAGTTACTTTTTTTATTTGGACAACTGGTCAACTGGTTCCGTCCGCCATCAGCATCGCTGATATGATGTAGGAACGTGAATCAGTCTACTTTCAGGGCGGATCTGTTGGTGCGCAAAAACTAAAAATAAGGGTTTTTCGGAGGTTTGTGGTAGACGTTGTAAAAAGGTGATGGATATCATTGTAAACAAAAATGTGTATTTGCCGATTCAAAGAAAAAAAATACAATGATTCTGAAGCAGGGTATTTACAAAAATACCTGTCGAAATTTCAGCACTGCAGATATCACATTTTTTTTATTTTTAGAAAACTGTGTCTTGTATCTTTATATTTCTCAATGAATAGCAACATTTCCGTTGAATGTCCTCCCTTCAAAATGCTATAGTCAAAAGCCTATGTTTTGATTTGCCCCCCCCCCCCTTCTTTAGTATGAGCCCATTCCGCCGATTGGGGGCAGTATTTGAAATTTGTTTTACATCGCGAAGAAATGATTTGTTCCCCCATTTCAAACCTATGAACCCTCAGCTGGTCTAAACGAAATTAACAACAACAACAACAACAACAACAACAACAACAACAACAACAACAACAACAACAACAACAACAACGCTAAGGCCATTCCCCGCCTAGTGTGAGGATCAGACGTCACGTGAGCAGAGCCACACTAGATATAGGGCCTATACAATGTATATATACATGTATATATAATCCGTGCATGTAAATTTTAGCGAGCCCGCGGGCCAGCCTAAAGGCTTTATTCACGAGTCGGCCGTGTTTCATTGAAAGCGAGGTAACATTTTCGTTTTCGAATTTACGAAAAGAAATGAAAGCAATGACATAAGTTAATTACAAATTAATTCCAGTCTGCTCTCATGAATAATTAAGAATTTGTGATTGAACGTACCCTACTGTTTTAAGCCACATGTAAAAAAATTAAAATTAAACTGAGGCTTGGAACGCAAATAGTCTGGCACCATCACATTCAGCAGTTTACAATTTATAGAATACATTCAGGGAACACGATTAAAAATGGCTGCCTCATGAATAAGGCCTGTAGCTGCTTTTAGAAGTTGTGACGTCATTTCATGCAGAAAGTCCGTCAAAGTTGTTGATTGCTCAAAAGATGCCATGATTTTGTCATACAGCACCAGCATCGGATTATACCGAAGGCATGTAGGAGACGCCCCCTGAATGTTCCGAATATGGAGGTCATGACGCGGTGTACTTTTGCGTATAATCATGAGGAGCCGGATGGGAATTTCCCCGTGTTTTCTCCCAGAAGGATTTTAATCAGTAGTTTAATCAGTTTAATCAGCCTTATTTTTGGTTATTGCATAAATGTACATTCTTTGCGTTCACTTAATTCACCCTAATATATTAAAAGGTGTACAAGTTTTACAATTGTTCTGCAGTTGTTTAATAGCTATGCATTCTATGTGCTTTTGTTTTATTGTATTGAATTTGTAATTACAATGTATACGTGTGTGTATTCACTTGTAATGTATGCTGGGCCCGATAGAAACCAGTTTTAAACCGTTTGGGCAAACCCTTGGTAAAGAAATGTAATAAATAATAAATACACGCTAGCCGGTGCAAGCGGCTATTCAATAGACTATTTTTGCTCCCCGAAAAAACATTTTCATAGCTGGCATGATCAAAAAGTCAACTTTCGGCCAAACATTTTGAATTGCAGTATGAAGTTAGCGAATATCTTAAGCTGGTATTTCATAGTAAATTGGTCATACCGCTCAGAAACAAAATCTTGTGTAGCCATTTCGTACATTTTATCGTGTACAAAGTTGTGGAAATTGTATATTTCTCTGCGGCTAATTTCAGCGCCATCAGTTTGCTAAATTCACAATAAAATCGATAACTGTAGACTATATTTATTGTTCCACCCGACTCCCTCATGCTTTACTCCCTGATGTGTTTGTCCGTGCATTATTGGTCCAACCCACTCCACATCTCCGCCCCGTAACATCTGCGGGGCAAGACGTTGTTGTTGTTGTAAAAACGCGCCACGAGAAAGCGTCACAACGAACTGTTGTCACACCACGAACCGCTATGTTGGTATATCGACTACCTCAGGGATAATTACGCGCATTTCAAAAAAAAAAATCAAAAATACTCACAAGTCTCCAAGATATTTGACACACCCATCAAATCAAAACTTATTTCATCATCTTTCATTTTCTGTTTAAGTTTTTGATGGTTATTAAATGACGTTTGGGAGAACATTCCATCCACAGATAATCACCTAATCATGTGGCCCATCGCCATTTTGAAGAAAAAAAACATGCCTGCGTTCCGTTGCAAAATAGAGCAATTTTAGGGACCCATTTCATCCGAATTTCACAGAAATACAAGCTTGCAGTCCTGTTCACGGCTTCAACCCTTCTTTTTTTTTTACAAACCGTCAAGTTCATGACCCACAAATTGTTCTAATAGCAAAAAATGGGGCATACAAATTGTGATTTGGACCGCGAAGGCAATTTTGGGCCTGCCGGTCTGCACCCTGATAGCCACAGACAAATTATATAACCAAAAGCTTATATAATTGTCTTTGGTGATAGCGGTTCATCGAAATAACGCCCTCTCGCGGCTTGGGTTATCGCGGCGGTGGGTTATCGCGTCTCTCTAAAAAAAAAAACGTCTTGAGCCAAGACTACAGTTGTAGTACCTGATGATAGTTTTAAACAAATTGAAAAAGAGAGAAGATATTTGGGGAGGATTTTATTTAAATAGACAGATTAATTCGCAAATCAAATCATCAAGTATATAGGCCGACAGGATAATACATCCATTACATGTGCTTGCTATACTGTGTGATCGAATCAGCATAGTACCAGTTACCAGAACTACTATTGTCTACAGATTGACGGCAGCCCTTTGGAACAAGGTTGGGATAGTGTAAAAAATGTTTTAATAATGGCAAAAAGAAATGAGTCAACCTCGATCCACGGGACTACTTTCGATCTCGCGATGACGAGAGCAGAAAATGGAACCGTACTACTCGACGACATGGGGACGAGGTTTAAACGGAGTTGGTCTTCCCATAGCCCATAGGTCTAGCGCCCTCGCCGCAAGGCTCCTGTGACATGAATATGCATTAGCGTTAATATTTATCAAAGCAGCCAATGATCGTGCATCATATCAATGAGCGCCTGCCTGAGCTCAGACCCGGGCATTCTAATGTAACCATGCCAAAGGTGTGTTCTGGTGGTAAAAAATATCTACACTTTTGAACATTTTTGTCACGTCGGATTTTTTCGAACCCGGAAAGAAACAAAGACGGAATAAATTCTATTGGAAGGTACCCAGCCTGGCGTCAGGATGCGGCGTCTTGTCTTGGCATCATTTGTTTCTTGCGTCTTTGGTAAGTCACTATTATTTTACTTCGATCTTTTTCTCCTACATTTGATTAGTGAATCACCCCGTTATTCCACACGATGTTCACCCTAAACCTTAGCTTATTCTTTTGGCTTGTTCTGTTTCCTGTAGTCACTTCACTTCGGAACCAAACGAATAAGTTGTAGGAAAGTAAGGCACGAAGTTTAAGGGTCGGGAAACGAAGCTAGCATTATTTGAACAGATCAAAAATCACAAATTAATATATCTGGGAAATTCCATGATCAGGGACACGATCCCCTTGGCCCTAAATTTAAATTCCTGGTTATATTTTTCAGTAAACCCTTATTAGGCCAAAAAAAAGTCTCCGGTTTCTGGTATGCACGCGCGTCGCCGTAGCCATGCGCGTCGGCAAAATGAAAAAGTTTTTTTTCAATGAAAGATGATGTCTCAAAACCGCCAAACTCACTGGTTTGACTGGAATCCTGCTGCTGCACAATTTTAACGTGTTTTTATATTGGGTTATGATCGAGAATAAGCTTTATGTGGCCTCTCTTGACTCGCATATATTTGCACTAAGTTTAGTCGGGCACCATTTGCAGTCATCAGCCGACATTTGAAGCAAAAAAATCAGGTAAAAAAAAAAAAAGCCGCGTCGCCGCACCACTTTTAGGGCAAGCTCCATACCAGAAACCGGAGACTTTTTTTTTTGGCCTTAAATGTCAATTCGTTTTTTACGGGCCGTTAAAAAGATTAACCGTAATGCGATTTAAAATATTGTTGCTTACGCTGAAGCTGCTTTTGACCTAGTACACTATTTTTCGACAACACATTTAACCTCGATGATGGTCATTCATTGAAAATACGTTAAAATAATTTTTAAAAGGGGCAAGAAACAATGTAAAAAATTGGTTAGTTTTTACGACTCCCATAGGCGTCACGATACAACATTCTTTCCAAGTTTCATTCATTACATTGCTTTCCGATTTAAACTTTAATTATATCCTTCAATATTTTACAGATTAAGAACATTCACTCCCAAGACTGGTTATATATCGTCTCGTTTATAAAAAAAAACTATTTAGATTGAACATTTGCGGATTTTCAGTTTTCAATATTGTAACGGTTGTAATGACTGATTTTGAATAGTTTGAAATATCCCATTCTAATCTATATGCAATGTACCTGTTCTGTAAATAATTTGATTTTTTTTCACTTCTAAGAAACTGAACTTTTATTTTTTCATTTAAAAAATATGGGTTTTTTTTATATTTTGGTCGCCTGCAACCCTAAAAAAAAAAAGGCATTTATATTGTGCTGCTTTTGCGCACAATATTTGGTCATAAGTAGAATGGTTCACGTTCCCTGTATTATCGAACCTAAAAGGGGACTGGAACCAGTCTACCCTGCATGTGAGAACTAAATTATTATCGGGCAGGAATCTGTGAATAATCATATCATAAACTAAACACAGGCCGATTTTTTTTTCGGTCGATGACTCTTTCAAACTTGAATAAATTTAAGAAACATAGACAGTTTTAAAATAAAGCCTCTGTGGGTAAAACTCGAAATTAGCACGCACAGTAAATCTTAAAGGTTGGTAAAGCATATAGAAGATTTCTATTTTAATAACTTTTGAACATGCCTTATGTTGACAATTCTATTCTTGCAACTTTTTTTAATTTCAAGTCTTCGTAATTTGAACTTCTTGTAAAGAAATTTAAGACCTCCTTGGCCGTTTGTAAGAAAAACAGTTTGGTAATTTAATCGTCGAAAAACAATAAAACACAATGAAACTTTTTTTAAACATTTTAAATACTTGTATTTATAAATAAAATAGTATTTTCTTTTACATTTGTTATTTTTTTCGGGAAGGAGGAGATCATAATAGATAGGAAGCCAAACAATATATAAAGATCACCATTCGATTCAACGGCCCGATCGTCATGGATACCGCGGTAACTATTATATTCTAGTATGGTGGCCCTGAAGGGACGTGCTCAGTCGGGAATTTACATGTTAATCAAATGCAATATTATAAAAAGGGTTGTTTAAATTTAAAAAAAAAATAATAATAATAAAGTCGTGAATAGGCGACAGTCGTGTTGGAAGAAAAACAGGAGGCAAGCAGCGTGGAAATATTGCCCTGCCTTGAAAACAAAAATGCGATATCGGCATAGAAGACTGCAGGTCATTTCCGCTGTGCAATTGCGATGCCTTCCCATTGATTTTTAAAAACCTTGAAAAGGGAACCGTCTTTTGAAAGCCAGTGGGCCGGGAAGTTATTCGCTGCTAGCGCAAAAATTATCAGTAAATATATTACAAGTATTGTAGTCGTCTGGCCATGTAGCCTATGCTTATCGTGACAACGAACGCATGAACACGGAGAACTCCGTTATTGCTGAAGTAAATTTGTAGTGCCGGTACTTGTGTCTTGCAGAAGTCTAAATTGTATATTTTCTTGGCTGAATGGATTACTGAAGTATGTTAATAATCCACGAAAATGGTTTATAACTTAAAAGACAGCCATTATTGTACATGTAGTGTGCTAAAGTTTATCACAAAACGTAGGTCTACATAGGAATTTTAATCAGATTAACTTTTCTTAATACAGTTCCTGAGTACTGCATTCAGATTGTGTAGATACCATAAAAACAATTCTTTCACAAAATAACTGTAAAAGTCTGCCTTCGGTGATTTAGCCACTTCAAAAAGCAACATCATTTTATTTTTTCCTATCCACAAATTTGTATACTACGTATGATACTAACACGAAAATAATATTCCAAAGGGCGCAATCATATTTTAAAATGAGACTTGGGTTGTTTGTTTTAATATTTTTTTACAGTTGTAAAAGATTTAAAGCTCTACCAATGCTCTCAAACACAGTTTTTTTCTCCTAACTTATTTTCAATTAACTGGTATGTTTCATTTATACGGAAAAAGCCAGGGTTCGCCCTTAACTGTTTTTACTAGCCACCTGGGCTAGGCCTATTATGCATTTTTCCAAGCAAATACATGGGACTCTCGAAGGTAGATAAAGGGTTTGGATTAAATTTTATGACAAATATATCAGCCGAAACATGCATTTAAGTAAAGGGAAAACTCGTATTGTGCACATATAGGACTTCATCGGGGATTGGGAGTTTTGGGACACGAATAAAGACATGATGCTGCATGTACCTCATTCCTTTCAGGTGTTTACATTTTGAAAATGAGGAGAAAGAGGATTTTTCCTCTGGTTCATTGCTAGATATTTTCTTCATTTCAGTGACCATTTGGGGCGTGGTTTTGGCTGAGAGGGTCTGCTACTTCAGCCAGGAGCCTGATGCGAGTCAGTCAGGCCGTCTTCGCTGGGTTATGCCGGGGAGTCAGGAAGATCGTTGCGCCTGTACCAGTACCAGACCAGGGCCCGTTAACGTGCAGCCAGTCCGTTGGTCTCATCCACCGTTCTACACCGACACTCCAATCTTTACCGACGACCAGGAGGACATTCATGACTACTTCGGCTGTCCAAGTGGTAATATTAATGTTCAATTTCGAATGGAGGGGCATTATCAAAGCTCGTTTGCTTTATCACCTTAAAATTGCGCAAGATGATGCCTCATCGCTATCAGATGAAAGTGTCCCGCCAATTATAGCCAAAACCATGAAATTAATCACGTGACTGAAACTATCACGTTGATTTGAGTTAAATTATAAGGTTTTGACTAAGGGAATAAATTTGTGTTTGGCCGCTTTTACTGAGCGATGTGGCGCACAGCGCAGTGGTGTTTTACCGGCGGTTTAAAAAAAACCCACGTGACAGGCTCTCGACCAATAGGGATGGGTAATCTGTCTCAAGTATTTACGAATGCAGATTGATAAAGACGATGAGAATGGGCTGGTGTTTTGGAACATTGAATATTAGTGATCTCCTCGTGTTTGTTTTTTCGATTCACTCCAAAAGGTTAATTTCTCAATCTCGTGTATAATAATCAACTCCTACTTTTCATCGAGAATACTGTAATTGCATTCCGCATAATGCGCATTATGGTCAGCGATTATGCTTTCCAACGATTTTTAGGGACTTCGAAAAAGGAATTTCAAACCGAAGCTGGGGATTGTGGAGAGTACAGTATTGGAGTACTGCAGTATCCGTTTAAAAACAATCCGAATTTCTTCAGATCTAGGTCATCAACTTGGTGATTTGGTCAGTATCAAATCATTGCATAAATGACTATAGTGCGCATGCACAATGCATACCGCCCCTAGAGTGGTAACAAGCATTTTGATGGACATTTTGAAAAAAAAAGGTGATAACACCCAAAAAGCTGCCACCGCTGCAATGCTATCACATAATTATTTTCCAATTGGAGGTGTATACCTTGCCAAAAATCGCTATGACGATTATTCCCCTCATTTGAACCGGTGGCAAAAATTTTGGACCGAGGCTGATGGCCTGATAGTTTGTACTGTTGCGTTCCCGCAAATTGCGTAGTTTACTTCTTTCCACACCAATCCATTCCACTCCGTGCACAGCGTAATGCTTGCAGCGATCCTGTGTGCCCTCACACAGCGCGAAGTTTACCACGAAGTCTTAGACACACGTTTAAGTGTGCAGCACATTGTACAGTACGCTATTGTATAGCGCGCAATGCATGTAGCACTCACTGCTATTGAACATGTACCGCCATGGGACATGTACTTAGGACTTAACCATTTTCCCTCCACCTTTCCCCGGAGTCGATGCGAATTCCCTTCACACACCTTACCTCGCATCCGACCCACATTGACCCCAAGCATTTAGCGAATGTGGCTCGCTAAAACCTACCCGTGTATTCACCCCTTAGTGACCCCGTACACCCCAGCGAGTGTGTCCCGCTAACCCACTGGCCGAGACCTACGGTAGCTAGAGGTCAGGTTACGTCCTTCATCTCATAGTTTTACTCCATAGCATTAGTGTGTAGATTCTTACCTAGTCTAGAGACTAAGTCTTGTACACAAACCTATGTACCGAGAAGTTATTCCCTTTCCCTTTTCCTTGAGGATCAGTTCCCCGTAACGCACCCACGAGTGATCCTACTTCGCCCGCTAACCACTGCTCTCGGACTTTCTTCCACTAGAATGTCCAAGTCAGCGTGTACAAATCTCCCATAGAGAACTTTCCCCATGCCTTTGTACACGTATGCATTATTCATAACCACCAGAATCCAATGCTCCCATTGGCTAAGACGCGCCCCCAAAAGTCTATATAAAGCGCGCAGAAATGGCAGTTCTGGTCATTGTTGATCTGGGCTCTGACCCCGACAGAGTCCCTGACATGTACACGTAGATTATCGAGCTGTCCGCTCACTGGCCATAGACCCTACGTCTGTACACAGATAATCATGTACGCCGTAACTTTACATTGTATATAGTGCGCCCTCTATTGACCTGAGATGTAAATAATCCCGAATAAAGTACTAGAGTGTGTGTGTAAGATATTTGTATCTGACTCTTTATTTGATAATGTCTCTCAACCCAGAGAGACGTTACAGTACATTATGCATTCAGATAGCTTGTACGCTAAAGGAAAAATAAATGTGGCAAGTCCTAGATGTATACCCAAAGTATTCATTGCACACCAATGGTCTCCAGTAGTGACGGAATTCTAAACCAAGACGTAACTCTATTGTTTAATTTTCCTTTTCATTATGTCAAGATCCCTGCCAGCCAAACCCTTGTCGATACAATGGGAAATGCAAGAAACATGGCGACTCTTTCCAGTGCGATTGTAAACGTGGTATCAATGGAGAACGCTGTGATAAACCTAAAGGTATTAATATGCACATTTCGGTTTTCATCAATTATTTTGAGTTCGTGTGCTGTTGCACACTTGCTTTATGGTTTTACTGTACGGTAGGGGCTCCTTCCATCTGGCTCAGATGGAGAAGTTTGGATGTTGACATGGGCGGCAATCCCAAGTACCACACCCCCTTTTGTGGTGGGGGGGGGGGGGACCAGCGCAGATGGCAATGGAGAATGTCTCCTAACCACTTCCCAGATGTAATCAAAGTTACCTAAATCTTTACGATATTATTCCAGCCGTGTTACAACTATAACGTATCTCCCACGGGTCAGGTGACGTCCACCCCTTACCCTTTTCCGTCTCGACAACACACCCCTGCCCGAACACCCCCCCCCCCCGCCCTTCACCGGCTTGGCAAATTTACAAGGGTCTGATCCCTAAATGTCATAGTTGTGTCCCCTCAGCTCTTCAACAAAAACCGAGGTTTTTTTCCATACATACATTTTCAACTTGTATGTTTTATTCCAACAACAAACAAAAAACCTCCATTTCTGCTAAGTATGCAACCCTCCGACAAAAAAAAAGCAATTGTATTTAGGACCGATAGGTCAAGGTCACAGTGGCTAAAACAATAACAATCTTGACAACACCTGTCTTTACATATGAACTCTAAATTTGGTTTGTGGATTGCTCTTGGTAATCCTTTTTAGATTGCCATGCCCTGTACGATGCTCGTATCCGCGATAGCGGTGTGTATACCATTTACCCATCGCAGTATCCGGAAGGCTTACAGGTCTACTGTGATGGCAACGGTTGGATCGTAAGTAAACTCTCTCTGTGATCAAATTATCTAAATGGTAACTGATCTAAATGGTATCTGCAATTTCAACATAAAAACCTTTTAAATAATCCGCAAAGGTAAACTTAACCCTGCCAAGTGCATATAATTGTAACAATTCTAAAAGTTATTAAAGAAATTCACTAGAGTTGGGCTTGAACCTGGCCACATGGCATACGGGTTCGTGGCTACTGATTAGCGCCTTTCAACAAAGACATTGACGGACATTGACCGCCAACGTACTTAGGCATGGATAGCTCAGTTGGCTAGAGCACCGGTACGTTTTAAGAAGGTTGTAGGTTCAAACCCTACTTTAATGTTTTTTGGGTTAAATTTTAATACGAATCCTTTATTTTTTTTACATTAATTTTCTCTCTTGATACTCCCTGGCACAGGTTTTTCAGGACCGGTTTGATGGGTCGGTGAATTTCACTCGCAACTGGACCGAGTACCGAGACGGATTTGGCGACCTCTGGGGAGAGTTCTGGCTTGGGAACGAGAAACTCCGTCAACTGACGTCAACAAAGGAATGGGCACTAGAGATTGAGCTGATGTATGATGATCTGTCCGGTTCAATAGATCAGTTCACGATCAGGTGGCCATTCCGTGTTGTGGGCGATGATTACCGTCTGGTGGTTGAAGGATTAACCGGTAGGCTGCGTATATTTAATGTTCTCTCGACATGTTTCATAAACATGATGACGTGCAATTCGGGCGATTCACAATGCAGTGCGCCACCAAGTGTTTGCCATGGAGAGTCTATTTTTCAAGTTTACGGTCGACAAAACATGAACAATTTGAATGAGTGTCAGTAGACAACTTGAGCTAATTTGTTACAGATTTGGGCATAGCGTTCTGCCGCCTTTACAAAAAAAACCACACCATATTGATAAAAAGAAAACAAAAGGGTAAACAGATACTCGAATCATACGCTTACGAAAATACTGACCGAAAAAACTAACAATTTCAAATGTCCCGCGCTGCGAATTTGTGGACCATCTCCCACAATGCACTGAGAAAAATGAACTCTCCGGGGCAAACTCTTGATGGCGCACTACATCGTGAATCGCCCGAATTAATACAACTTCTGGCTTTTGACTCAGTTATGTTTTATGCAGTGACTAAACCGGTGTTTAATCTGCGTGGGCCATAGGGCTCATTTCCGTTTTGTTTCCCTTTTCATTCTGAGCGAGCGGGGGGAGGGGTTACCCCTTTCCTGCCCTTTGTTATGCCAATGGTACAATGACTTCTGGTTTAAAGCTCTTATTGTCCATCATGACATACAATTCGTTCCCTTTGTGTAAAGGGGCTCGAACTTTTCTCAAAAAAATTCCCAACTTCATTAGAACTGCTCCCACATTCTCGATATAATGAGAATATTATTAGATCAAATGTACAGTAAAAGGGGTTTTTGTTTTTCAGAAAGGAAGCTAAATTACCATCTTTCCAGTATTTTGTATTCTCAGGTCCGCCTGAGGAGCAAAATGTCTAAACATACGATTTTTAAAAAATAGTTTTTGCTCCGTCTCCTCTTTTTGTTTCTTTAGATGGTTTCCCCTTTCTTTCAATCGACACCCCACGTGCGTTTTCGACGTATGATAGAGACAACGACGATTCCATCGGAATCAACTGTGCTGAGGTTGGGAGAGGAGGATGGTGGTTTGGCGACTGTGCATCTCAACAGGATTCTGGGGTCAATCTGAATGGAGAATACTCCCTTCTTGATCACCCAGACTATTATATATATCAGGAAAACCTCGCTATTGTGCGGGATGATGGAGTGAAGCTAGTTTACAATAGTCAAATGAAGCTACGCCGCTTCACTCCAAACGGTAATTCACATAATTTCGCCAAAAAGTTGTACTCGATTTTTGCAAAGAATAATGAAAACAAAATAATATTCATTCGGGGTTATTAATTTGACGCTAAAGCCTTGAGAATGAAGCATGCATTTTAAAGCACATTACATGAACATGAGATATGTAGATCCCCCCTAAAAATTCAGGTCTGCTATGATGAGTCAAAACAGTTTTGCTTAAATTGTGTGTTTACCATTTTGTAATAAACATGATTTCAACAAATATAAGGCATCTGTATAAACGTTGGTATACCAGGAAACGAACATACAAATCAAGTGACAAACATTGAGCAAACTTGTACTAAACAACCTGTGAACCTATTCCACCTGAATTGGTATATCGTTCGAAGGGAAACAATTACTGAAGGGGATTGTTAAAAGTCACTTTTTTACTTGACGATATTCGTTCAAAACTTCGAAAATTTGAGCTGTATACTCATTATTACCATGTGACCTCGATGTCACGTATACACCAAGCAACTCATAATGAGAAAAATGTAAATTCGGGGAAGTCTTGGTTGCTTCATTATGAATAATATTGTTTTTACCACGCACTATTTCCACCTTTCTCTTCAGATTGTCCAAACTTGTATCATTTTGGTATCGAGGGGAGCGGCGTCTACACCATATATCCGTTGAGGCGCTCGAACAGAATGAGGGTTTACTGTGATATGGATACAGAACCTAAAGATTGGATTGTAAGTTTGCTTTTTAGAATTTTGAATTTTGCAAGAATGCAAATTCACCCAGTTTTAAGTCGCATTTAATTATCAAAATGACCCTGGTGATTTCAAGCATTTCCAAATTATCCATGCAGTCATAGTTAAAAAGGAACTGCATTTTATTCCATTGTATTTTTTTGATTTAGCGAAAAAAGGAAAAACCAAATGCCGCCCTCTATAGGTAATGCACCTTCGCGGATATTGAATAGGCCTATACGTCTGTTGCGTTATGGATTGTTATCAAAGATAATTAACGCATCTGGTTCGTAACATTGGTTTGTTTATTAGGTGTTTCAGAAGCGGTTTGATGGTTCGGTGAATTTCACTCGCAACTGGACCGATTACAAGGACGGATTTGGCGACCTCTCGGGAGAGTTCTGGCTTGGGAACGAGAAACTCCGTCTACTCACTTCTACCAATAATTGGAAACTAAGGGTAGACCTGGAGGACGATAAGGGAATGAATGAAACCATCACTGTCGACAGTTTCAGCATCCAAGGCAGGGATTTCACTTTGGACCGAGGTATGTTAATACACCCAAAATGTAGGTCTATTATGACAGCAATAATAAAACAAAACCAGGCAAAGCTGGTCCCAGAGCGTGCAAAATACTTTTCAATTGACTCAGAATGACTATTCACGGGAAGTCTATTCATGTATCTGATCATACGGACTGGATTTAGCCCATTCGCTGCCGTTACGGCGTAATCCTATTTTACATTTTTGGCAAAGGTGAGACTCAAGCAAGTCTAATTCACAAGTGCCAGTAGGCGAGTTGGTAGTCGGGTATCAGTTTGGGGCCTGTACTCTTTTCCACGGAAGAGCAACAACACGCGGAAGAATCCTGTCCTGACATAATCAATGAAGCTTTCCATCTGAGGTCTTTGTTTTATTTATTAAAGTAAAACAAAAGAATGCACTACGCGTCTATACTCATATACGCATCCCAAAGAAACAAACACACACACACCCCCACACACCATAAAGATATGTTTGTTTTAGCCAGCATTGTCCATTCCCAACGGTGTTTATTTTTTATTATCAAACTTATTTCTTTCTGATGTATTTTTTTTGCTCTTGCATAGATTCACCTGCTTCTGATTTCCCCCAATTCAATAAGCAGAAATTCTCAACGTACGACAAGGACAACGACGATGTGGAGGATTCTAATTGTGCAGCTAAGCAGAAGGGGGGTTGGTGGTTCGGAAATTGTTGCGATGCCATTCAGTGCAGCCTGAATGGAAAATATCACCGTGGCGGTTCCCGTGGTTTTCAGTGGGCTGGATGGACAAATCATAACATAGTCAAGTGTGAAATGAAGCTGCGTCGTTACTAACACTGTTTATAACACCTCACCCACAGATTCTGTGTCTTGATTGGCCGAGAGCGAGTCGCATGTTACTTTCTAATTTTGCTATCTTTCTATGCACGGCCAAGAGTACTATGCGCATAGCAACCAAAGTACTATACCATTAGCAACCAAAGTACTATTTCCAGGGCGCGGTATTTGTGTGCAAATGCATGCTGGTGTGCGCGTTGCGCGTTGTGCTTAGCGCGTATTATTCCAAAGAGAGCGCGCCGCAGACTTGGGTTCAAACATTTCGTGAAGGGGTAGTTTTTAAGAGAGAAATACATTTTCCACCAATGTTGTATTGAAATTGAAGCTTATTTCAACTGTGTTCAGATTTAAATAATTTAAAATATTAAAATCAAGCAGAATCTGTGGGTGAAGTGTTATAAAACAAATATTGAATGCTTCCCTCCCTTGGTGATCCATGGACCATTCTATTTTCCCTCGGCTTCGCCTCAGGAAAATAGAATGTCCATGGATCACCTCGGGAGACTAGTTTTACTACACCACTCGAAGCATTCAATATTTATATAATGCGTTCATGACAACCGCCGAAATGGGTCGATCTTTCTTTAAAACTAATGTCAGAGTCACTGGCAAAAAAAAAGCCTTAAAGACAACCCGAAATGAAAAAAAATGACAACTTACAGGTTCCGAAATAATCAAACTAAAAATTTAAGTAGGGCCTATATCATACAAGTAAAAAATAAATGACATGTCCTTTTTTAATACGATATAAAAGTGCAAAAGATTGACGTGACGAAGGTTTTGGCTTAAAGATGACAGTAAGGATTAGAAAAATTAAAGGCTGCAGCCTTTAATTTGATATTAAATTAAATTTTTCCAATGAAACTTTTTTGCAATAGATCCCATTTGTGTCAAAGTGACGGGGTTTTAGTTTGCCGTTTTGAGTTAAGTTAAGAGCAGAAAGATGCTTAGGCCTATTATCCTTTTAATGATAGAATTTTTAAAAATCGGCAAATTAACACATCCTCAGTAACAAAAGAAGTTTCCTGGCTGAACATTGACTAGTTCGTGATGCATTTTTGGTACAATTCGACATTTCAGCCCGCAATGAAAATAACTATGGGGCATAAACATGTCATTAAAATACTGTGATGTAAAAAAAAAATGAGCTTAAAAAAGTAGAATCGGTTTTTGTCTTGTAACTGCTAACCGTATGTATTTGCAAACTTAAGTGTCCTTGCTTTAGACTGTGTAATAATTGTGACAATATTGAATATAATCTAATTTTTATGAATTATTAAACAATGTGTTCTTACAAAAAATAGTGATTGGAATAGAGACTTTATATGCACGACGGTAAATAGTACACCTAAATTGAATATTGGTGGTTGTTGATTTTAAGTAGTTCGTAATCGTATTTATGCACATATCGATAACATTGTTGCGTCAACGGCATGAAGATAGATTCACGCTTTCAATGGATAAAATCGACAGAAGTTCAGAACAGAAGGAAAAAAGACAAACCTAGTAAAATTGGTCTCAGAGTGCACATCATTCTATTAAATCGATTGAGATTGGCTAGTCACCGGAAGTCGTATGTAGCCTACACAATGGGCCGGATTTACTTATTCATTTGCATTAAGGAGCAACCCGTTTTCAGACTTTTGGGCCAATGTAAGAATTAAAGCAATCATAATTCACAAATTACTGTCAGTCAGCCAGTCAGTCGGTCGGGGAGTCGGGGAATCAGTCAGTCAGTGCAAGAAAAATTAAGGAAAAAAAACATGTAAACCTTGATTCTGTCAAAGTCATTAAATACATGCCCAATACTCGTGAATCCGTACCCAAGTACATGCCTACCTATAGAGGCTGGTTAGAAGTAATAATACATATGATTATTGTATAATAAAGAATGTATTCGTTAGTGTAAGGCCAACGCATTGTGTACGTAATGTTCAACATGAATGAGGAAATCGTTAGAAATGTGTGTACCTTGAGGGGTCGTATTCAGACTCTTATTTATGTATGACGTCATCGTCTTTTTTTGCCTGAATGAAAAAGAGGGTCATGAATAATGAAAACATATTTCATTATGAGGATTAAGATTACTTGATATGGATGGTGAATAAATTACAAGTTATTAATATCGGGAGAAATACAGGGATCGAGGAGAACGTTGACAATTTTACAGGAATTAACACGAATGATAGAATGCACGTATAAAGACATTTTGGATGGATGGAGGTGTTTGTCTAAGATCCAACGAAATTGAAGCAGTAAGCATACTAAGTATTTTTTTTCTGAGTGTTTTGAAAATTTTTGTAAGAATAAGTCATTTTCAAATACGCACAGAGCATAGAATTTTCATTAAATCTTTTAAGATTCATTCTATCAAGTGAGGGCACAAGCTTACATTGTGATATTTGTTTTTCTTTCATTCTTTCCTTTTGTCTAAAAAATAATTTGGAACAATTTCTTTTGCTAATTTGTGGTTTGGAGTATTTTTGTTTCAAGGGAAAGTAAAGTCCGCGGGAACCTCACTTGCAACTCAAAGTGCTTCGATATACGCCCATAACGAATGTGTGGTGTGAAAAATCGTCACAAATAGGCTTCGTCACAAATAGAAGAATCTTTTGGCCTGGGAACCAGACCAGTATCTGCCATGAACTAACCAAAGTCGGAGAGCACATGTAATATTCAAAGTTCCAATGTGATAATCTTACCCATCCAAAATTACATAAAGCATGGCAATAAGCAAATAAGCAAATTGAAAAAGAGAGAAGATGTTTGAGGAGGATTAGACGGAATAATAATTCACAAATTTAATCATCATGTAGGTCGACAAGATAATAAATCCACTACTTGCTACTGTGGGAACGAATCAGCATACAGGAAGCAATAAGTATCCCTACCAGGGTCTACCTTGTCTCGAGGTTGACAGTAGACCCTGTGAACGAGGTTGGGATACTGTAAAAAAAAAAAATGTTTCAATAATGGAAAAAAGAAATGCGTCAACGTACCTGGATCCACGGGACTACATTCGATCTCAATGTCGAGAGCAGAAAGGAAGTGTACTACTCGACGAAAGGGGGACGAGGTTTGAACAGAGTTGGTCTTCCCATAGCCCATAGGTCTAGCGCCCTCGCCGCAAGGCTCCTGTGACATGAATATGCATTAGCGTTAATATTTATCAAAGCAGCCAATGATCGTGCGTCAATGGGCCTGCATCTGAGCTCAGGCCAAGGCGTAATGCTGAAAGGCCTTAAATTAGTGGGCGAATGTAAACAGGCAAAACGTGTGTTCTAGTGGAAAAAATACATCTATGTTTTTGAAACATTTGTCACGTCGGATTTTTTCGAACCCGGAAAGAAACGAAACAGGAATAAATTATATTGGAAGGTGGCGAGCTTGTCATCAGGATGCGGCGTCTTGCCTTGACGTCACTTGTTGCTTGCATCTTTGGTAAGTTGCAATTATTTCACTTCAATCTTTTTCTACCAACATTTTATTAGTTAATGGTCGGTCCTGTAATATCCAGATGATGTTCACCCTAACGTCAGCCAAATCCCTCGCGTGCTAGTTTTATGAAGTCATTTCACTTCAAAACAAAATGGATAATTTGTAGGAAAGCAAGGAGAGAACCAGTATTAGGGTCAAAAAACGAAGTAAGCTTTAATTAAATACATCAACAATCACAAATTAATATATCATTGTCAGGTGCACAAACCCATCAATTTAAATAAATGTACGAGTTTTCTCTCATTTTGTTGCTCAGTAATTATCCCCGCATGATCGAAAGGTGGGACACAAAACAGAGGCAGTAAACTCACCAATCTATGTTCATCGTGGCTTGAGCAGCCTTTTATTCTCACAATTAAATTCGGCAAAGTCTAAAGTTTCCGGTCGATGCTAACTCGTGAAACTGCAATTATCATAAGGTAAACATATATGAACTTAAACATATTTCTATGTGCAATGACTTGTTTCCGTCCAAAGCTTGAAACATCACGGCATATAATGGCAATATGTAGTTTCCGGTCGATGCTAACTCGCGAAACTTTTCAGCATACCATTTGCAATACTTTGTTTCCGGTCTATGCTAACTCGCGAAACTTTTCAGCATAATATTTGCAGCATATTTTGTTTCCGTCCAAAACTGGAAACATAACGGCATATAATTGCAATATGTTGTTTCCGGTCGATGCTAACTCGCGAAACTTTTCAGCATACCATTTGCAATAATTTGTTTCGATTAAGAGTCAATTCGTGTAAATATTTCATATGAGCCTCCACGGTCAAAAATTCAATTTGTTAATACTTTGTGGGATGAAAAGACTTGGGGAATAAGTAACCAAAATATTTGGGCCATTTGTTCGGCTGCAAATATTCATTTTCGCGTTATTTTCAAAAATGCGAAGTGTCACATTAGTAAACATATCAGGACAAAGCATCATCATTACCCTGACAAGAAAAATTACATACACTTTTGAAAATTCATATTTGTATAGACCCTACAATACAGCATGTTTTTACAACTAGCAAAACTGCATTTTCTTCCCCATGTTTACCCCTCCAAAAAGCCACTTGCCTGCGCACTCGGAAGAATTTCCTTTTAGCTATGGTGAGGTCCATATTCGTCTTTTTATATCTGGCAAGAAAATCTTGGGCAATTGCATTCCATTTGTGTAGTAGTGCTCCAAAAAATGACATCTTTCACAAAAACCTTAAAAGGTGTATTTGCCGTTTGTTGTTCCTGAAAAAAGTACATATTCACAAACAACATCACACTGTCTACCACTGTTAGACCAGTGGATGAATAGTAGGTCGTATAGTCCTCCAAACCGGCTAGGCCCCGCCCACCCTGTGCCACCGGATTCAGATCTTATCTGTCATTTGCAAAATATTCATCCAATTACATAACTGTTTATATATCTATTGTCAACGATAGAAGGACTATACCTTCTTATTCTATTGCAAAAATTGGTGGGTTTTTTATCCAAATTGGCACAACTGAATTAAATATGCATAAATATGGTGATATTTGTTTAATGCTCTGCATTTTATTCACATAATAACTATCAGAAAAGTACCTCAAAGCAAAGAAAATGCGACAGATTAAGAGAAGGAAATTACACGGGCTTCTCGCATCAATGGCGGCCATGTTGTTATACTGAGCATACACTGTTGTTAATTATGTAGCCACGAATAATAGTCTAAAGACAATAGTTGATTTGTTTGAGATATGGAAATATTTTTGACTTAGATTTATGAGCACCGCGCCGGTGCTTTTTAAATCGGTTGACAGGGAAACAATGGACACACTATAGAAGTATGTTAGGTACCGTGATGACCACTGTTAAAAGTTTGGAAAAGTCACAAAATTTCATGTCGATCGGGCAATTACAACTTTTTAAAGACAGAGCGGGCCCCCAAAACGGCATTCTGTTCAACCATAGAACGAGCTCTATGCTTCAACTTATAATGTATCCAATCAGACCATACCCAGGGCCAAAAAAATTATTCAGGGTGAAATTTATTCATTTTCACTTGGAGTGTTTACTGCAGTGATCCTTGTTTTTAAAGTACATGTACATGCATTTCAAAATAAAATGAGAGTTATTTGCTCTTTAAATTTCCCTGATTTTGTTCCTGTTTTGAACATAATTTATACTAGACGTCTTTTTGTTCACCGCATACGCGTACATTCGATGTAGTTTCAAAAGAAACTTGCAGTTTAATGTACGGTGAACATTGTATATACATGCATGGATGCCTCTCGTTACCATAACAATGTGTTGACCGTGGAAGCTCATATGAATTATTTACACGAAATGACAATTAAGTATAATCGATTTATTAACGTCAGTATGGAGATTAAATTGTACATAGAGTAACCGTAATGCGATTTTAAAGACTGTCATCTTTCAGTGCAAAAAGCCGCATTGGACAGAGTGCGGTATACCATGAAAAATAGTTCAATGAAAGTTCCTTATAATACTTTGGAACGGGTCCGAGAAACATTAAAAAAAAACACCGACAATTGTTTTTGACTATACTCCCATAAAGGCGTCAGGATACTTCATTCTTTCCTTTCTTCATATTCCGTTGCATTCTATTGTAAAATTTGATTGCACTCAAGTATACATGCATTAAATATTAAGAACTTGAAATCCACTATTCATAGTTCTCCTTGATTGAAAAATAGCTTTTTGAATTGTAATCATGCCAATTTATGTCATGTTCAATTTATGTGATGCTAGTTATGACTGATTTAGCACAGTGCCATGTTCAAGTGCGCGTGTGTGCAGCCGTGGTAGTCAGCTAGGGGTCCACTGTACTAATTCAAGTCCCATTGAAAACAGTGTGAGATCAACAAAGTTCAGGGCCAAATAACATGCAAGCCAACATCACTGGGATTTCTCAAACAAAAATTAAATTATTGTCTTGTCTTTCATCTTTTCATTTCTTTTCAATTTTAGGTAGATTAGCCAATTCCATTTAAAAATATTCACACCCAAACAAAATCACCTCCCGAAAAGTGATAGTTCCCAAGCCTGCATGTAGCCATTTTACAAGTGACATCCTTCCACTTTCACAGGCAAATATGACCCATTTTTCATCCGTAGTTTTATCAAGCCTGCCTTCAGATGGAAGCCCCAAAACCAGGGAATTGATCCTTGGGTATATTTACACAATTCCACTGTTTTTAAAGCCAAACGGTTTCCGTTTTCAAAACAAATTGTGGGGGCACTTTTTATGCTAATGACTCGCGTAGAAATTCTCACTTAGTTCAGTGCACCCCTAAACACAGTTATATAGAGAAGGTAAAACTTAAAAGACTAAAATTACAATTATGGAATTAGCTTTTGTAGCTACAGCTACTTCATCAGATGAAGCAGATAATTATAAAGTAGATAATGTTCAACTGCTCGAATATCATTTAATAAAGGCCTGTAAATTACATGTACATCTTTCCCAGAATAAAATGAACACGTCAAGCTTGATGGTTTAAAAAAAATACAAAAGGCAGACAAAATTGAACCAAATATTATATAACAAGTGGGATAGACAAACGTCGTGAATTTGTTCGAGGTATATGTAGTCTAAATACGTACAGGGGAAGATATAACTCATACGGTACACTGTTCCGTTATTGATTCAAATTTTGTAACAAAAGGACCCTCTTGCAGTCTTCAGCAGGAATTTGTTGTTCTTGTACCGTCTGGTGAACCGAGTATAATGTGTAATTAACTGGGGCTGCTGATGCCAATAAATTTTGCCTGATTCACTTCATTCAAGTTAGCCGAGATGGTTTCCATGACGACTTCCATAATTGGTTTGAGCAGTTTTCTTCCCGTCGCTTATGAAAAATCGTCGCTTTTGATGATTAGGCCAAAAAAAAAATCTCCGGTTTCTGGTATGGAGCTTGCCCCAAAAGTGGTGCGGCGACGCGGCTTTTTTTTTTTTTACCTGTTTTTTTTTATTCTCGATCATAACCCCATCTAAAAACACGTTAAAATTGTGCAGCAGCAGGATTCCAGTCAAACCAGTGAGTTTGGCGGTTTTAAGACATCATCTTGTATTGAAAAAAAAACTTTTTCATTTTGCCGACGCGCATGGGTACGGCGACGCGCGCGCATACCAGAAACCGGATACTTTTTTTTTTTTGGCCTTACTAGTCCTTTCTCACTTACTCGCCTAGAATGATGTCGGCGAGCAAACATGTTGAATAAAATATGCGTGATCATCAAACATCAATAAAATTAAATCAGGGGTGCATTTTACCACAGAGATCGAAATACACCCTCAAAACGAACCCTCAAAGCACCCTCGTTTTCACAGCTTTTAAACAAATACATCGCAATATCATATTTGAAGAGTATAGTTCATATAGATGTTCAACAACCCCTACCCCCCCCCCCCCCCCAAAAAAAAATAGTTCCAATCGGGTAAATATTTATCGGGTTATCTGGCCAATTCAAAAAAGTGACGATTTTTCCTTTTGTCCATACGGTTTCAATTGTCATTAATTACCTGGTTACTTCTTATGTTTCATTTTTTGCAATAATGGCCAATTCTCCTCTTGGAAGAAATGGTACTGCTGAAAAGGACTGTTTGCTTTTCTTAGATGTTTACTGTGCTGCTCTGCCTTCTACTTGGTAGCTTCTTTCAGTTTCAGGGATGCAACCTTCGGCCCATTTTGCCCTTGCGGCAGTCAAACATCGGTCGCCGTGGCCAAAACGATTTTTGTTTTGCCGTAACTCAATAAATAATTTCCCGATTTGACGTGTGTTTTCGTTGTTGAAATGCCAATTACCTAATACTCTCAAAATGGATAGATATTCCCTATGTTTTGTTTTAGTGTTGAAACGAGGGGACTTTGAGGGTTGGGGGGGGGGCACCCTATACAATTCAAGGGTACAGTAAACACGACTAGACTATACCAACAATTCTTGGAGAGTGATTTAAGGCATCTAGTTTGTTTCTTTACATATTTTGTAAGAAAAACATGTTTGGTAAATGAGACCCTTTGTGGACGGATTATCTTGTAAATTTGTAATAACATAGTACATGTACATAGTACATAGTAACAAGTACGCAGTAAAGCGGAGATTATAACATAGACATGGAACAATAAGTTCACCCTTTGGGTTCAACGGCGGAAGATAATGACATTAGGCAGCGATCGTCGTTGAAACCGCCGTATCTATTGTATTCTGTTGAACGGTGGCCCTGAAGGGACGTGCTCTGTCGGAAATTTACATATTAACCAAATTAATGCACTTTAAAAAAAATTAAAAAAAGGTGCTTAAATTTAATAATTAAAATCTTTTGAAAGCAAGTTAGGCGGTAAGTTATTCATTGCCCACGCAGAAATTATCAGTAAATATGAACAGGTATTGTAGTTGTCTGGTTATGCATGCTTAACGTGACAGCGAACGCATCAAGACTGAAAACTCTCTCTTTTAATTGCTTAAAAGATCATTTTAATAACACCGGTGCTTATATTTTGTAGAGGTCAATTTTGTCTGTTTTGTGGCTATAAATATCACCTATTCAAGCATATATAGTAAAGATATTCAATATCTATGAAAGTGTTTAAATGTCTTAAAAGACACCGATTATGAATAATGTGCCACATTGAGATACAAATATATGTGATGTACTTTAAATTACAATTTCAACAACTTATTCATATTTAAGATGACATTCATAAGTACCTGAGACAGTTTCCCATTCCTATTTGTCGAGCACCCGTGTTGTTTAAAACCGGCTGGCTGGTCTTAAACATCAAGTTTCACATGGACTGCTATGAAATCCGGTCCCTTTTACCCTTTTATTTGTTCAATCATCACAATCCTCGGTTAGGCATACGCAATACTACCAATGAGTCAGTATTTCATAGTTCTTAATTCACTCTACACCGGCACAGCTGCGTTCTGCGTCAAAAAGCGCCCGCGCGTCAATCACCATATACATGTACATGTATTGAGTTGTATATTATTACTCGCAAGACGCACATACCATAACATAGATATAGGGTGTTTCAAAGTAAACTTGTAGAGCAAAATCGTTGGAAATGTATAATGTTTGACTTGTTTTGATTGTTTGACCGCGCAATAACTGGTTCAATGCTTTCGGCTTGGCCATTATCAGCGTCCTTACTCCAAGCCGGTCTTAAACATGGTGTTTTAAACCGGCCAATGTTATTCCGGACGTTTTTTTAATGAAAATAGTAACGTGCTCCAATATTACCTACCCACATTTTTGCCTATATCCATACAAGATGGTACAAGAACTATTCCGAATATTACATACTTTCAAATTTGATTGTTCGGCAAATTGATTTGGTTCAAAAAGTGAAATTCGAACGTGTTTGGTGTGTGGTGAACATCATGTTAGAACTTTGTATGTCGATGTGGTTTAAGTACATTATATTCATCATCGCAGGCATATGGATGAGTTTGGGACATTAATTAACAAAACGTTGACACTGTTCAAGTGCAGAGAATACATACATGAACTACCATTTGAGACAAAGATTTGGTCATCATGATTATAAGGAAGGTGTAAAACTCTTGTGTGGTTTGTTTTGGATTTTTTAGTGCCGGTGTTGGTTTTTTTGGGGGGAGGGGTGTTTTGTTTTTGTTTTAGTTTTGTTAATGAAGACTCTCCCTTAGTGGGCAATGTATTTCTTATTGCGTGACATTTCCTTCCTTAAAGTGACCCTTTGGGGCGTGGTTTCAGCCGAGAAGGTATGCTACTTCAGCCAGGAGCCTGATGTGAGTCAGTCAGGCCGTCTTCGCTGGGTTATGCCGGGGAGTAAGGAAGATCGTTGCGCCTGTACCAGTACCAGACCGGGACCCGTTAACGTGCAGCCAGTCCGTTGGTCTCATCCACTGTTCTACACCGACACTCCAATCTTTACCGACGACCAGGAGGACATTCATGACTACTTTGGCTGTCATGGTGAGTATTAAGGCCTATGTTGTCTCAGTTTTTAACGTTATTGTTTATTATGAAACCGAAGCAGCGGCGATAGACAATTCCAAACACACAATTATATCATGAACACCTTCTATCGATGGCAAATGCATCGCGCTAGGAAAAGTTCATCCTGTTGCAGTTTCTTTTGACAACTGAACCTGAAAACACGCCGTTTTGTTGTGTGGGGAATTCCGTCAGTAAAGTTGGACCGGGTTGCAATTTGATCCTGATGACGTCATTACAACTTCATGAAATTCGCCAAATTGGCTTGAGTGCAGTCCTTATCTGTGGCCACTTCAGATTTTTTCTTCGAAACTAACAATGAGCCCTGTAAGTTTATTCAAAAATGGTAAACCCTACAATATTGCTGGGATATTTTTGGTCGCAATTAGTTTCAACTATACATGTATAACTTTTGAACTGATTATTGAGTAACGTGTTCAAAAATTCCATGTAGCAAGCGAGACAAAAGGACGCCACTACATGTTTTTTCTTGTTCCACTCTCACTCCTGAGAATTGGGATAACTGATAATACATTATCTGCCTCGGCATGGTGTCCGGCAAAAACCAAGACGTAATTCGATTGTTTATTTTTCCGTTTTATTATTCCAAGATCCCTGCCAGCCAAACCCTTGTCAATACAATGGGAAATGCGAGAAACATGGCGACTCTTTCAAGTGTGATTGTAAAGGTTATATCAGGGGAGAACGCTGTGAGAAACCTTACGGTAAGAGTAAAGTGCAACATTTCGAATGTCATTAAGTAGTTTTGGATCGGGTATACTGTTTACATTCTTGCTCTAATTATTGTAAGGGTCTCGAATCAGGCAAACTATTTGTACAGTTCACGGGCCAGGACCCCGAAATTCCCTGATAAGTACCATCCGAGGTGGCAAAATCTAGTTGTTATATTTTTCATTGCTGTACATCTCTATATATTTTGAGATGATAGCCTTTTCACCGTGGAGGCTTATTATTGATTATCACCCCTTGAATGTCTAGACTCCTTTTTAACGTTATAACCCTATGGGTATTAGGGGGCAGGTCAAAACCCCCACAAACATTAAACTTATTGGAATTACTGTGAACGCTCTGGTTGATCGATATGAAATTCGATAATCTTTCTTGCAAAACAAAAACAATTACGTATGATGCCCATTGCTACTACGGCAGCTAGTTAGTAAAACTCTGTTATTATCACAGTTTATTATAAAAAAATAATTAAGGTTATAGACCAATATATGTTTAGGATAATTAAGAGAAAAGCTATATTTTCCCTTGGTAAATTAAAATTAACTTATAACCAAAATACACACATAATAGGAGCTGATGAATGAATGAACATGACTTATTCCTGCTATTTTCTATGGTAAAACACCGCCCAACCTACAAACTTGGGTAGATTGGCAGTGATATCAGACCCAATATCCATTATTTATGCAATGCCCATTCTGCCTTGACTAATGGAAGTATAACTGTATTTGACCTTTTGCTTAAATAGGATATTTCACGTGATTTATTTAAGTCTATATATGAGAGAAGCTTCTCTGGATGGGAAAGAGCCACCATACTACCTCTCACTCGGCGGTGACTGCTCTATGTTCCGACACCCCTATGTTCCGACAACTCAACCTATGTTCCGACAACTCAACCTATGTTCCGACACCCCTATGTTCCGACACCCCTATGTTCCGACAACCTGCAGATAAGATTGTGTTACTCTCGCCGAGGGTTAGGGTAAGATGTAGGGTTAGTGATAAGGATAGGGATAAGAATTATGTGCAGTCGGAACATAGGGCTGTTGGAATTTAAGGGTGTCGGAACATAGGTTGAGTAGTCGTAACATAGGGGTGTCGGAACATATAGGAATGCCGGAACATAGGCTGAGTTGTCGGAATATAGGGGTGTCGGAACATATCGATAATGTACGGAACGGGCCAGTCTGCTCCCAAACGGATCTGTTTGTTGCTAGCACAAAATCTTTTTTCCAGAGGGTTTCCGACGTCATAAAAAAGAAGATAGAAAAAGGGGAGGTAAAAATGTATTATAAGAAAAAAATTGCAAATTGCTGAATAGCACGGAATTGTTTAAAGGAAATTTCACAAAAAAACCTCATTTTTTTTGCTTAGGTTGCCTTGCCGTGGACAATGCAATCAAGAAATAATACATACAAGTTCAAAATTTATAAGATATTTCACTTGAAAACCACTTTATTTCCTTATAGATTGCCTTGCCCTGTACTATGCACGTATCCGCGAGAGTGGTGTGTATACCATTTACCCATCGCAGTATCCACAAGGCTTACAGGTGATCTGTGATAGCAGTGGTTGGATCGTAAGTACACTATTCAATATTCCTGATCACATTTCTCATTCCAAATAAAAAAGGGAATCGATCAGTGAACGTGGACTTATTTTATTCAGTCATTATCTGAATAAAAAATGCATTACATCAGTTTTAAACAAAATCTATACGTCGGGATGGAACTTTAAAAAAAAACATGGATATTACGTCTTAGCAAATTCAATAATACCATATTATATTTATAGAATAAATAAAGGGTGAGTAAAAAAAAACGGTACCCAAACCTCAAAAAATATATTTCATATTTTAAAAGATATGTAGCCTCAAAAATAATAATGACTGGAAAGCCAATTTCATAAGCTACTTTTCCGTTCAACGAATATCACCATTTATCCCTTTTTCGTCCAAAAATGCGCTTTCAAGAATCGTCCTCACAATTGTCTTCAAACATCAAAGTTAAAAATATTCAACAAAGTCCTTTTGAAGGCCCGTCTTAAACAAAAAGTGGATTTTAGATATCATATTGTTTGCCTAAGCAGGGTTGTAAAGATGTTGTGTACTACTGTTGTTGAAACAGTTATTCTGTGTCATTTTCTTTGTTGTTCCAAACTGTCAGAACACAGTTTTGGGGACGAAACAGGTTTTAAAGTCAGTGCGTTTAAATAGTGATTATTCTTTGAACAGATTTTTGAGCAATTTCAGTATTATTTTTTCATCTAAAACTAGTTTATGAAATTAGCTTTCCAGCCATAATTCTTTTTTTGGTGCTACATAATCTTTTAAATATAAAATTTATTTGGGGGGGTTTGCGTTCCGCCTTTTTACTCACCCTGTGTGTGCTTGTCCGGTTTCAAACAAGCTACCGAATAGGGGCCTGGGCGCGGATAATGCATGACCTGAGGGACAATATCGGCGGCCAGGCCCTATAGCCAGTTTTAAATGTATTTGTTTTAATACCCATTTATTCCAATTCCGAAATACCTTCCAGTTAGAAAGTCAAAACAAGATAAAAACCACAAATTTTCAACGTTTTTTTCAACAATTTTCTTTATATTTTGTGAAACACCCTGGCTCTCTGGTCATGTCTATATATGGTATGTGCATCGCGCGCTTAGTGCTAACAATTCCGTATGTAAATTGGCGCACGCACGACTTTTAAACCAGCCGGTGTTAATCAGCGTTTTAAAATCACGTGACAGGTTCTGGACCAAAAGCAATGGGTAAACTGTCTCAGGTATTTATGAATGACATATACCATGACAACGCGAACTGAACAGATGCATTTTTGTATCGGTTTAAGCAGAAACTCCGTGCCAAACTCGGTAAATGGTACCTTTTTTATTATTATTAAATGGTTTATTTTACTCTCCCGTCGCAGCCCGAAGGCTGAATTGTGGGCAGGTTTACATTGGAAAACATTTTAAAAACAGACAGAGGTAAAAACTGTATGTATGTACTTGACGAACTGTATCTCATTACACGGTTCGCCTACTTTCCATCGTACACTTTTGATCTTCACAGGTGTTTCAGAAGCGGTTTAATGGATCGGTGAACTTCTCTCGCAACTGGGCCGAGTACCAGGGCGGATTTGGCGAACTCTCGGGAGAGTTCTGGCTTGGGAACGAGAATCTTCGTCGTTTAACTTCTGAAAGGGAATGGGTACTTGAGATTGAGCTGATGTATGATGATCAGTTCAGTTCAAATGAGCATGTGACGTACCGGTGGCCATTCCGTGTAGAGGACGACAACTATAAATTGCTGGTTGAAGGATTTTCTGGTAAGCTTCATATTTCTTTCCCCGAAACCATATTACACTCAACTTCCATGTAAATGGAACAAAACCTGGACTTTTTTTGCATTTGATCATTGTGGTGTTTTACCTAAAATATCTATTCTTGGTTCACTCATGGACGAAAGACAAAACAGTTGCTCTCGAATCTTCAGTTTATTGGGCATTACATTTGAGATTGAATGTACTATCCAATAAGTATTACGATAGAAGATTAAACCATTCCCTTGTTTTTGATATTTCAAACATAGAGCAAGGAACATCATTATACCAGGCCCACTTGCATTAACCTGTATTTCGCTCTTTTTGTTTGTTTCTGTAGATGGTTTCCCTTTTCTATCAATGGAAACTCCGTTTTCTTTCTCAACGTATGATAGAGACAACGACGATGTGAACGGAACCAACTGTGCTGAGATGGAGAGAGGAGGATGGTGGTTTGGCCAATGTGGATCTCCGCAGGATTCTTTGGGCAATCTGAATGGAGAATATTCCCTTCTGGGTGACCCAGATAATTATACAGATCGGGAAAACCGCGGTATGAAATGGGATGTTACAGGGAACGTCATAGTAGTGCGGAGCAGTCAAATGAAGCTACGCCGTTTCACTCCACGTGGTAATGCACATACTATTCACTGAGAATTGCACTCGATTTTCGCACAAATAATAAAACCAAAGTATGGAAAATACAGCATTAAACTTGACACAGGAGCCTTGAGAATTAAGCATACAATTCAAAGCATATTACCTAAAAAGGAGAAATGAAGGGGCCTAAAAAATCAGATCTGCTATGATAAGACATTTTTGCTTAAATTTTGTGACTTTCATTTTGTAATAAACATGATTTAAACAAATATGAGGCACCTAGAAACGATGGTATATAAAAGGAAACAATCCTACGGTTTTAATCAAATAAATCTTGCTGACAGTGCAGAAAGGACTGGTACTAAATACCATGTGAATGTATTTTGGCAGAAATTGTATACCTTTCCAAAGAAAACAATTATTGAACGTGGTTTTGGAAAGTTTTTTTTTTTATTTGACGATATTCGTTCAAAGGTTCGAAAATTAGCCATTCCCATCCCTGGAACCTCGACGTCGAGTATACTAGTCAGACAAAACAGAAATATGTCCCTACAAAGTTGATTAAGTGAAGTCTTTGTCGTTTCATTTAAGAATTATATTTCTTTACCACGCACTATATTTCCACCTTACTCTTCAGATTGTGAACACTTGTATCGTTTTGGTATCAAGGGGAACGGCGTCTACACCATATATCCGTGGAAGTACACGAATATTGACAGAATGAAGGTTTACTGTGATATGGATACAGAACCCAATGGCTGGATAGTAAGTTTGCTTTTTGAAATTTTAAATGCGTAAAAACGCAAATTGCCCTGGTTTCAAGTGATGTTTCAAGTGACCCTGGTGTGATTTCGAACAGGTATAGCTTTAAACAATGAACAATGTGTCTTTAAAGCCAAATGCTGCCCTCTATAGGTAATACACCTACTACAGTAGGGGCAATAGATTACTTCTGCTGCATCATGAATTGTTATCCAAGAATCGTTTCGTCACATTGGTTTGTTTATTAGGTGTTTCAGGACCGGTTTGATGGGTTGGTGAATTTCACTCGCAACTGGGCCGAGTACCAGGACGGATTTGGCGAACTCTCGGGAGAGTTCTGGCTCGGGAACGAGAAACTCCGCCAACTAACGTCAGAAGGGCAATGGGCGCTAGAGATTGAGCTGTATGGTCCAAATGTTGATGACACTTGGCCTGTAATGCATCACAGGTGGTTATCGTTTCGTGTGATGGGCAACAGCTACGATCTGGAAGTTCAAGGACCAATAGGTAATGACATGTTTACGGCACCGTACCCTGTATACATGAAAATAGATGAAAACAGGCATGCAACGCGATTGCATCGTATTGCTTACATCAAGGATCTTTAGCGTTGAATAACAATGTCACAATTAACATTGTTCGCGTTTCTTTTGGTAGTTGATTTTCATCTCCCTTCAAGTGAGACGCCACTTTCGTTTTCGACGTACGATAGAGACAACGACGGTGTGAACGGAACCAACTGTGCTGAGGTCGAGGGAGGAGGATGGTGGTTTGGTCAGTGTGGATCTCCGCAGGATTCTTGGAGCAATCTGAATGGATATTATTCTCTCCTAGATGACACACATACTAGAGTTCAGCAATATTTCGGTATTATGTGGGTTGGTGCAGTGAAGTTCCTAGTTCAGAGCAGTAGAATGAAGCTGCGCCGTTTCAGTCCAAGTGGTAATTCACAGCATTTTAAAAAAAATCACCCAGAATTGCACTAATTATTTCTCTAAATAATAACAATAAAGGCATTTATATGGCGCTTTATGTAAAAATACCTCAAAGCCCCTCCCAATAAAAACTATAAAACCTATAGGCAATGAAAATATTAAAATAAAACTATAAAAGTTACCTTAAGTACCATAGTGACAAGTACTAAAACACAGAAGCAAGCAAAACTAATATGCAGGCTGTAGACATGTTTTGTTGCGAAGTAAAGCCAAGTCCTTCTCGAGCCGTCAAGCGCTAGATTTTTTTAGCAAAATGCAGTACAAAAATATTGAAAAGTACTAATCATAAATTAGATTTAAGGCCTAGACCATAGGGTTTTTTTTATAATAAAAAAGAGACAATACATTTCATTATAATATTAATTTTAATTTAATGCCAATCTTTCCTGCTCTGCATTTTAATCTTTACAATACCTATTTTGATTCTTGATTCTTTGCAATTTCTTGATTCAGATTGCCTTGAGTTGTATGATTTTGGCGTCACGGCGAGTGGTATCTACACCATCTACTTAAAACAAACTAGCGTGAGTGTCTACTGTGATATGGAAGCAAATGACGGGGGCTGGACGGTAAGTTCGTTCATCAAAACTAGTGTGCGATCCCAATCCAGGCACACTAGTACTTCTGTCACTAAGGCCCCTTCCAATGGTGGAGGCCCCGTCCAATGGCGGAGGCCCCCTCCGATGGCGGAGGCCCCTTCCAATGGCGGAGCCCCCCCCCCCCCTCCAATGGCGGAGGCCCCCCTCCAATGGCGAAAGCATTGTGCCAGTTATTGTTCAGGTAATCACGAGAAAGTTGCTTTGTATAATGGCGTACATTATTGAATGGACGTTAGACTTAATGACGTAATGGTTTTGTTTACAAATGCGTTTTTCTATCGGAGCGAAGTCAGGACGCCAGACGATTTAGAGACCGTCCACCACATAGGAAAGCGTGACGTCATTAGGTCTCGGGCATATTTAGCGGGGCTTCGGTTAGTGAACAGGGATCACGTGCGAGGATTCATCTGTAGCAACTACGTACACGTATACATGTCTATTGCAAATAATTACACCTTTTTCCAAAGAGTAAAAATCCATTCTATTCGAGTAAAAATTCACTCGAGTTTTGAAGTGATTTTCTTTATCACAGTATTTGAATTTAAAATTAGAGAAGATTTTCATTCTAAATCGTGTAGTCCCTATTGTCACTCTTCGAAAATTAGACAGTAACTTGACATCAGTCTGGTTGGTTTAAAACATTTTTCCCCCAAGGATTGATATTCTCGAAAGCCCAATTCATTTATTGCTTTGGCCTATTTGTGTTATAAAATGACAAGACAGAATTGATAAACTAAAACAAAATCAAAACAAATCTCTCTTCCTCAGATCCGCGTGTTGTAAACTTGGCCGCCAATGTTATATCATAAAACGTTTATGGTAAATTGTTGGCAGTTCCATCATCACTGTTTGAAGCATTTTGATTTGTAATAGGTGTTTCAGAAGCGGTTTAATGGGTCGGTGAATTTCACTCGCAACTGGACCGAGTACCGAGACGGATTTGGCGACCTCTCGGGAGAGTTCTGGCTTGGGAACGAGAAACTCCGTGTACTCACTTCTACCTATAGATGGGAACTAAGGGTAGACCTGGTGGACGATCAAGGAAAGACGAGACAAATCAATGTCAACAGATTCAGCGTCAAAGGCAGTGATTACGAATTGGACAGAGGTATGTTTCCTACCAAAAAAAGTATATATTAACAACAAGAATAAAACAAGGTAAAGCTGGCCCAGAGCGCACAACATTATATACAATTGATAATGGGCGTCGCCAGGATTTTTTCTAGAGGGGGCAAAAAATTGTTTTGCCAAAAAATGCTTGTATTTCTTAACAAATTCTCGATTTATCAGATTTAGAGGGGGGCAGGGACATTTTGCCCCCCACCCCAACTCATTAAATTTACACCACTTTGTCTTCGCGCCTCTTTTTCTTTTCTTTTTTTTCTTTTTTTTTTCTTCCTTTTTTTTTTTTTTTTTTTTTGCTTTTCCAGGGGGGGGGGGCAAGTGCCCCCCCTTGCCCCCCCCCCTCGCGACGCCCATGCAATTGATTCAGAATGCCCTCTTCACTGATCTTTACATGCATCTGGCCTGCACGATGGGCCAAATTGAGACTCAATCAAGTCTTATTCACAAGAGACAGCGAATTAGTCATTCGGGTACACAGAGACAGTGAGGCCTACTTGTTTCCATAGAAAAACAACACCACAATGTAGGCAAACCTGCCGCAACATAAACACGTACATTTTGGGTTGTACACACAGTTTTCCCTATGCGAATATAGCATTCGACGCTCGTTCTAAACCCATAGGTCTAACTAGAACATCATTGATATCTGACCTATTCCTTGTCTTTGCATTCAGCGTTCTTCTTCGAGGTTTTTGTTATTTCATTAAGTAGAGTAGAAGACCAATCCAAAGAATTGTACTGCAGGTCTTCTCAAAAGCAAACACACCGTCAATATGCTCGCAATACAATAGACCCATTCCTGAACTCAATTTAATATTTTTGTTTTTATCCAGCATCGTCCACTCTCAAAGCAGTGTCGTAAAACTGAGTTCATTTTAATATGTTTTGATTTTGTGTAGCTGTGAAGGATTTTGACTTCCCTCTATTCAATAAGCGGAAATTCTCAACATATGACAAGGACAACGATGATGAGCAGAATTCTAATTGCGCAGCTGAGCAGAAAGGGGGATGGTGGTTCGAAGAGTGTAGTGATAATATTCTGTACAGCCTGAATGGAGAATATCACCGTGTTGCTGATTTTCTTGGTACCAAATGGGCTGGATGGGGAACCAATGGAACATTCAAGTGTGAAATGAAGCTGCGTCGTTACTAATACAGCAGGTGTACATGAAAAGAAGCCCAACAAAGAAAAGGAGAGCAGATCTTCTTTCTTTAAAATTAATGTCAGAGATGACCCCAAGGAGTAATGATAACTTTACAGGTTATGAATCAATCAAACCCGAATCTAAAGTATAAGCAGTGTCAGAGATGACCATGAGAATTAGACAAATAAGAGGCTGATAAGCTGGTAAATTTATTTGCAAAAAGCCACATTTTCGTCAAATTGGCGGGGTTTTAATGTCGCATTTTGAAAGATGTAAGCCTATATCCTTTAATATGATTAGGGGTAATAATAATGTAAAGCGCTTTGATCTTAGTTAAAAGCGCCATATAAGAACCTGTTATTAGTATACGTGTAAAGGTACCACTAAGGAGACACGTTATCGTAATTTCTTCGCACGATGGGAGACATCGGTCATTAGGGAGACAGTTTCATGTCTCCCTAATGTCACAGCCCCCCTTTAGAGGCACAATTTGATTGTCGCAATTAGGTTATATTTGTTGCTCGTGGTCTAATTAGTAAACATACCGAAATTCGTGGGAAAAGGACAAGGGAATATTGGGTTAGGGCACATTTAAGTTTGAAAATTTTTGTCTATGGGGATGTCTCCCCAAATGTCCAATCCAAGTTAATACTTATTATTATTATTATAATACACAATGAATTTGGCAAAAAGAGCCTAACTGTACATCAGTGATTGAACAAATCTACACATGCTATAGATAAAAGAAGTTTCCTGGCTAAACATGCTTGATGTACTACATTACATTTGGACATTTTCACAATTTGTCCGCACTGAAAATAAGTGAAGACATAAACTTGTAATTGAAATATTGTAACGAAGGAAAAATGAACTTACTGAGAAAAAAAAATTCTTGTAAATATTAACCGTAACTCTGTACTGCAAAATAAGTGGCGCTGTTGTAGCCTGTGTAATAGTGGTAATACTGCATATGCAATAATATTGTTTTGCGTGAAGTAGGCCTTAAATGAACATTGGTCATTTTGCATAGAGAAGTTCATCCTCGTATTTTGTGCAAACATCGACAGTTTTCGTCAGTAGAACACTAGCTTCACGCTTGCAATGCACACGATTGATTAGAAAGTTAAACAAAGAAATTGACTGGAGCGGGATTTGAGCCTCCGACCACGGGAATACCGTACTGTTGCCATACCAACTGAGCTATCCAGCCATTATATTGGCTGTTCTCCATCACCATTTTTGGTCTTTGTCTGTAGTTCTGCCAATCTTGTTCAATAGACAAGATTGACAGAAACAACGAATCGAGATAAAGAAATCCAAGTAGAGCTGGTCCCAGAGTGCACTCAATTCCATTAAATCGGTTGAGAATAGCTACTGGCTGCAGTCTTTTCAGATGTGATGTTGGCCTACACAATAGGCCGGATTTAGCCCGTTGTTTTGTTACGAAGTAATCCTATTGTAAGGCCAACGCATAGGCCTACGTAATATTCAATGTGAATAAGAAAATAATTAGAACTTTCCGTACACTGCTCGGTCGTGAACAGACACTTATTTTCATATTATGTTTGACGTCATCATCTTTTTGCCTGAATGAAAAAGAGAGTCGTGAATAACGAAAACATATTTTATTATAACTTGCCAGGTAAACAAGAAGGATAGAATGGGCGTTATAAAGACATTGTGTATGGATAAAAGTGTCTGTCCAAGATCCAACAAAATATATTTAGTTAAGTGTGAGCTAAATGTCATGTTTTATTTCAGTATTTTTCCTCAATGGTTTAGACTTTTGTGGGAGTAATTTATATTAAAGTATGCCTAAAACAAAGAATTTCATTAAATCCTATGAGTTATTCTATAGCCTAAAGTTAGAGTTCAAAGTTAGTCCGAAAATTCGGGACTCTCAATACTTTGTACGAGAGTCCCAAAAGTTAAGATATGTCAAAACATGCAACACAAGAAAATAGACTGGCACATGAAACAACCAGTCCAACACCCCTTTGGTAGTGCATTAATAAACTATGTCAGAAGAAACATCTGATACTAGTCTCTACTTCTACAAATCTCCCCATAGTCATGCCACCAGACTACTGAAAGGTCAATCTTTTTAAAAAGTTGTACATGTACCAGTCTAGTCTTAGGCTTCAAATTGACTTGGCTTCACTCTCAAGTGCAAAATGTCGAAGAAAAGTCTTCTTTAAATATTGAATTGCGACTTCAAACTTGGCCGGTGAAATACTGAGGACCTTGTCTTTGCCTCATGAAAAGTTTGGAGAATTTTGTCAACTAAAGAGCGAGTAAAGTTGGCCTGATTTGTTTTGAATGTTTGTCTGCACTCAAGGTCCCGGTCTGGTCTAAAATGTGACACTTCTCCTGTCCCTGTTTAACCTTGATGGGCCTACTTTGTAATGCGCCATTTAAGTATACTTTATAAGAATGACTTCAAACGATATTTTATTTGTTGGGTAGGTAGTTTGCCTTTCATAATCGCTCATGGAGGATTGACTGCTCTCCCTCCCCGCCCCCACCCCCACAACACACACAATTTAATCACTTGCAAGACGAAGACAAATCCAATTGATTATCTTAGCGTCATGCGCTAACATTTCCTGTTTTTGATCTTTCGAATTGGATTTTTTTTTCTAAAATGCCTTAAGTCATTTTTAAAAAACGTGGAAATCTTTGGCCACTTTTTAAATGTTTTGATGTATATACGACCCAGATAAATCTTATTAAAGTATGTTTAAACCTTAATAAGTTTGTCTTTCTGTGTAAGTATGTCTGTACTTATTTTGATAAGACAAAATCGTATTTCTGTTATGTCTACCAACTTTTCGAATCCCACTCGGTGTGATGAGATGTTATTTGTTTTTCTTTCTTTAGCTTTCTTTTTCTCTTAAAAAGTTTGTTTTTTAGAAATTTGGAACATTTTTCTTTTGCTAAATTGTAATTTTGAGGATTTTTTTTCAAGGGAAAATAAAGTCCGAGAACCTGACTTGCAACTGAAAGTGCTTTGATATACGCCCATAGCGATTATGTGGTATGGAAAAAATATATCGCGCGGGGCGGTTCGTGGGTGATAAAGCCACAGACATAACGTATAGGTCTTCGTATATGGAGATCAATGGTTATACAATTGTCTCATTGGTGATAGCGGTGCGTAGTGAGAACGCCCTCTCGCGGCGGTGGGTTATCACGTCTCTACAACAACGTCTTGATCCAAGACTACTGGATTATTATGTTCCAAAAACAAATGATTCCGAGTGTATCTGACGAATCTTAGGTTCAGTAGCCGCCACGGCTAAAAAATAGACGCGGACAAGAAGCATATTATATCATCAAGGAATCATCAAATAGACCGACAAGAAAATATATACATCTCTTGCTACTATGGGATCTAATCAGCATACAGGAAGCAATTAGTTACCCTACCAGGGTCCACTAATGTCTAGAGGTTGAAAGTAGAGGAACGAGGTTGGGATAGTGTAAGATATTTGTCAATAGTGGGGAAAAAATGAATCACTGACCTCGATTCACGGGTGTACTTCTGATCTCGATGACAATAGTAGTGAGAGAGCAGATATTGGTAGCGTACTACTCGACGCCATGGGGGCGAGGTTTACAATGAGTTGGTCTTCCCATAGGTCTCCCTCGCTGCAAGGCTCCTGTGACATGAATATGCATGAGCGTTAATATTAATCGTAGTAGCCAATGATCGTGCCTCAATGAGCGTGTATCTGAGCTCAGCCGAGGCGTAATGCTGAACTGATAGGCCTATAATTAGTGCGGCGAATGTAACCAGGCCAAAACAGACGTGTGTTCTGTTGGTATTATTTGAAACGCTTGTCACGTCGGATTTTTTTCGAACTGGAAAAGAAACGAAAACGGAATCAATTCTATTGGAAAGTGGTGAGCTTGTCATCAGGATGCGGCGTCTTGCCTTGGCGTCACTTGTCACTTGCGTCTTTGGTAAGTCACCATGATTTCACTTCAATATTTTTCTCCCAACATTCGTTTGGTTAATTGTCCTGTTATTCCAGATGATGATGTTCACCCTAACCTCAGCTAACTCGCTTAGCGTGCTAGTTTCATGAAGTCACTTTACTTCACAACGAAACGGATAATTCGTAGCAAAGTAAAAAAATATTAAGGTCGGGAAACGAAGTTAACATAATACGTCAAAACCTGGGTAATTCCATGGTCGGGGACATGCACGCCCCCCCCCCCTCCCAATTTAATCAAATTCACGAGGTTCCTTATGTTCCATAAGCAAGCCTTAAAGGTAATGGATTCCATTTGTTAAACAAAAATAATTTCTGCCGATTCAAGGAACAACAATACGATAAATTTGAAGCAGGATATTAACAAACTAAACTATCGACATTTCAGCTAAGTCGGTTATAGTTTTTGAGAATACAGTGAAAATGCATCTTCATTATTCTCGACGCAAAGCAAGGCCCTCCCTTCCAAAATGTTCAACCTCTTATGGTGTGATCCAGTTTGTCACCCGGGAAAAATGATCTCCATTTAGGGATTCTTCCTTTCTCGGAAATGACAGCATAATTGGCGTAATGATTTAATATAGGTTTTCCCGGCTAATTTCCAAATTTTGCTAATCATTTTCATTATCAGCCATTCAATTTCGCGTGATTTTTGCACGTGGGTCAAGTTGGGGTTTCTCTTTCATTTGGGGGCATTCAATTTCATTTTTAGGCAGCCAAGATTTTGCTCCGAATGTTCAGTTTCGTTTTGGGGCATTCTGTTTCGTTTTGGTGCATTCAAGACTTAATTTGTAGCATTCTGCCATTCCGGGCAGATTAATGTTACATGTCTATTTCAGCACAAAAACAATTGCTAGAATTTTGGATATTTTGAAGTCTTGAATTTCTTTTCTTTGGTGATTTTTTTGTTGTGTCATTACATGGCAGTAAGCCAATGAGCATCCCTTTCTCACAAATGTTTTCAATAAGCAAATTTTGGGTGAATAATTTGAAAGAAACTCCCTAAACTGAACAGTGTCTGCCTGAAATCACATCACAGCAACAGCGCGCTCGGTAGTCCGGAACTTTTAAATGTTTAAAGAAGTGCACTTTGCAATAGAGATTAACCAAAACAAGATGTCAAATGTGCAGTTTTTACACATTTCAGAGTAGTAGAAAGTTGCGCAAAATGTATTCCTGAGAAAAATTAATTGCAAGGACCATATAATTAATTATAATTATAGGTTTTCCCGGCCAATTTTTTCTAATCAGTTTCATTATTAGCCATTCAATTTCGCGTGAGTTTTGCACATGTGATCAAATTGGGTTTTTTTAATATTATTTTGGGGGCATTCAGTTTCATTTTTAGGCAGCCAAGATTTTGGACTGAATGTTCGTTATCGTTTTGGGGCATTCTATTTCGTTTGGGTGCATTCAAGATTTACTTTGTAGCATTCTTAAACTAAGTCTTTGCAACCTTTTGACGTTTGACGCATTCACATTAGCGAACGTCGGTGCGCTTATCGCGTATTACCATGCTTTTCGTTTCTTATTCGTTTATGGGCAATCACTTCCTTCGTTTGGTTATTCAAATTAATAAGAATTTTTAAGTGATTTATTTTCCTATTTTCCTCCGAGGTTGATTTTCCCAAAAACCTCTTGGTGACTGCATAATTTACAATGTAACAAATTATTATGAGGGATTACAAGATATACTGAAATGAAAAGGGCTCATATGCAGATAATTTCTTTTTCACTGTTGATCTTTTCTATACTTGTTTAAACGTTCGAGCAAGGGACATCTTCACGTTGACGATTTCTTGACGTGCAAGACATCGGGGCATGTATGTTTGGCCGAACACTTATTTAAAGGGCCCATGCAAAATAAATAGTTCAATGCAAACCTTGAAAATACATCTCTGTGTCACAATTGAACCTTATTTTTAAGTTTTACTTTTCCATTTTGAAGGGTGTTTTGGTGTTTTCTTCGTTTTTATGCTAATGCAAAGTTCCATATTCACGCATGAGCAAAATTTTGATGTAATTCCGGGCAGATTAATGTTACATGGCTTTTTCAGCACAAAAAGTTGCTAGAATTTTTGATATTTTGCTGTCATAAATTTCTTTTCTTTGGTGATTCTTTGTTGTGTCAGTACTTGGCAGTAAGCCAATGAGCAATCCTTTCTCAAAATGTTTTCAATTAGCACATTTTGGGTGAATAATTTGAAAGAAGAGCCCTAAACTGAACAGTGTCTTCCTGAAATCACATCACAGCAACATGCAGCGCGCTCAGTAATACGGAAAAGCATGGAGACTTTTAAATTTTTAAAGACGTGCACTTTGCAAAAAAATAAGACAAACCCCAAAAGACGTCAAAGTATAGGTTTTCGCGGCCAATTTCACCAAGTTTTCATTTAATTTAACGCCTGGCTCATTCAATTTACATTGAAATTGAAAGATCATGCAGATCGGCATTCGACAATCAAAAAGAATCATTCAATTTCCCTATCCGAGCATTCTATCGCCTTTTAGATTCAATCGTCCCTATCAAAGATGCATTCATATTAAAAGTATCGCGTTGTTTATTCAATTTCGTCTAAACCATTAGTAAGGGGTTGATCGGGCATTCGTTTTCATTAATGGGCAAACATATTTCACATTTTGTCAAACATCTTTTAAGACTTCATACGTGTCCGTATTCCTTAGCGTAAATCACATTTGATGACTTCAATCCGTAGATGCCTTTCTTTCTTAATTGAAGGGTATGTGCAATTTTTCTCAGGACTTCTTATTGTGCAACTCTTTACTACTGTGAAATGTAAGAAAACTACACATTTGACAATTTTTTTGGGTTAATCTTGCTGCAAAAGTGCACTTCTTTAAACTTTTTTTCCATGCTTTTCCGGACTACGTATGAGCGAGCTGTTACTGTGATGTCATTTCAGGAAGACATTGTTCAGTTTAGGGTTTTTTTCTTTCAAATTATTCATCCAAAATTTGCTAATTGAAAACATTTGTGGGAAAGGGTTGGTCATTAGCTTACTGCAATGTACTGACACATCATATAATCACCAAATAAAAGAGATTTATGACAGCAAAATATCCAAAATTCTAGCACTTTTTTTGCTGAAATAGCCGTGTAACATTAATCATGCCCGGAATGCCATCACAAGTTTTCTAATGAATATGAAACTTTGCATTAGCAGAAAAACGGAGAAGGCACAAAAACACCCCTCAAAATGGAAAACTTGCAAATAAGATTAAATGTGACACAAAGATGTATTTTCAAGGTTTGCATTGAAAACTGACTTTGCATGGGCCCTGTGAATACGGTAAGTGTTCGGCCAGACATACGCAAGAAATAATTTAAGAAATAACGCAAGAGAAGTGTTCCCGATAGTACAACCATTGCCAAACATACATGCCCCGATGTCTTGCACGTCAAGAGATCGTCAACGTAAAGATGCCCCTTTACTCAAACGTTTAAACAAGTCAGAAAAGATCAACAGTGAAAAAGAAATTATCTTGGTCCCTTTCAATTAATTAATTCGTAATTACATCTTGTTTCCCTCATATCGGTTAATTTGTAACATTGTAAATTTTACAGTCATCAAGATTTTTGGGGGAAAATGAACCTCCGAGAAAAATACGAAAATATATCCATTAAAAAATCTAACTAATTTAAATGACCAAACGATGAAAGCGATTGCCCATAAACGAATAAGAAACGAAAAGCATGGTTATACGTTACAGGCGCACAGATGTTCGCTAATTTGAATGCGTCAACCGTCAAAAGGTTGCAAAGACTTAATTTAAGACTGCTACAAGTTAAGTCTTGAATGCGCCAAAACGAAATAGGCTGCCCAAAAATGAAACTAAACATTCGGAGCAAAATCTTGGCTGCCTAAAAATGAAATTGAATGAACCCAAAATGATAAAGAAACCCCAATTTGACCACATGTGCAAAACTCACGCGAAATTGAATGGCTGATAATGAAACTGATTAGAAAAATTCGGAAATTCGCCGGGAAAACCTATAGTTTTCATACATTTCAGAGTGGTAGAAAGTTGCACAAAATGTATTCCTGAGAAAAATTCATTGCACGGACCCATTAATTAAGAATGAGAGAAAAAGAAAAAGATTCTCCACGGCCATGGGTTTGTTAAGCCATGTAAAAAAAACTATTTGACACCCCTGTTTGGTTAATTTGATTCAAAAGTGCACTTTTTAAACATTTAAACATTTTCGAAGCTTTTCCTGACAAATAAGGGCGCTGTTGTTGTGATGTCATTTTGGGAAGACACTGATCAGGTTAAGTGTTTTCTGTTCAAAATTGTGAACCCAAAATGTGCTCTTTGAACACATTTTGGAAGAAGAATTCGTTCACTGGCTTGCTGTCATGTACTGAAACAAATTAACAAATCACCAAAGAAAGAAAAATGTCCTTAAAAATTGAAAAATGGAGAATAAAAAAGATTTTTACTCGCATTACGATTTTGCCATTTAAGACCTTACCTATTTCTAACGAAAAAGCGAATTTGATCGTTATAAAAGCAGTAGAAAGGTAGAGATAATTGTGTTTTCAACAAGATAAATTTAATTAATACAAGTAAAAAGAGGCATACGTAGCGAACTAAGTATTGTTTGAAGTGACATAAATACATTCGAAAGGGAAGGCAGCCTACACGATGAAATGTGCATTTAAAGCAGTCTTCGGCAGATTATGTGTTGTGATTGTGCTGAAATGTGTACTGTATATAATGTTGTAATTCACACTCGTCGTTGATTCTAATATATTTTTGACTGATTCATTTCATTCTTTATTCATAACTGGTTTCCATGACGACTTCGATATTTGGTACGGACAGTTCTTTCTTCCCGTCGCTCATGACGAATCGTTCCTTTTGTGATTACCAGAGCGCTTACTCATTACTCGCCCAGAATGATTTTGGCGCGTAAACAGGTTGAATAAATGTCCGTGATCGTCAAATGTAAATGAAATTAGATGGACTGTTTGTTCACCAGTGAGATCTAAATACAACTCGAGGGTACAGTGTCCCCGCAGTTTCACAATAAAAACAAATATAGTCCCAGGTGTTCCTGGTCAAGTTCATCAAAAAAAATCGTTCAATTTACACGAGGCCCATTCAAATTCGTGTTAAGAGTCTTTCTATTTTGTTATTTGAGCGGTCGAGTCGTTTCGTTCGTTCAAACTCAAAAAGTCATTTCGTTTATTCAAATTTGTCGACGGGCCTAGAAAGATGTTGATCACGAATTCGATTTAATCAATTGGCCAAAAAAAATTCACGTGTGTGCATTCAAATTCGTTCTTGTGGTATGCACTTTCTGATTTTTTCCAATGGCCTATATAAAAAAACCCAAAGCAAATCATTTTGTTTTCATGTTATTACGTTGACCCTACCTTTGTTCTGCAAAACAGTGTTAACTTTTAATTACAATGGTTCAAATAATTATAACAGAACTGAAGAAAAATGAACAGCACCTGTTCACACAATCGTGAGCAAAAGAACGGCGAAGTCCTCCCTGTACATGTATAGATTCCATATGACTCAAGAGACAGGCGTAGACACAAATAACAGAATAATAATACAAAACAAGAACTATTCAAATCAAGACAATGATAATGGGACAAGAATATCATTCAGAAAAACTTACAGCGAATGAAACTTGAAAGATAACTAAATTGAACACTCAGAGTTTGACATAGATGATTCTAAACGAAAAAGAAAAACACACGGAGATAAAGGATCCTACGCTTCGATAACTTATAATTTGATCGCACCAATTGGAAAAAGACCGCAGAAATTAAACTTTAAAATGGTGAAAATTGAATGCCTATTAACGAAAAAGAATGACTTCAAACGAACTCGAATGGCAAAACCAAAGTCGTGTGGGCACGAAAACAAAATTGAATGCGATAATAGGGAAAAAGAAACCTAGCTGGTATTAACAAAATCGAAAAATCTGCAAGAATCTAAATGCGTGATGATGACACTGAACGGGGATTTTTTTGGCCGAAATTGGCCAGTAAAACCTACACTAAGATTCATTTGAACCAAGGGCGGATCCAGAACACATTTTTTTGGGGGGGGGGGCCAAAAAAGATTTGTGTGTAAAAAAAAAAAGTGTAAAAACAATTACGGCGTGGGGTTCGGGGCCCGCTCAAGGTCCCCGAAAATTTTTGGATTCTAGATGCTTTGTGGTGCGATCTGAGGCAATTTCTGACCACTTTAACCAATGTTTTTTGAGGAAAAGATGGTGGTGTGCTCATTGCCTGCCTTATTGCGAAGTCACCCCCCCCCCCAAAAAAAAAATGGAGTCGTTTTTTTTTGGGGGGGGGGTTGGCCATGGCCCCCTTTGCTCCCCCACCCGCTAGATCCGCGCTTGGTTGGAACCAGTCTAGCCTGCATGAGAGAACTGAGTTATTGTCGGACCGCAAATTATTCGAAATTTGTGAAATAATCATTCCATACCTAAACGTGGGTATTTGTTTCGGTTGATGTTTCGCTCATGAATTTTACAAAATAGATATTTTACAAAACAATTTATTTGGGGAGAGGAGTGAACTCGAAAATAGAACGGAGAGAAAAACGTAACATTGTTGTGGTTTATTTGAAAAGAAGTATAAGACTTTATATTTTAATGACTTTCAAACATACCTTATATGTTCCCCATTCTATTCTTGCACATTATTTGATTTTTTTAGAAATCAATTTAAGGCATATTTGTTTCCTCACGTAGTTTTGTAAGAAAAAAGTTAGGTATTTTAATCGTCCAAAATTTAAAAACAATGAAATGCTTTACGGAGGATAATCTTGTATAGGCCTATTCCCAATAAAATAGTACATGGTTTTTTTTTTAATTATAGGCAAAGAGGAGATCATTTATGTAGACAAGGAGACAGAACAATACATTCAGATCAATCACCCTTCGGGTTCAATAATAGATGATAATAACTATAAGCCCGATCGTCTTGGTAACCACCGTAGCTGTTGTATTCTAGAATACGGTGGCCCTGCAGGGACGTGCTCTGTCTGGAATTTACAATTTACCTAATAACTATTGTTCAAAGGGTTGTTTAATTTACATGTATATAAAAAGTCGTAAAAAGGCGACTGTCGTGTAGAAGAAAAACAGGGGAGACAGCTTGGAAAAATTACCCTACCTCGAAAACCAAATGCAATTTCAGCTAGGCAGATTATAGGTCATTTTCGCTTCCACTTGATTATTCAAATACTTAAAAACCAACTGTCGTTTGAAAGCATGTCGGCTTGGAGGTTATTCACTACTAGTGCAGAAATTATTGGTAAATATCAGTAACTTTTGTTGTCTTCTGGTCATGCATGCTTAACGTGTAACGTGACAGCTATCGAATCAAGACTGAGCAACTCCTTTACTGCTTTTATAAAGAAATTTTAATATAATATAGTATCGGTACTTGTGTTTTGCAGAAGTCAATATTGTCTGTTTTCGTGGCTTAAAGATAACTTAAATATTTTCTATATATATTATATGAAAGTGATCAAATATCTTAAAAGACAGCATATGAATAATGTACCGCGCAGAGTTACAAAATGTATTTTAATAAGGTATCTTAATCATTATAACCATTTCCCCCCAGTTTGGCATTACTACATTCAGTCGGTGATGAGACTTTAAAATTACAATCGCAAAAAAAAACATCGAAAATATTTTCCTAAGGTAATTTGATCAGTTTACATCATTCAAAAAGCAAACATACAAACTGAAACCTGATCTCAATCTTACCGACCAACAATTATGTATATACCTACACGACATTCTACAAGAAATACTCCGAATGGCAAATTAATACTTGATTGCATGATTTTGTTCAAAAAGTAAAAATCGAACGTTTTTGGTGTGTGGTTAACACCATGTTAGAGACTTGTATTCCGAGATTAAAAAAAAAAATATTTATCATCGCAGGCATGGATATGGAGGTTTGGACATTAATGAACAAAATGCTGACACTAATTGCAGATAATATAGGTTTTTCCGGCCAATTTCCTAAAATGTTCATTCACATCTGAAAATCGGTCACTGTTTTCCTCTGAATTTGAATGCACGTCTTTAATCCATTATTCAACGAAAGTTTCTTCGTTTTCATTGGCCGTGCATTCAGTTTTGAGAAACAGACGGCCAATTACGTTACCTGTGCATTCATTTACGCAAGCATAACTTTTCGCGAAGAGTTCCAGAATACAATTTCGTGACTGTGCAATCAAAAGTACGGTTTTTTTCATTCAAAATAGCAGATTACATCACATAACATTAAACTAAAAGTGAAATAAAATAGTTAATGTTTGAAAGCGAAAAGAAGTCTTGGAAACGAATCTGAATGAAAATAAACGAAAGGTGCTGCTTAATCACTTAATTGATTGAACTGAAATGGAATCGAATACTCTGGTAGCGAAAATGAAACGCGTGTTCCGAACGATTTTCAAATTCAGACAAAAATGAGGAAACATTTGAGAAAATTGGCCGGGAAAACCTATACATACTACCATTTTAGATATTTATTATTTGGTTATCATAATTATTAGGGAGGGTGTAAAACTCCTAATTTTGGTTTTCGAAGGGTCGTTTGTTTGATTGCTTTTGGGTGTGTTTTATTGGGGGTGGGGGCTGTTTTGTTTTGCTTTGTTTTTTGTTTTTGTTTTGTTTATGAAGACACTCTCTTAGCGGATACAATCGATACCAAAAAAATCCGGCAATGTATTTTTATTGCGTAAAATTTTCATCATTTCAGTGACCCTTTGGGGCGTGGTTTCAGCCGAGAAGGTATGCTACTTCAGCCAGGAGCCTGATGCGAGACAGCCAGGCCGTCTTCGCTGGGTTATGCCGGGGAGTAAGGAAGATCGTTGCGCCTGTACCAAAACCAGACCAGGGCCCGTTAACGTGCAGCCAGTCCGCTGGTCTCATCCACCGTTCTACACCGACACTCCAATCTTTACCGACGACCAGGAGGACATTCATGACTACTTCGACTGTCATGGTGAGTAGAGGCCTGTTGTAATTATTGATAATGTCCAATTTTGAACGTTAATGTCCATTCTGAAACCGAAGCAGCGGCAATACAACATTTACAATTCCGAGCACGATAACAATTCTATCACGAAGGCCTCCTTCAATGGCGAAAGAATTGTGCTAGCTTTTGCTCAGGTATTCCGGCGTCGCCAGGATTTTTTCTGGATTAAATTAACAGCAATATGACTTCGCGCCTCTTTTTCCATCTATTTTCCCCCTTTTGTTTCCTCCTTTTTTTGCTTTTCCAGGAGGGGGGGGGGGGGGAGCGTGCACAGTGATTTTTCCATTGAAGACGGCCTTGGGAATTTTCCGTGTACACCAAATCTTGGGCGCACAGTTCGCGTAAAAGGCCGGGTCCCATGCTTTTTGGGTGTGCCAATAATGATTATTTGTTAGCATTACAATGATAGTCAGTGGGCTTGTGGGGCCCATATGCATTTTGGGGTTTTTGAAACTCTCAGGATCACTTATGGATTCATCTTGATGCCATTTTTCTTACCCTTTCATGGGCGGAGCCATGACATTAGAGCTCCATCATGAGAATAAAATATTTCCAGAATTTTGCATGTATTGGGGATTGGGCCACATTAAAAACTAAGCCGGGGGCAAAAGGCGTAAACAGAAAATCTAGATGTAACAGGCAATTTTGTAACGATTTGTTTTTTCAATCCAGTACAGTGAACGGGGGGTCGGGCAAAATGTTTACATATCAAATAAAAACCGTTTGTTCCCCTTTAGGGGCGTATCGCAATTGTTGTTTCCTAATAAAAAAAGGGGGGGCACACCTTGCATATGAACAAAAAGCAACAACCTAACCCAAATAGTTTTTAAGACATTAAAACGGCAAACCTATACAGCTCATTAATGTTTCCATGACATTTTAGCCGGTATGTCTTTGTTTTAGGCGTAAAACAAACATTTCCAAAAGTGGCAGGAAAATATGATTTCACATGAAAGGGCAAATTTATGCTGATTTTTGGTATGAAGTTAGCGAAATAAAGTTTATTCTACCATACATCTGTAAACTATCTCAAATTACTATATGTTCATTTGACAACTGAAATTGAAAAAAAAAATTGTTTACTCAAATTTACTCTTTTTTGTGTGTTTTTAGTCCCTTTCCTTATAGGCCTATATTCTAAAAATGATATCCTTTTTAATCCACCCTAAAGTACCCCTCTATGTGCAGAATTTGCTTCAAAGAAAAGACATTCCAGCTCTGTTTTCAAATTTTAGTGAAAACAAAATAGGTTTTAAGGACAAAATTGTACGTTTTGTTATCATTGCCCGTTTACAAAAAAAGCGTACTCCCTCTTGCATAACAGCGAAATACAATTTGGAACTTTGCTTTTTAATGTTACTGCTTAGACTGCTCAGGCCAAAAAAATACTCGCATAAGTTTGGATTAATGTTGTAATATTTTGTAATTTCCGTTTCCCAAAAAATAAATTATGAAATGTGTCCCCGCCCCTTAAAGAGAAAGTTTGTCCAAAAATGTGTTTTAACACTTAATTCTCGACTAGTTTTTCATCTACTGCAAAAAGTCTTGATAAATGACTCTCCTTTTTGGTTTATTTCGCCTTTTTTTTCCGAAATAGAATTGTACATTCTTCATTTTGGCTTAAAAAAACCAATACCCCGCAAACAATCTCCTGGGGGTAGAAAAAAATGGCATCAAGTGGATCTGGATTTTGACAGTGTTTCATAACTAATTTCTGAAGTTTTCAAATAATGTACCCAATATTGCATATGGAGATGATTTTTTTTTACCACAAGCCAACTGACTATGAGATATTGAACGACAAATTCGGTCCACGCAAAGTTATAATTTTTTTTTCAATTTAGCTTTTTAATTTTGAGCGGGAAGCTCCTAAATCAGCTTAAATATACTAATCTCAAGTCGAACTTAAGTCGATATCAATAACCACACACTGCCATCACAACACAACCCTGAATTTTATCATCAACGTCATGCCAGTCTTCCACTTGAAATTAACACTTTTCAGTTCTAGTATCACATACCGCCCCCCCCCCCCCTTTGTTTAATTCTTCTTTTTCCCTCGTTTCCCCCTTTGGATTTTTTCTACCTATCATACGCCCCGCCCCCTCTTTTTTATATATTTCTTTATAAAATAATTTTTGATAGGATCTGGTTTTCCTGTGGTAGGATGGCTTTGTAGAGGTGCTAGTCACCTGTTCCATCTGCCACTCTCTGGCTTAATCCGTATTCTGGCATAAACTCTCTTTCTTAACAATTTATTGAAATTGTAAATTCTCCGTATTTTTTAATCTGTGATGCTGTATATCTTGTAATATTTTTTATATCAGCAAGTGGAGAAGTGTAATCAAATAAATGAAAATAAGTGTGATTATAGCCTAAACATGTGTTCCACTTCAGTGTGTGTACGTACGTCGTGTATTCACATACTACATAAACCAAGCGCAACACTCGACTCGGGCCAAGTCTAAATTCAGCTTGAACGAGAAATAAGCGCAACACACAAATATTGCCATAACTGTTATAAAAGCAGTAGATATTCGTTCAATGACATCATTCTTTGAAACCTCGTTCGAAAAAACCCGAACGTTTTAAGAATCAATGAGATTCTCGATGACACACTGCGCGTCGCCTCTTCAACACGCGACGCCACTGCTTGAGGCGATGGCACGACGGAGCCCTGCTGATTTCCCTCAACCTCGTGCGCACGGGACGAAACCATTTTATAAGTTTTTTTCATTTTGTACCCCCCAAAAAAACACTTAGACCAGAAAGTAATACCTATGACGATTTCAAGTACCTTTTCAAAGACTAATGGGACAAATCCTGGAGAAATTGAGAGAAAATGGCAAAACTGTTTGGACCCCTGTACATTTTCAATCGGCCGCTTTCGCTTTTTGCCTTCGGATCCAGTATGCGCATGCGTGCATGAATTTGAATTTATTAATGAACTGGTCTATATCTACCACTCCGCAAAAAAATGAACATAGTAGGGCCCACTTCATTAAGTGCAAAAAGATGATGTCCATACTATTTTTTTCAACTTTTAACCTTAAATCTTTTGTAATTTGATCCTGATGACGTCACGACGACGTCACAAAAATCGTCACAAGCGTTCATGTTCAACCAGATTTCCTCCCCGTCCGTTCACCCGTTTCGAAGAAAAAAAAGTTTTCTTATGATTTGAGGATTCTGTCTGTATTTTTAATTCTCCTAACCTTAACCTTTCCGTAACTCCGGGAAGAAAGGTCAAGCGACTATACCTTCGGAAATCAAAAATGTTCATGAAGATATGGTCTATCAGATGGCAAAGTATTAATGATTTGTATGTCCTATTTTTTTAAAATGTATTTATTATTATTTTTTTTATTTATTTATTTTTTTGGCTTTGTTTTTAGAGCATTTTGTGGGCCATGAACTTGAGGGTTTAAAATAGAAGGGTGGAAGCCTTGAACAGGACTGCGAGCTATAGTTCTGTGAAATTCGAATGAAATTGGGCCCTAAAAGTGCTCTATTTTGCAATGGAGCACAGGCATCATTTTTTTCCAAATGGGGATGGGACATGACTACTTTTAGAGGTAATCATCTTTGGATGGAATTTTAGCCCAAAAGTCATGAACACAAAATGAAAGACGATGAAATAAGCTTTAATTTGATGTGTGTCTCAATCACCTTATAGAGCTGTGAGTATTTTTCCTGAATTTCGGAAGGGCGTATTTATCACCGGGGTCTATCACAGTTTGTTTAGTAGTCTGCTAGCCCAAGTTTCACGCTCCTTCTGTGAAGAGTTTCAAGAAACGTCAGGAGAATTACCGTCCGGAAAAGAAAGTAAAGCTGGAAAGATTCTAAAACGGTGACCGATCCCCTCAAAAGGATGCCGTACTAGGAATCATTATTTTCACCAAATGCGTGATCACTGAAGCCTTTCTGAATTTTATGTTGTAATTTATTATCCATTAACTGCCGGAATATACACAAAGGAACACAGCCAACAAGTGCTTGCTTTCTGCCTCGTTGATTGCCAGTATTGTTGATAGGTTATTAAATATGAATTTAACACATTTTCTCCATCATGGTTTTTTATGATGAGGCCAGTACATCGGGCCAAGTAACTGACACCAGTGTGGAAAATTTATGCATATCTTCCTGATCTGAAAGTCACAAGGAGCAATGATATTTGAAAGAAGTAACAATATTCAAACAATATGAGACAAGTCTTGAAAAGGGGTGTTTCAATCGTTGAAGAAGTCAACCTAGAAAAAAAGGCATTCCTTTTCAATAATTAGACAAATTTAGTGTCGGTTCAAATTAAAATCTAAAAATTGGGAAACGCAACATTGCCAAGCCTTTCTGGTAATTTTTTTTTTTTTAGGTTATCGGATTATAAAGTGAGCTTCGTTCATTTATAATGCAGCAACTCCGGGAAAATACACAAAAGAGGCACAACCATTAATTGATAGCTTTCTGCCTCGTCTTCTCGCCCAAATGTCAATGAGGCATTGATGAAAATAAATAAATGAAGTCAATTAGCCATGACATTTCAGTTAAGTTGTATTATATAGTTCGCTGTAGCGCAGAGCCAACATAAAATTTACAAAGCGGCTTACTCCCTGTAATTTGTCATCACGGAGTACTTATAACCCTTTGTATCAACCCAACGGCGACGATTGCTTGTCAGGATTTAGAGAAAAGTGGTGTCACACATAGGCGTAGCCAGCGGGTGGGGGAGGGGGTGGTAAGGGGGTATTTCCCCGCCTAATGTTTTGTAAAGACTGCCTTTTCCCAACAGACTTATTCCCCCCCCCCCCAATAATTTGTAAAGAGTGCCCTTTTATGAAAAGTGCCTTTTTTCCTGAACAAGTGCCTTTTTTTGAAAAGAAGTGGTGCCCTTGTTTATGGCATCTGCCGTTTTTTGGTGCCTTTTTCTGAATTTGGCACATGTATCGCCCTGAAAAGCCCCATATATCGGCCGTTGGTGTGAATAATACACACTTGAATGCACATCTACGTATCAGGCTGGATTCAACAATAACTTTTGAAATTAATTGATTACCGTGTTCATTTTTTGTGAGGTAGTAGATATGGCATTGGGCAATATCTACGACCACTTTATTTATCCGTGTTCTACGGAGCTCTGGAGGTACCATCCAAGATGTTGAGATACTGAGATAACTTTTCACGGGATGACGACATCCTACACGTAAGATGTCAACGTCCCGCACGGGATGATGACATCGTAAAAATAAGATGTCGACATCCTCAGATAAGGTATCTAGGGATAACGACATCCCAAGGGTATGATGTCGACAACCTGAGAAAATTCATCTCGGGATGACGACATCCTAAAAGTAGGATTGCTTTCTCGTAACTCCACTAAACAGCATTCCAAGGTATCTAGGGATGTCGACATTCTACTTTCAGGATGTCGTCATCCCGTGATATATTGTCTCACGATGTCGGCATCCTATACTTTCAGCATTGTGCTACCCGTGATAGATCTATCCGAGGATGTTGGCATCCCTCTTAAAACATATCGCCATCCCGTGATAAATTATCTCAGGATGTCGACATTTTTCGCGTAAGATGTTGTCACCCCGTGATACATTACGCCAGGATCTCAACATCTTGGATGGCACCTTATGAGCTCCGTAGTGTTCCACTCGCGCTCGTGGGATAACTATATAATATAATACATACTCTGGTCTCAGGTAAAACCAAGACGTAATTCGATTGTTTACTTTTTCGTTTTATTGTGTCAAGATCCCTGCCAGCCAAACCCTTGTCGATACAATGCGAAATGCGAGAAAGATGGCGACTCTTTCAAGTGTGATTGTGAACGTGACATCAAGGGAGACCGCTGTGATAAACCTCTAGGTAAGAGTAAAGTGCAACATTTTGAATTTCATAAAGTACTATTAGTTCGGGCATTCTTGCTCTAATTATTGTACGGGTCGGGAATCAGGCCAAATCATTTATATAATTCATTCCAGCTGTACCCATGCAGACGGAGAAATGTTGTTATCGACATGGGCGGCAAACACAGGGACACCCCCCCCCCTTTTTTTGGGGGGCGACCCAATGGACAATTATTTATGCCAGTGCATAATTATAGATGTTAGCAAATACCCAAGTCTTCACAATATTAATCTTACCGTGGCACACGATGTGCTCCTAAAACTATGAAACCGGTAGTGCATCCCATAACAAATCGAATCCTGGTACAGTCATGCCACTTTGGACTTTTTAAAATGGCTATGTTCGAGTTTCATCCCGAAAAATAGATTCCCTTTCTAAAGTGCTATTTTTTGTAGCTATACAAAAGATATTCACCTTTGATTGAGACATCGACCGAAAAAAATCGGCCCATTTTTACTTGAATTATTACTTTACGATTTCGAATTATTGCAATGGCTGCCAGACAATAATTCTGCAGCCTCGACCCCATGGGTAGTCTATGTAATAGACCACGGCGAATGGAAAGAGTTGATCTTTTATTTCTGAGTTGTTCGTTTATTTCTGAGGTGTCCGTTTATTTCTGAGTTGTTCGTTTATTTCTGTGTATTTTCGTTTAATTTTCTGGTTTTGTTTTATTTTTTGGTCTGTTTTGCCCTATTGGCCGCCCATATTCCGCGTCCATTTGTATATCATGTCATTGGACAATATTAAAGCTGCGTTGACGCGATTCTAACGCGACAGGTCAATTCAGGCCCAATTCAAAACATGACTCAGCAACGTTTGATTTGAAATCGAGATCCTAGAATATTGTTTTCTCGGAATATACAGCAGTTACTGAGCTGAAACTTCATTAGGTAACCGTAAGTTGTTCAGCACCCTTTTTTAGATTTTGAGTACTTTTGTTGCTTCAAACGAACATAATGCACAAAATAATTACAAATGATGGACGCTACCTTTAAAGTACACAATTCCAGGGGTTAAGATCGCGCAAGGCATGATGGGAACAAAGTGGCGCAGCAAGATCGTACCCATGGAAACGAGGTTGATAATTCTGTTCTCATGCACCGTGTAGGCTGGTTCCCGCCCCGCAATCGGTATCGACACTGTAGGAACCGGGAGCCAGTCTACTCCCAAAGCGGATCTGTTTGTGCCCAAAACAAAATCCGGGGGTTTTTTTTCAGAGGGTTACAGACGTCCACAACAAAATTGGTTGAAATAATAGGCTACATACAAGTTCAAAATTTATGAATAGACAAACAAACAATTTGTTGAAGAGCAAGGGGAACGCAACTTTAAGCTTTTTTATGAGATATTTCACTTGAAAACCACTGTATTTCCTTATAGATTGCCTTGCCCTGTACCGTGCACGTATCCGCGAGAGCGGTGTGTATACCATTTACCCATCGCAGTATCCGGAAGGCTTGCAGGTCTACTGTGATGGCAATAGATGGATCGTAAGTATGAAACTATTCGTGATGACATATCTCAATCCAAATCAGAAAGGAACTTGATCATTGAATAACTTAACGTTGGCTGATTTTATTCATTCATGCATGTCATCCAAAAGGGAATAGGTTTTGCATTACATCAATAACAGTTTAAAAACAATATCACGCACGGTGGAACTTCAGCACGGACATTACATCTTTAGTAAATTCAATACATGTAATCACGTTATATTATATTAAGGTAATAAAAATATGCTTGGCCGGTTTTTAACAACTACAATTTACGTTTAAAACCGGCTAGGGTCCAAGCTGGTCGCTGATCATTATCCGTGTCCAGGCCCCTATCTGCCGGTTTTAAACGTACTTGTCTAATACCGGCCAAGCACATATTATTCCCATTCATAAATACCGTTAGGTCAAAAAGTCAAAACAAGTCAAAATTCACAAATTTTCAACTATTTCGTGTAACAATAATAGCTTATGTCTTGTGAAACGCCCCCCCCCCCCGGCCATGTTTATCTGATTTGTTAGTGTGACGTCGCTTCAGTTTGAACCACGCCCACTGCACATAAAGTAGCATTACTACGTACTGCGCGACGTGTGGCGCAGAACGCAGGAATTGTGTTTAAAACCAGACGGTGTTTATCCAGCAGTTTAAAACCACCTGCACGTGACTGGTTCTTGACCAATAGCAATGGGTAAACTGTCTCAGGTATTGATGAAATACAAATACCATGACAACGCGAATTGAACAGATGCATTTTTAAATTTAAGTTTAAACAGAAACTCCGTGCCAACTCGGTATTGGTGTCTGAGTAACTTTATAGCATAATTATCTCATTACACAATTCACTTACTTTCAATACACTCTTTACAGGTGTTTCAGAAGCGGTTTGATGGGTCGGTGAATTTCACTCGCAACTGGACCGAGTACCAGGACGGATTTGGCGAACTCTCGGGAGAGTTCTGGCTTGGAAACGAGAAAGTCCGTCAACTAACTTCGAAAGGTCAATGGGTACTTGACATCGAGGCGGTGTATGATGGTACATCCAAATCAAATCAGCAAAGAACGTGGCGGTGGCCATTCCGCGTAGAGGGCGACAGCTATAAATTGGTGGTGGAAGGATTCACTGGTAAGATGCATTGTTCTTATCCAGAAACATAGGCCTACTCAATCAACTTCCGAATAATAACATGAAAACGGAACAAAATGTGATTTCTTTTAACATTCGACCAAAACCAGTGGGGTAGCTTAGAGCGGGCTTGGGGTCACCTGCCACGCTCCCCACGCCCCTCCCCCGAGACATGTGACCGCCCCCACCACCCCCTACCCCTCTGCACGGAGGAAGGCAACAACGCACGGAGTGCCCCCCCCCCCTCCAGAAAATGATGTCCCCTGCAAATCGGAACCCATTATGTTTTATGGCCTCATATCCTTTTATACCAACAATTCTACATTACAATGGAGTACCAAAAACAAACAAAAATCCTATCTAATCGTGGTGTTTTACCTAAAAGATCTATTCTTGGTCCACTCAAACCGGTTGCTTTCGAATTCCCGATTTATTGCACGTTCATTTTGAGATTGAATTTACTGTCCAAGGAGTATTACGATAGAAGAAGGAAGCATTCCCCCGTTTTCCAGACTCACTTGCATTAACATAATAAAGTATTTCGCTCTTTTTGATTTGTTATAGATGGTTGGCCTTTCCTTTCCATCGACACCCCTCACGCGTTTTCGACGTATGATAGAGACAACGACGATGTCAACGGAACCAACTGTGCTGAGGTCGAGGGAGGAGGATGGTGGTTTGGCCAGTGTGAATCTCCGCAGGATTCTTGGGGCAATCTGAATGGAGAATATTCCCTTCTGGGTGACCCAGATAATACAGATCAGGAATACCGCGGTATGAAATGGAATGTTACAGGGAACGTCATAGTAGTGCGGAGCAGTCAAATGAAGCTACGCAGTTTCACTCCACGTGGTAATTCACAGTAACAAACATTGCATGGAGATTATTGCACTTGATTTTCGCACAAAAAGCAAACAAAATGATAAAAATTCGGAATTTGAGCCTTGACAATTAAGTATGAATTTCAAAGCACATTACATAAAAATGAGAAATGGAAGGGGCCTAAAAATATCTTCAGTTTTGCTATGATGAGACAAAACATGTTTGCTTAAATTTTGTATCTTCGTTTTTTTTTAATAAACACGATTGAAACAAATATAAGGCACCTATAGAATCGGGCACTTTTTTCCAAAAAAAAAATGTTTGATTCAATAGAGCGTGAAAGTTCACACCTGGTGGCGCGCCTCCGGAACCCTTGAATAACAAAATGAACGCGCAAAATTCTAAAATTTGCAATTTTTTTGGTACATTGATTTCTTACGAAGAAGACCTTTGTAAAATAGTTACTATTGTGCCAAAAAGTGACCTCTCGATTTTGAAAATCTAAAATACATGTGGACTAGTGGAACTCGGGGGACTCGTACAAAGATGAAACTTTATAAATAATTTGTGGCGGTCATATGGGTTAAACTGAAAGTTAAATAGGAGACTGAAATATCTTTTAGGATATACATTTTATATTAATAAACGGAAAGGACTCATTAGCAATTACAATCGTTTTATCCCAGTGATTTCTTCTTATTATTTTTTTCGTGAGAAATACCAAGATATAATTCCAACATGAATGTTTCTTGGGGTGACGGTTAGAAATCATTCTGTTCAAAAATTATAGCAAGAAAAGAGCAACCTATATAAAATGCCAATAGGCGGGCCGCGCGAGGGTTCCGGAAGCTCGCCCCGTGACCTTTTGCTTTCAGGCTCTATACTTGGAGAATTAGCCCTACCCATCCACTGGGACCTCGAAGCCAAGTTCACTTTCAGCTAGAAGAGAAATATGTGCCGAAGGGTGATTTGGGGAAGTCTTGGTCGCTTCATTAAGAATTATATTCTTGTACCAGGAACTATTTCCACCTTTCTTTTCAGATTGTGAACGCTTGTATGATTTTGGTGTCAAGGGGAACGGCACCTACACCATATATCCGGCGGGGAAATACAAGAACAGAATGAAGGTTTACTGCGATATGGATACAGAACCCAAAGGCTGGATCGTAAGTTTGATTTGTATTTGCTCAAATTGCCCCTGTTTAAAAGTAGCATTTAATCATCAAAATGACCCTGGTGTGAATTCGAGTAGGTAACTGTGAGCTATGTCAATACACAGTTCAAAGAAACTGCATTTAATTCCATTGGTTTTTGTTTATTACCAAAAAAATGGAAAAGGCCAATTCCATCGTTCGAGACTAAAAACCAATTTGAAACAACAAAGTAAAAACTTGTAATGAAAGTTTTTTTTTATATTTGGTACAAATCTAGCTTAGGCCTTAATGTACATCATGACATGGTTAACTTAGGGTTAGTTGAATTAATTAATTTTTAATTAAACGGCCGTTACGGATGTTACGCATTGATAAAAGCCTGTGAAGTTTCTTGCACGAATTTAATGAACTCACTTTGTTGAGGTAGATATAGGTGCACTCTTTAAAAACACAAATAGCATTTTACAAAAAGGAACTACATGTATGATGTTATGGAAACATCATACTTTTGTTGTTACGGACGTTAAATTATAACGTTACGGACGTTACTTTTTGTTAGTGTGACGGCGCTTCAGTTTAAACCACGCCCACTGCACATAAAGTAGCATTGTACGTACTGCGCGATGTGGCGCAGAACGCAGGAATTGTGTTTAAAACCAGACGGTGTTTTATCCAGCAGTTTAAAACCACCTGCACGTGACTGGTTCTTGACCAACAGCAATGGGTAAACTGTCTCAGGTATTGATGAAATACAAATACCATGACAACGCGAACTGAACTAGATGCATTTTTTTTATCAGTTGAAACAGAAACTCCGTGCCAACTCGGTATTGGTGTCTGAGTAACTTTATAGCATAATTATCTCATTACACAATTCGCTACTTTCCATACACTCTTTACAGGTGTTTCAGAAGCGGTTTGATGGGTCGGTGAATTTCACTCGCAACTGGACCGAGTACCAGGACGGATTTGGCGAACTCTCGGGAGAGTTCTGGCTCGGGAACGAGAAAGTCCGTCAACTAACTTCGAAAGATCAATGGGTACTTGAGATCGAGGTGGTGTATGATGATCGATTAAAATCAAATAAGAATATGACTTTCCGGTGGCCATTCCGCGTAGAGGGCGACAGCTATAAATTGGTGGTTGAAGGATTCACTGGTAAGATTCATTTTTCTTATCCAGAAAGATACTCATTCAACTTCCGAATAATAACATAAAAACGGAACAAAATGTGATTTCTGTTAGCATTTGACCAAAACCAGAGGGGTAGCTAAGAGCGGGCTTGGGGTCACCTGCCACGCCCCACGCCCCTCCCCCAAGACACGTGACCGCCCCCACAACCCCCTACCCCTCTACACGGAGGAAGGCAACAACGCACGGAGTGCCCCCCCCCCTCCAGAAAATGATGTCCCCTGCAAATCGGAACCCATTATGTTTTATGGCCTCATATCCTTTTATGCCAACAATTCTACATTACAATGGAGTACCAAAAACAAAACAAAAATCCTATCTAATCGTGGTGTTTTACCTAAAAGATCTATTCTTGGTCCACTCAAACCGTTTGCTTTCGAATTCCCGATTCATTGCACGTTCATTTTGAGATTGAATTTACTGTCCAAGGAGTATTACGGTAGAAGAAGGAAGCATTCCCCTGTTTTCGATATTTCGTATTTCCAGGCTCACTTGCATTATTTAATAAAGTATTTCGATCTTTTTGATTTGTTATAGATGATTTGCCTTTTCTTTCCATCGAGACCCCTCACGCGTTTTCGACGTATGATAGAGACAACGACGATGTGAACGGAACCAACTGTGCTGAGGTCGAGGGAGGAGGATGGTGGTTTGGCCAGTGTGGATCTCCGCAGGATTCTTGGGGCAATTTTAATGGAGAATATTCCCTTCTGGGTGACCCAGATAATTACACAGATCGGGAATACCGCGGTATGAAATGGAATGGTACAGGGAACGTCATAGTAGTGCGGAGCAGTCAAATGAAGCTACGCCGTTTCACTCCTAGTGGTAATGCACAGTAACAACATTTCATTGAAATTATTGCACTTGATTTTCGCAAAAAAAAAAAAAAAAGATAAAAATTCGGGATTTGAGCCTTGACAATTAAGTATGAATTTCAAAGCACATTACATAAAAATGAGAAATGAAAGGGGCCTAAAAATATCTTCAGGTTTGTTATGATGAGACAAATCATGTTTGCTAAAATTTGGTATCTTCAATTCTTTTAATAAACACGATTGAAACAAATATAAGGCACCTATAGTATCGGGCACTTTTTTCTTAAAAAAAAAAAATATTTGAAGATATTCGTTCAATAGAGCGTGAAAGTTCTCACCTGGTGGCGCGCTTCCGGAATCCTTGAACATTAACGCATTATTTTGGTACATTGATTTCTTAAGAAAATCACAGTTGAAGACCTTTGTAAAATAGTTATTATCGCGCCAAAAAGTGACCTCTCACTTCTAAAAAAATCTAAAATACATGTGGACTAGTGGAACTCTGGGGACTCGTACAAAGATGAAATTTTATATATAATTTGTGGCGGTCATATGGGTAAAAACTGAAAGTTAAATATGAGACTAAAATGTCTTTTAGGATATACATTAAAATAAAAGGAGAGGACTCATTAGCATTTATAACAAAAATCTTAAATGACCGCTGATAAGGACTGCATTCAAGCCAGCCCGACTAAATCTAGAACCCATCGGCTGTAGGTCGGTAAATCTTCGCGTCATTATACATTTTCGTCGTCACGCAAGTACGAGATGTGAAAACAAACGTGAACGAACGAGGAGACCTGGGAACGATAATGCCGGATGTGTAAGGTCGTAAAAGTAAAATTCGTTTTATCCCAGTGATTTCTTCTTCTTATTTTTTTCGTGAGAAATACCAAGATATAATTCCAACATGAATGTTTCTTGGGGTGATTATACGGTTAGAAATCATTCTGTTCAAAAATTATAGCAAGAAAAAGGGCAACCTATATAAAATGTCCGTATAGGCGGGCCGCGCGAGGGTTCCGGAAGCTCGCCCCGTGACCTTTTGCTTTCAGGCTCTATACTTGGAGAATTAGCCCTACCCATCCACTGGGACCTCGAAGCCAAGTTCACTTTCAGCTAGAAGAGAAATATGTGCCGAAGGCTGATTTGGGGAAGTTTTGGTCGCTTCATTAAGAATTATATTCTTTTACCAGGAACTATTTCCACCTTTCTTTTCAGATTGTCAACGCTTGTATAATGTTGGTGTCAAGGGCAGCGGCATCTACACCATATATCCGGCGGGGAAATACAAGAACAGAATGAAGGTTTACTGCGATATGGATACAGAACCCAATGGCTGGATTGTAAGTTTGATTTGTTTATTTGCTCAAATTGCCTCTGTTTAAAAGTAGCATTTAATCATCAAAATGACCCTGGTGTGAATTCGAGTAGGTAACTGTGAGCTATGTCAATACACAGTCCAAAGAAACTGCATTGAATTCCATTGGTTTTTGTTTATTAACAAAATGGAAAAGGCCAATTCCATCGTTCGAGACTAAAAACCAATTTGAAACAACAAAGTAAAAACTTGTAAGGCCCAAAAAAAGAAGTCTCCGGTTTCTGGTATGGAGCTTGCCCAAAAAGCGGTGCGGCGACGCGTCTTTTTTTTTTAGGCCTAGGCCTACCTGGTTTTTTTGCTTCAAAAAAATGTCGGCTGATGACTGCAAATGGTGCCCGACTAAACTAAGTGCAAATATATGGGAGTCAAGAGAGGCCACATAAAGCTTATTCTCGATCATAACCCCATCTAATAACACGTTAAAATTGTGCAGCAGCAGGATTCCAGTCAAACCAGTGAGTTTGGCGGTTTTGAGACATCATGTTTTATTGAAAAAAAAACTTTTTCATTTTGCCGACGCGCATGGCTACGGCGACGCGCGCGCATACCAGAAACCGGATACATTTTTTTTGGCCTAATGCAAGTTTTTTTTTTTTATATTTGGTACAAATCTAGCTTAGGCCTTAATGTACATCATGACATGGTTAAGTTAGGGTTAGCTGAATTAATTAATTAATTTTTAATTAAACGGCCGTTACGGATGTTACGCATTGATAAAAGCCTTGCAAGTTTCTTGCAAGAATTTTGATGAACTCACTATGTTGAGGTAGATATAGGTTCACTCTTTAAAAATACCAATAGCATTTACAAAAAGGAACTATGTTGTTATGGAAACATCATACTGTTGTTGTTACGGACGTTAAATTATAACGCTACGGACGTTAAACACGTGATAAAAACATACTGAATTATGCCATTCTAAGTTCGGTGTGATATTTTTATAAAAATACGAACCTTTCTCTCTGCCTTAAAAACATAAACTCTAAATAACACTTGCATTTTGCATGTGGAAACAAGATGCCGAAATGACCTAAAACCTATATTTTAGCCTATAAACATATCTTTGACAAAAATGCATTTCACCCATTCTATCTCATTAGCACATCACTCAAATAAAAGGCATTGTTGTCCCCTTTCATTCGATACCATAATGGTTGTGAGGCTTGTAGTTCTGCGGATGTCATAAATTTCCCTCTTTATCAGCCTTGTCCACTTCAGGTGCAATTGCCTAAAAGCCAAATGCTGCCCTCTCTTTGGGTATATACACCAGAGCGGATAAGTGATCACATCTCTTGCATTATGAATTCTCACAAATAATTATTGCGTTTTTGGTTTATAACATTGCTTTGTGTATCAGGTGTTTCAGAAGCGGTTTGATGGGTCAGTGAATTTCACTCGCAACTGGACCGAGTACCGGGACGGATTTGGCGACCTCTCGGGAGAGTTCTGGCTCGGGAACGAGAAACTCCGTCTACTCACTTCTACCCATAGATGGGCACTAAGGGTAGACCTGGTGGACGATCAAGGAAAGACGGAACAAATCAATGTCAACAAATTCAGCGTCAAAGGCAATGATTACACTTTGGGCCGAGGTATGTTAATAAACCACAACGTAGGTCTAATATGACAGCAATAATAAAACAAAACAAGACAAAGCTGGTCACAGAGCGCACAAAATACTTTCCAATGATTCAGATCGGATTTTGTCCATTCACTGCCGTTACGAGGTAATCCTATTATTAGCAAATGTGAGACTTAAGCAAATCTAATTCACAAGTGACAGTCAGTCAGTCAGGCAGGCACCAAGATAATGTGGGGCCTAAACTGTTTTCCTACAGAACAGCACCAAAACATTGGAGAATCCTGTCCTAACATAAACATATAAAATGTTGGATTGTACACAAAATGCGTACAACATTCGACGCTCGTTCTTAAGCCATAACTTAAACCATTGATATACAATTGCACCTATTTCTTGTCTTTGTCAACAGCGTTCATCTTTGAGGTTTTTGTTATTTAATTAAGTATTAAAATAATGAATGCACTACAGGTCTACTCAAAAGCACACACACCGTAAATGTGCTTGTAATACAATGCATCTATTCCTGGTCTCAATTTAATATTTGTGTTTTTCATCGTCCACTCCCAAAGTGGTGTCGTAAAACTCATATCATTTTAATATTTGTTTGCTCTTGCGTAGATTCACCGGCTTCTGATTTCCCTCAATTCAATCAACATAAATTCTCAACGTACGACAATGACCAGGATGATGAGGAGCCGTATAACTGTGCAGATCGGCAGGGAGGGGGGTGGTGGTTCGGAGCGTGTAGTGACGATATTTCGTACAGCCTGAATGGGAAATATCACGATGGGGGTTTGAAATGGACTGGATGGGCAGAGCATGTAATAGTCAAGTCAATAGTCAAGTGTGAAATGAAGCTGCGTCGTTACTAATACTGTATAAAAAAAAACCAACAAAGGAAAAAAAGGGACTGACCCCGTCTTTAAAATCGATGTCGGAGATAAACCCAAGGAAAACAATGATAACTTTACAAGTTCTGAATCAATCGAACCGAAATTTATAGTATAAGCAGTTATGAAAGATGACATTAGTTTATGTGTACTTTTTTAAGCATTGTAAAATGTGCAATAGATGAACGTGACGAAGGTTTTGGCTCAAGCATTACAATGAGAATTACGAAAAATAGAGGCTGAAATCTAGTATTAAAATGTATTTGCAATAAGCCCTATTTTCGTGAAATTGACGGGGTTTTAATGTCGCCGTTTTGAGCTAATTTACAGGCAGAAATATGTAGGCCTATATCCTTTAATACACAATGAGTGTGGCAAACGAGTCTTATTCAGCATCAGTGATTGAACAAATTTACACATACTAAATAAAAGAAGTTTCCCAGCTGAACATACTTGATGCATTATGTTACAATTTGACATTTTCAGTCCGCACTGAAAATAAGTGAAGACATAAACTTGTTATCTAAATATAGTGACGAAGAATAGATGAGCTTACTGAAAAAAGTAAAATTTCTTTCTCGTAAATATTAACTGTATGTAATGCAGAATTAGTCCGGTCAATTTAGAACAAAACAGGGCCTGACCTAGAACAAATTGCAATAGAATTTATTTTAACGTTATCACGCTGAGGAAACATCACTATTTAACATACTGAAAATCTAATTTCATCAAAGGAGTGGAAAAGTGCTTTTATTCACTTTTTTGCTACTAACTTTTCATCATACGTAAACAGTCGTATGGAGGGCGTCGTGTTTTCTTTTGCGTCCGTTACCCGTCAGAAAATCCGTTCACATCACGTATGAGACTTCGCGAGACACCTCTGATCGCAGCAGACGACTTTTCTATGTCCACCAATTATTAAAATTTATGGTAATTTACACTGCCGCCACATACTTTAGGATATATTCTTGAAAAATATCAAGAAATTTGAGATTTTTTTCTGCACGAATTATTTATTGGTTAAAATAAATCACTTTGTGCTCAATAAACCATTTGTTTCAAGGAAAATCTTTGCATAAACAGGTCTACTTGAAACAAGGCCGGGCAATGATATACACAAAGAGATCCATTTAAAGTTAACATTTAAGTGTCTACGCCAATAGGCCGGTGTCCAATTTTAAATATCAGGGAAAATATCCGAAATCCAAGATTCATGAGTTCGTTTTGTGATGAATTTAGTCATTGGTATAGCTTATAAAATACCTATAAATTATTCAAAAAATAACGTATACTCAAAAAACCTTAATGAAGACAAATTAACTGGATTAAAATCTTGCAGTGAAAATGTAGCTGAATTCTGGGCTTTAGAGAAAAGAAATTAGGCAGATTGACAAGTGTATTACCTCTATAACTAACATACGTGCCCCCAGATCAAAGCCTCCGTAGGCCAGGGAGGGGGGGGGGGTGTGGACCATGCAACTCGGATCATTTTTTTTAAAGTAATAACAACGCGAATTCTGATCAATCCAAAGAATCGTTTCGTTGGGACTCAAGTATGCTTTTCTGGAGTAGTGCATATCACTTTTGACAGTACAAGTAGATGTCTCAATCAATTTTCATATATACCTCGATCAGGATCTTCACAATTTAGCTGTTTAAATTGCAAAATGTACTGATGAAAAATGTGTGACGTACATGCAAAGCTCATGTACAGAACCACATCTGTTTCTCATCAACCTCATATAAATTTTTGTTTTAATTGTTACCAAAGTGTTTTGAGATGTTTAGTTTCATATTTTCATGTACTAACAAATGTACTGTAAGCATCACAACCCGAGCCCAGTACTTCCTGAATGTTCTTAACCAAATCCAACAAATCCGGCGCTCAATCAATAATCTTTAAATAAAGATTGTTCGCTTTACTTTCAAAATGGTTCATGCGTGCACTGACCAACCGTTTTCAGTCTGTGTATGATCAAACATGATTTTTAGACATCCCTGTTTGCAAATAATCATATCGTCTGTGGACTTAAAAAAAAAATGGCGCACTTTAGGCGAAAATCGTCCACTCTATCCGTAGTGCCCAGTATAAAATTATGACTTGAAACAGACATATCCCCGTCAAATGTAGAATTTTGAACCAAGTTACAAACGTGTACTGCTCTTAATATAAAACTCACTGTACAAATTTATGTAAAAAGAAAAACGAAATTGTATGACACACGTGACATCTTTCTTTTTTTTTAGTTTCCGACGCAATGTCGTCTGCTTCACTCGCACGTGGTCATGAATCCTAAACATTAGCTTATAGGCATGTAAATCGAAGCAAGTCACCAGACGAATGGTTTCTATTGCAATTTGTTCTAGGTCTTAACTTAAATTGACCGGACTAAATTAGATTGTGTAATATTTAATTGGTATTTAATATGGTAATACTGCATGAAAAAAAATAGAATGCATGAAGTAGGCCTAAAATAAATATGAGTCATTTTGTAGAGTAGTTCATCCTCGTGTTTTGCGCAAACATCGACAGTTTTCGCCCGTAGAGCACTAGCTTCACGCTTGCAATGCACACGATTTATAACAAAGTTGAATAAAGAATTTGACTGGAGCGGGGTTTGGGCCTCGGTCCTCCGGATTGCTGCTCTGGTGCTCTACCAACTGAGCTATCCAGCCATCATATCGACGGTTCCCCATTTTTGTCAATAGCTGTAGTTCTGCCAATCTTGTTCAATAAACAAGATTGACAGAACTAACAAAACGCATACGCATGCGCGTCTTGATTGTGTCAAGTATATAGTCATTTGCTATCGCTAAATGCCCACGCTCGGTATTAACCCGGACCCCAGTACAGGCCTACCTATAGTTACTGGTTAGAAGTTATGATAATTATGATAATTTTATAATAAAGAATGTATTACTTAGTGTCAGGGGCGGCGGAACCGGGGGGGGGGGAAGCAGGGGGGCACTAAAATTACGGATAATATGTTTTGAGTATAACCATTGCCCCAAATGCGAGTTCTAATATGAACGAGGAATATGAAAACAAAGCCCCATAACCCTAACATAATGTGTAGTTTGCATAATGGCCGGTTTTGAAGAGCGCCCCTATTTTGGGAGATGGTACCAGCCCCCCTCCCCCATCCCCACTTTTCAACACCCCCCCCCCCCCCTACACACACACATACTATTTGATTTTACGGAGGCCAAGTGTCCGGTGGAAAAAAAAACGTGTCGACATTTCAGCACGGATGTGCAAGTGCCCCTTTTTAGTGATGCCCCCCAGTTTGAAAACCGTTCCGCCGCCGCTGCTTAGTGTAAGTACGTAATGTTCGATGTGAATAGGAAAATTAGATGTTTCCGTACAGGGCTGGGTCATGTACAGACACGTATATATTACGTATGACGTCAACATCTTTTTGCTTGAAAGAGAAAAGTGGATCATGAATAACGAGAACATACTTTATTATGAGGATTAACATTACTTAGTATATGTGTGGTGAATAATGACAAGTTATTACTATCGGTGAAAAAAAACCCCAGAGGGATTGAGGAGGTCGACAACTTGACGGGTATATACACTGCAAAAACTGTAGTGTTGATTTAACACCGTTCGGTATCCATATAGGACAACACCAGTAAAATTTAACACCAGATGGTTCTATATAGATAACAATGGTGTAAAGTTAACACTGCAGTTTTTGCAGTGTAACAAGCAGGATAGAATGCGCGTTCTAAAGATATTCTGTATGTGTTTGTCCAAGATCCAACGAAATACATGTAGTAGTGCTAAGTGTGAAGTTGAATTTCATGTTATATCTTAGTATTTTTCCTGAGTGTTTTTAAAATGTTTATGAACTTACTTTGAAGTACGTGTAAAGCAAAGAATTTCGATTAAATCCTATGAGTCATTATATAAAGTTAGGGTCCAAAGTTAATCCGAAGATGTGGGACTCTCAGTAGTATGAGAGTCCCAAAACTGAAGATAGTGAAAACATGCAACACAAGAAAATAGACTGGCACATGAAACAACGAGTCCAACACCCCTTTAGTATTGCATCAATCAACTCTAATAATGATATCAGAAGAAACATATGGTACTAGCTCTGACACCAATTAATGATCGTCGGATTTGAAAAGGCGGCCCATTGAACTATGGTTCGCCCCCCCCCCCCCCCCCCCCCACCTATTGATTTTACGGAGGCCAAGTGTTTCCGGAGAAGAAAAAAAATGTCTACATTTCAGCATAGATTTGCTGATGAAACACCCCCTCCCTCCTTGCAAAAAATCATGGATGCGCCCGCTATTTCTACACATCTCTCCATCGTACTGACGGGTCAATCTTTTCAAAAAGTTGTTCATGTGCCAGTCTAGTCTTAGGCTTCAAATTGAAGTATTGGCTTCAATCTCAAGTGCAAAATGTTGAAGAAAATTCTCCTTTAAAATTTGAATTGAGACCTCAAACTTGGCTGGTGAATTACTGAGGACCTTGTCTTTGCCTCATGAGCATGTTGGAGAATGTTGTCAGCTAAAGAGCGAGTAAAGTTGGCCTGTTTTGTTTTGACATGTTTGTCTGCACTCAAGGTTCCAGTCTGGTCCAAAGTGTGACACTTCTCCTGTCCCTGTTACCTTGGTAGGCCTACTTTGTAATGCGCCATTGAAGTATCATTAGGAATGACTTTAAACGATAGTTTATTTGTTACGTAGGAAGTTTGCTATTCATAATCACTTTTGGATGACAACTACATCAAAAAGTGCCGCAGAATTAAAAATCATATATAGCTCCCAGATGTAACAGGGACAGGAAAAAAGTGGAGCCCAAATTAATTGATAGAATGACCCATAACGATTCAATATCTGTTGCACAATAAACACTAGTGATACGTGTATAGTACAAACTGATGACCGGGATTCAATTTTTGGACCGTTGCCGTTGCCCCTCCCCCTCCCCCCCGCCCAATCCTGAATACGTCACAGATCGA